CACATCTGGTCAGATGTTCATGCTGATCCTACCACGACAGGCTATGTCTGTTAAATGTTTTCTGCACTCTCTTGGCAGAGGTTAGAAATGTTATACATACGAAACCTCAACAATTAGATATATTTTGGATTGGGAAGAATGCTGGTAACCTGGATAAAGTTTTGAGAGTTTAAATCTCAATAAAATTATTAGGAGCGTATTCAGATTGGCTTATTTTCCTATGATTGCCATATTTCAAAAAGTGAAAACCTGGACACAATAGTCATTGAGCTCTTTGGCCAAAGTTGTTTACTTTTTTTGCAAAATCACCAAAATCATCAAAAAGTCAACATTTCCAATATGGGCTGTCATATGCCTGGGTTCTCACATACATTTTTGCTGCTTTTCGAAAATTCTGCCTGGATGACATTTTCGACGGACGAATCCTAGCTATGTCTGGGAAATTGCGGACGTATGGCAGCCCTAATTTTGCACATGATGTGCTACACTTGAGCAGATGATACGGTCCTCAGCACCGCATCCCACAATAATGAGTCACACACAGAAATTCTCTGTAAAGACCTTGTTAATCTCCTCTGCTAATTTCAACAGGGGTGATTCTTGGCTGATTTAAAGTGTCTCCTCAAGGTTCTTCCTCCTTTTTCTAAGAATTGTGTCAGTTTTCTTGAGGTGTCTTTGGTGTAATTGTACAAATCCAGCATCCATCTGGTGAAAATTAGGAAAAGGGAATTACCATTCTGGGAGGAGTGAGTATGTATGTATGTATGTATGTATGTATGCATGTATGCATGCCTAATATGTATAGGCAGATTGCAGATCCCAGAAGTGGTGTATGGATGCAACCAAGGGCTTTAGGTTGATAGTTTAATGCTTAAGTTTATCTTAAGGTGGCCATTTAGGCACTGCTAAAGAAGAAATGTGTCACCAAAAAATGACGACAAAAGATGGTGCAGTTCTACCTAAATTTAGGAATAATGGTTATAATCTAAGTAGAAGTGCTGCACATCTCACCATAGTGGGGAAGATTGTGAACAGGGGGTCTGTGCGCATGTCGTTCACTGCTGTCTAACTGCTGATGGGCAACTTCAAGGCTTCTCTTTTTATGGTTCTTTACCTTTACACCAGGTGTTCTTTCAACATTTGAGGAGTTACTTGGGAAATGGGAATTTCCCTTATTTGCTTCATAATTTACAGTCCTTTCCTAACAGAAAGGGCTTGTTATTATTATCTCCTTATATGTATGAATTTATCTTTCCCCCCATTTTGTTTTGCTTTTCGAACTCAAAAGCTCTGACCTAAACATACACAAGCCACATATTGACCCACACCTGGATATTTAACAGGGCAACCTTAAACATACCTACTCAGAAGTCCCAGGGAGTAAGCGTGTACACAGGCTTGCAGCCAAACAAAGCATTTGCTCCTGTAAGGCATTAGGACAGAAGTCAGCAAACTTTTTCAGCAGGGGGCCAGTCCACTGTCCCTCAGACCTTGTGGGGGGCCGGACTATTTTTTTTGGGGGGGGGGGGGAAGGAACGAATTCCTATGCCCCACAAATAACCCAGATATCTATTTTAAATAAAAGGACACATTCTACTCATGTAAAAACACACTGATTCTTGGACCCTCTGCGAACTGGATTTAGAAGGCAATTGGGCCGGATCCGGCCCCCGGGCCTTAGGTTGCCTACCCATGCATTGTGAAAGTAACCCTCCAACTGACCTCTGCTGGTCATGGTGGGCGCTTTAATCCTTGGGCCCCTCAGCAGCCCTGGCCAGCAGGAATCAGGAAAACATTGGATGCAGCAATCATTACTCTGACCCACTGCTCCTAGGGGTGAGGACCGTCCTGCTTGGGTGGATTTGGGTGGACTACATATATGTAGTCCTAAATATAATCTAATGATTACATGTACCATTCACAGGGTGGGTTAGGGATTCTAAAATAAAAGAATGCAATTTTGCTCATGTTCCCTTGTCCATACTGAGAATCACTATGGCAATATTTCAGAATAAGATCACACAAATTAAAATAGATTTAGACAGCATAATACTGCCACCCAGTGGAAATAGCAATAGTATAAGATTCGTGCTTTATCATCACAGCACACGAGAGGGAACCTTTGCGCTGCAGAAAGAATATTGGCAAATGTTAAGATATGTAAGAACCTTCCTCATTTACTACTATCCTACTAATTGCATATCCAGGACTTGTTGGAGAGTGAAATATACTCAGAGTCGCAAAGTGATTTCATGCTCTTTATTCAGCTCATAGTGGTGAGGAGGAATGAATGAATGTCCCCTCAAAGTATCTGCTTTATATACATTATTTACACAATGGGCTGCACATGATTGGCTAATTCCGGAATTCTACTGTAAGCCAATCAGGTTGTGGATTCATTTCTACCTGGAGCATGATTGGGTGGTTCCTGCCAACCAATCTTACTGCTGCATTGTTCTAGGACCAATCAGACTGCTGCATTCTGAATCCTATTGTTCTAGGACCAATCAGACTGCTGCAGTTTGGATCCTATTCAACTCAGTACATAACAGAGAGATTGTGTGAATCACAAGTGCATATTTAACTTGCTGCTCACACACCAGGCAAGAGGTAGATAGTATTTATTCACAGGCAGCTACACTCATTGATACCCAGGCACCTAGCAGAGGGCAGGTGAGGGTGAAGCTGACGGTGAGAATAGGGCAGCCGGGTTATCTTCTTCCAAGCTGGGATCACAGCAAGGGAGATGTCCACCAACCCTAAGAAGGAAACTAGTAACTCCAAATAGGGCTAGATTAGGATGTCAGTGGGCAGCTTGACAAGAAAGCAATAATGAGAGGCTTCATCTGAGGACTTGATCAAAAAGTGATCTCTGTGTAAGAAGTCCATAGGAACCCATTTCTTGAGTTCTAAAGCTAGGAATAGGATTCTGGAAAATGGACAGTAAGGTGTGGCACATCTGGCTTGATATGTTTTTACCAAAAATACTGAAGAGAAAATCCAGGGACTAAACTGGATGTATTCCAGTACTAATTGTTCCCCATTGTGCCTGGAAACTGAATGGTACACAGCCCATCTAACAGAAGGAATTTTGGGAGGCTCCTTGTTTCTGAGCACTTGCCTGCACTACAGAAATTCATAATCCCCCAACACTTTGTGAGGATTGGCTCATGCATACATGGCTAACATGGGGGAATGCCAAAGCCAGCTGTTACCCAGGTGTGTTCCTTCCTTAGGCAAAACACACAGGTTCTTTGGTAGAAGGGAAACAGGAACAGAGAACCATTCACGGAGATGGGGAGCCAGCCATTCTATATTTCTCCTTCCCAATGGCTCTTGGCGCAACCTGAAACCTACATGACACAGCAAAGCCTCATCTTAAATTCTTTCCAGATGTGAGCACATGGCTTCACCACTAACCATTTGCACCCCCTTTTTTTTAACCATCTACCCAGAAGAGTTCTAGAGAACCCAAAAGCTTGCACATTGTTGTGGCATCTTGGGTGGATTAATGCAGGCATCACCTTAACACTGGATTCTGGGAATTTTTTATGGGCCACTGTAGCTAACTTTACCTTTTTATGTCATTAATATTTTTTTAAATAAACTGATGCCTTTGATTGGGGAGAGGGATTTTAACTATTTAAAAAACTGGAATGGATTTGTTTTATGGCCCAAATGTTTACATTTTGTCCAATGTGTTTGCTTTTAGACAATTGAACCTGCTGATGACATGTCTACTTTACAAGCTCACTGCAAGGGTGTACACAATAAATATTATAAAGCACTCCTCAAATTAAGATTGCTCTCTTTTATTTACACGGACTTGGAAACAAACCCTAGTGAACTCTGCAGGGCTTATTTCTGAGTAAATATGGGTAGAACTAGGCTGCAAGCTGGTTTGCATGACATGGTAAGCCAAACTTTACAAATAAGCAGCCTTCTTCCTCCTCCAGTCTTTTTTACTCCACACCACACAGAGCTAAGGCAAGGTGTCATTCAAACTATGGCTCATGGTTAAACTCTGTAATCATGAGTTCTAAAAAAGACTCTGGAGGACCAGAGGATGAACATGATGCAAGTGTCATGAGAACCAGGCCTGCATGTCCAATATAAATAAGTAATCACAGATCAAGCAAAATGTATTCAATAAGCAAAAATAAATGGTTTATTTTGAAAACACTTCCAGTAAACTCTGGGTGAAGCTTAGTCTCATGCCTTAATTGCCTTCGGAATCCCAATGAAGTTTTCCCAATGCCTCTTTTCTAAGAGTCCTGGAAGATTTCTCTGAACATAGGAAGAGTATGTACTTCTGAGACAGGTAAATAGTCCATCTCATCCAACATCCTGTTTTTATAGTGGCGAACCAGACACCTATATGTCCAAAAGCAGGACCCGAGTGCAGCAGCTGTCTCTCTACTTGTGAACCCACGGAAGCTTTCCTCCATTCTAGTAACCATCGCCCATGCTGAGTAAAACCGTTATTCTAATTCCTCCATGTAACAAAGAAGTTTCTAGGGGCCCTGTCACAGCCTCCAAAAAGAACCCCCGTGCCTTTGTTTCTTTGGGAATTAGGCACTTGTGGCTGGTTCACGCACGCATGTTCCTCACTGCCACGGCTGCCTTGCACGTGTGGACCAGCCATTGTACACCTAACGCATCGCGTGCACCGCGATCCCGGCGGGAATCCTTCCGCCCACCCGGCAGCTGAGACGCGAGTCGGAAGTGCTGATCCCCGGAGTCAAATCAAGTGAAGCGGGCGCGCGCACGTGTGAACCAACTCTGCGGTTCTACGATTCCTATCCGGGGGCTTCTTCTGGGCTTATCCATTCTTGCATGCAGTCACCCGCGTGAGCTTCAGCCTGTGAGCGGCAGCCTAATCAGCCTCGGCCGCTTCCCCCGCCCCTCACCGTCGGGAACCGGCCGCTCTTCACGCCCCGCCTCACATGACTGCCGCCACGTGACAGGCCCGGGGCGGGTCACATGAGCGGCTCTGGCGTGTGTTGGGGCGTGAGTCACATGACCCGCTCGCCTGTTCTCTCCCGTCTTCTCGACCATGTCAGCGGAGTAGCCCCGGAAGCTGCACCGAGAGCCCCGCGCCCCGCCATGAGACGCGACGCCTGGGCCCCGCCTGAGGGGCCTCGCCTGCTCCGGGTTTCCTCGCCTGGGGCTCGACCCGGGTTCCCCCTCGTCCTGCTGCTCCTCTCCATCGTCCTCCCGAGTCAGCGGGGAGGAAGCGCCGCCGCCGCCGCGGCCCAGGGCAGCTTCAGCTACCAGGAGCTGTGCCGGTGAGTGAGTGCCTGGCTCGCCTCCTCCGTCCCGGGGGGCTGCCCCTGGTGAACAGCTGGCAGGGGCCCAAGGGCGGCGCGCGGAACCGGAAAACTCGAGTTGCTGCTTCCCCTTTCCGTGCAGCACCTGGCGCGCAGGTGGAAACGCTGAGCGTTCGGACAAGCGCTGCTTCGGCTTCCTCTTCTTTTGTGTTTGTAACGGTTATGGGACATCTCGTATTTTAGTCTTTAAAGTAGCCTTTTCGTACCTTTTAATTCCCCCCCCCTCCCGCCCTTCTGTATTCCCTCGGTTGTATTAGGGAAATGTGCGTTTGCGTGTCTGGTAAAAGACGCCTTCTGTGTTAGTTCGCAGAGGACGCAACCGCTCCTAATGCCATCCCCCCATAGGTGGAACTGCTCGGGTTTGTTTCAGACATGTTATCTGTGCAGGCAGTGGGGCTGCTTTGTAACTTCTAAAGTGATTTTATGCAAGGAGGAGTGCTTTCTTCAAGGAGTTTAGCTGGGGTGCCATCTGCTGTACTATACAAGTCAGTACTGGGCTGGAGCAGTGTCCTTAATGCCTGGACCTGAGGAGCACTGGCTCCCTTCCACAGCTTTCTGTCAACTGTTAAAACAGTCTTCATTCCTAGGCAGTTTTTGCCTGGATAGTAATTGAGCTTTTTCACAGCTGTGATGTATTGACTCAATTACACTTTGTCAAAACACATTTGCATAAAATTTCCCTTGGGAGAATGGTGTTGCGAAATGAACTTAATTGCCTATCTCAGACCTTCCTCTTTGTTAGGAGGTATAACTAGAGTTATTGCTTGTGTATTTAACTTGTTCAGTGGGTTGGATCCTGCACCATCAAAATAATTGCATATGGTATGCTTGGAACAATGCAAATCTAGTAAGCAGAACAGGTTTTTCCTGCTGTTAACTTGAGAAATTGTTAATTTAACCTTTGCCTGCTCTCCTGCCTTGTGATAGCCAGCTCAAAAGTTCAGTATGTTTCGCTTTCTGTGGAAAGGAGACTCAGCCCTCATCATGTTTTTATGCAAACATTTATGAATGTATGAAGCTGTTTTAGACAAAGTCTGATATGATACATTTAACTGAAGATAGTTTCTACTGATTAGCATCAGTTCTCCAGGATTTCAGATGGGCTCTTCTTGACTCTGCTTAGAGAGGCCAGAAACTTTTTGTATGGAAAGCATTTACAGTATCACTGAACTATGTCTCCTTCACAGGCAACTCTGTAATTGGGGTAGCCTGACATGCATAGATGTCTTGCGTTAGTATGCTGCACCTTGTTACTTTAAGCAAACTGTAAATAGCATTTATTCAAAATTCTTAAAGAATTATTTAGCACCTTTGGGTGTTCAAAATGCATTACATATGTATTGTTGTTGTTTAGTTGTTTAGTCGTGTCCGACTCTTCGTGACCCCATGGACCAGAGCACGCCAGGCACTCCTGTCTTCCACTGCCTCCCACAGTTTGGTCAAAACATATGTATTACGTATCACATTTTGTATTGTTATGGAAGAGAGGAACCCCTAAGCGGTGAGATATTCCAAGCCCAATGAGGTTAATTGCTAATTGAAGCTTTCCCGCCAAGGAAACAATAAACTTTGGATGGGGAGAACACTGGGAACTAATAAGGAACAGGGGAAGCTGCCTTATACTGAGCCAGACTTTTGGTCCATGTATTCATTATTGTCCTCAGTGACTGGCAGACACTCCAGAGTTTCATGCGGAAAATTCTCAGTCCTACCTGAAGATGACAGGAATTGAACCTGTGACCTTCTGCATGTGAAGCAGATGCTCTACCATTGAGCTATGACCCTTCCCATCTTACCTCTCTCTAATAATTTTTTTACATTGATACAAGTTTAGGCACGTCTTAATTAGCTGAGGTTGCTCTACAATCACAAGATCACTGCTGTAGCCCTATGAAGCCTGCCTCAAGCCAACACAACTAAACTCTTAGCTTCCTTTTGTTTCATCTTCTCCATGCACTCCATCCTTAAATAGTATATTTTCGGATCCTATCCCTGCAGATGAATTGTCTGTTCAGAAGAATATTCTTTAATAAATCCCTGCCAGTGTGGAAATTTCAGCAAGTCGCAAGTAATTGATTCTTTAGAGAATGGTTTGTCCGTATTTCCTGCCTTGCTATAAAAGATGGCCTTCAGCAGCTATAACAGTTATCCCCATATTGCAAATGGGGATACACAGAAAGAAGAATGCTTGAGTAAGGCCACCCATTGAGTTCATGGCAGAAGTGACATTTGAATTGGGGACTGCACTGATTTCTTGGCTTTGTCTTTTGGCCACTATGTTACACTACAATCTGTTTCTTCTGCTTTGTTGATTTTTGCGTGGAAGTGGAGAGAGGCTACCATGTTGAATTGTAGATACATTTTTAAACCGAAACAAGAAATTGGTTATACTTGGAGTACATTTTGTTCAGGACTAAGTTGGAAAAGCACTCTTTATGTGTGCAAAAATGCATTCCACATTGAATAAACACAAACAGCGGCTCATTGTGTGAATGAGGTGAGCTGTATACCTGCAGGATTTTACTGAAAAGGTTTTTGCTTCATTTTTCCAATGAATAAAGCAATTCATTGCTTTAGAGAATCTGTGTAGTATCCCAATGCAAGTGGGTTGGTCTCTCTCTCTGTGTATATTTATTAAACTTTTGGGTTGTGCTGTACTAGCAATTCCAACCTTGCCATTGTATAAAGTAGAACATGGCAGGTAATTTTGGCATGTGCCTGCAGACTTGCAATTGAGCACAGAGCAGAAGTTTACAAAAAGCCTGGTTGAGTCTAGATTAAAACTGACTTGGTGACGAACTGATGTGTCTTTATCAGTATCATTTGTTTTCAGGGGAAAAAAATATAAGCAGTGATGTTTACCAAAAACAAAACAACAACAACAAAACAAATTGTTGAAACTTGGAAAATACAGAAATATTCTAAATTCAACACCACTGGTACCAGCACTTAACTTCACCTTAGTCAATCTTCTGCGTGTCAACTTGCAATTATAGCTTCATGATCTTACATAACTGCCTATATTTTCTTGGTTAAAAAAAATAAATCTATATGGTATTTTGTTTGGATATGTCCTATTCTTTCTTGTTTTCCTGCCAGCATTTTAAATATGCTCTCCCTTGGTAAATTTCAGTGTGGAGTCTTTGGGATTTTTCCAATAATACTCTTGTCTGAGGTAGCAATATTGAAATATTTAGAACATTGCTTCTTAAATGCAAGATGTGAACAATATACAAACTTTAGTGTAAAGCCACATTTTAAAATTTAATCTATAAATGCTTCTGATAAATTTTAACTATCCACAATGTGTTGAAATCCAACACAGTGCAAATAGGCAGATTTACGCCACTACTAACGTTGCATTTCCAGAAGAGAGATCATACCCAAAATTACAGAGGGCAATCTACCATATTTTCCCATTTAGGATGGGTTGCAGCTTTTTGAAGGGGGAATATTTAGAAAGTTAAGCCCTGACCTCATGCAGTTCAGTGGTTCTTTGCAATACTGTAGATTAAGGGGGGGAAATCTCTCACTGTTAGATGCCTTGTTGGAGTAGATGCAGTTTGGGAGGGAGGACAGAAAAGCAATATCGGGCACCATTTGTTAGTTACAGAATTATTGTAATGACTAGCAGGAATTGAAAGATTTCAAGGAGAGGAGGAGTAAAAATGTGTTGGTGTTACAGCAGAGGCCTTGCAGTTCTATGTGTCTCCTTGTTCTATAGCCTGATGGAAAGGCTACTAGAGATGACAGTGGCAGGAGAAATCTGATAGAGCTGGTCTTATGGTAGAGTGGATGGAGAGTGACTGTTGTCCATATGGGTTCACTATGTCTGCTCCAGTGCCTAGTGTACTATTTTTGGACTTAATTCACATTTCTGCCTTCCCATAACTTTTCGCCTTACCTCTGCACAGGCCCTCGTCTCCTGCACCCCATTTATTAATCTTTTGTAGCATCGCCTAAAAGTCCCACATTACATATCTATTTAAATATTTCTAGGCTGTTGCTTGGGCAAGGCCCTCACAGGACATCTTACCTAAAACGACAATTTATTTTGGGTATAAAATGCCGTCTATATTTCAGTTGAAATTATTTAAAATAATAGTCTAAAACTAAAACAATAGACTATTATAATATATTAGCTGTAACAACTTAAAGCGATTTCCAAAATCAGCACCATTTGTTGTTGATGCTGATAGCCATCTGTCTCGGGAAACAATGGAGGAGTGTGCCTTTGGGGTGCAGCCAAACCTTCTACCGTTAAGAAAAAACAATTGAAATAAGTGAGTTTCAAAAGCTTGTACTGATTGGGCCATTTATATATCACTTGGGTGAGAGTTCACAAACTGGGGGGGTTGCTACTTGAAAGACCTTGTCTTGTGCCTGGGAGGGAGTTTCCACAAATGTAGGGCTGCAAATGGAAGGCTCCAGAGAAACAACCTTTTCAGTATCTTTGATTTTTAGAGATAGGACCTCTGGAGTTTATCTCGGAGTGCAGGCAGGTTTGTACCAGTGAAAGGGCTTCTTCTGATAACCTGACCACAAACCATTCAGTGGGTTCAAGTTCAGCATAGCCACTTTAAATGTGCTCAGGAGTGCAGCTGGTCCAATATCGGTGTTGTGTGTCTCACTAGCATCTGGGTAAATACTTTTCTTGGAGTCAAGGATGGTGACCATTGTCACAATGTGAGACTGGGAACAAGACCTTGGCAGACTTGGTGACCCTGCTTGGCTACCCGGGCTAGCTAAGATCTGTGGCAAAACAGTTAACAATTTAAGTTGCTTTTGTAATGAGCACAAGTCTCACACTTGTTGATTTAAAAGTATTCTCTTCTGATGTTGTTTTAAGTACTTTGACCATCAGTTGACTGAATTGTTTTGGGCTAGTCAAATGCCCAGCCCTACAAGCAATGCTTCTCTGAGTCAGGTTGGCTCCCTTGGTGAGAAGGGGGCCATGACCACTGTAGAATTGCTTACAGCATTAAGTAGCCTGTACTTCCCTTTGTCTGCCTTTGTGTCATGGGCATAACAAATACATTCCATTTGACTAGAAGTCTCATGATTTGGGACTGGAAACTGAAAGCTTTTTCTCACTGTTAACACCAACCTTTTTTTTTAAAGGCTTTTCTTTTGAATGTTTATTCCATGTCAGATTGCATAAATGAAACTCCTGTGGCCCAAGTTCTTGTCTGATTAATTGAGTCATTTTAAACATGACCTCAGCTGCAGGGGGCTTTCCATGGAGAAGCAGGTCCCATAACGTTAGTCAGGCCAATATAGTTAAGGCTCCTGAGATGAGAGCGCCTATGAATATGGTACGGGTGGCAGCACTTGGAGAAATACATATGCTGCCAAGGGTGAATATGTTTGCATGCAGGGGGAACAGAACCTGTTGTTCAATAAACACAAATGTGAAAATGGAAGTGTTAATTGCCACTTCAGTTCTCAATAACTACTTGCTTTTATCTTCTGTAAGACATGTTGAATCCTTTGTCTGATGTTTTCCACTAGGTGGGTACGGCGCCTGTGGCCCTCCAGATGTTGTTGCACTCCCAACACCCATCTGTCCCAGGCATCATGGCCAATGGTTAGGGATGATGGGACTTTAGTCCTCAAAATCTGTTTAGCTACCCCTGGTACATAGTTACTTAGAAGTTTGTTATTGAAATATTAACTGCAGCTGGAAGAGTGTCCCTCTGAACTAATGGCCAATCTTCTATGACATTCTGGGAAAGAGGCTGTAGCTTGGTGGTAGGTGGAGCATATATTTTGCATGCAAAAGTTCTCAGGTTTGATCCCTGGTGTCTCTAGGTAGGACTGAAATACTGAAGCTAGCTGGGCCTCTATGGAAGGCAGTGTCTTACGTTCCTGAGCATTAAATGCTAATTTCAGAAAAAAAATACTTCCTCACCATCATCATCATCATATTATTATTATTATTATTATTTATTATATTTAATAAATTTGTATTCCACCCTTCATCTGAAGATCACAGGGCGCTTCACAACTTTTAGTTTGTTCCATATTTTTGAGGTGACAATAGATGGTTTGCATGTGTTTAGCAAAGATGAATTTTCATTTTGGTTAAACTGCTTCAGAATGTAATCTGAAATGTGCCTTATCAAAAAGATGTTCATTGTTGCAGCTCCCTGCATTGCTGATAGTGTGCTGGAAAGCTCATTGGGGGGAGGGGTGTGTGTTAAATATGAACAAAAAGTTTGCTAGATTTAAGATGCTGATGAGTAGCCTGGGCTGAAACATGTATCTAAAGAAGTGTGCGCGCACATGAAAGCTCATACCAATAACAAACTTAGTTGGCCTCTAAGGTGCTACTGGAAGGAAATTTTTTATTTTGTTGAAACATGTAGTTTGGCAGCACATATTCATTGTACCTCCCTCCCACTATTCTTTTTCAGTTATACGTGGGAAGCTGTTGATCCAGATAAAGTACACTACAAAATCAACCTCTGTGGTAGTGCCACAGGCTGTGGAGGGTCGAGTACCATTTGTGCATACGACATAAAAAGCAATGCCAGTTTCTCAGTAGGTAAGTCCAGAGATTTGTCTGCTATATGGATGTTAAAATGTGAAACACAACGCATTAAATTCTCTTGCGTGTGCCTGTGTTCAAGGTTTCTCTCCTTGTCCTGAAAGCTTCATGTTCTTGCTGGTGAGCTATATCGCCTGCCCTTTGCGGCAGTTGACTTTTGGGGTGTGGTGTGCAAAGGGAAGAGAATGGCTTAAACTGATAAGGACTGCTTTAAAATGAATCTATCCTTTCTTTCCTGGCTTGTAATGCATGTGTATGTGGGTTGGCATCCTAAAGTTAAGTCTGGTTCTGTTTTCAGCCAGCAATTTGAGGAGGCAGAAATAACTCAATCCGTTAAAGCAAAATCTTGTAGCAGCAGGCAGGGTATGTGGGCAAAGTTTTTGTTTTGGGGGTGCTCTGGTCTCTCCTCTACCGCATAACCTGCGTGATGCTAGGAGCCAGCTGGCTTTTCTCAACCCTTGTGATCTAGCTTTCCTTGAGAATGAGGATTTGGTTTGCTCCTGTTATTCCTTCTACATGCCTTGGCTCCCTCCCCAAAATGGGTCCAGAGAGAGGCGTGTGACATGACCAGCTCAGCCTAGAAGCTTCATAAAATCCATCTCTCCGCCATGAGCCAATTAAAGTGTTACACAAGCAGCACACCCTATCCCTAAACTGCTGATTAGTGATGGTGGAGGGCCACATGTTCCCTGCCCTAGATAAAGATGTAAAAGTTCTAGAAAGCTTGAAGCTGTGGCTAAAAAGCTTTTTCTGTCCCTCTCTTCCTTGGAAAGAACCATAGGTTGACCTGCCTGCAGAACAGGCTTCTGCTTGTGCAACAAGACTTTGCCTTCATCACCTCCTCCATACTCCCACTTCACCCTGAAATATGCTCTTGAGATTGGGGGGATAGTTGCTTTAAAAGTAGATGAGTGGCACACCACCTCCAAGGTGGCTGTGAGGAAAACAAAATATAGAGACCCTCAGCACTGAATTCCACCCCATGCTGGAAGAAGGGGAAAGGCAACTTTCCCCAACTTCCTTTCCCGCTATGCCGCCTGACTCGCTTCACTGGAGGGTTGGTTGAGACACCAGAACACTGTGAAAAGCTGAGGGGGTGGGGGCTGCAGGGGAAAGGGAAACGGTTGAAAATGGATTCTCCCTTGTGTTCCTCCAGTGGGAACCTTTTCCAAGTAACTTCTGTGAATTGAGGCAGTCCTGGAGCACTAGGTTGGGATCCATCCCGGTTACTCTTTTAGTTTTACTTACCCACACCCATCCTGAAATGGCGTCTGGTGGTCATGTGTATATACAGTATATGTATATGTAATATTTTTTGCATTTTGTGGTGATTAAAAAATAGTCATACACTTTTATTAAATTATCATCCTCCAACCCCTGGACTTCAGTTTCAAATAGAACACATCCTATAGAACATTTCTAATTTTGCAATTAGGCCTCGAGAGCATATTAATTCTGGATGATTTCAAGGACTTTCCTTGGCAGCTGTTATAGAGGGTTAGACTTCTTACTTGTCAATGTAAGCTGAGTTCTGGAGCCAGTATCTTGTTCTCGGGGGTGGGGAAGAAGAGAACCATTGACCTTCATAGCCGCAGACTGTCTCTATCTCTTGCTCCTGACTGTGGAATAATGAAAGGAGTTGATTTCCTTTTAAGCAATATATAACTCCTAATAGTCCTGGCAGAGCCAGTCAAAAATCGAATCTATTTTCACTCTTTCTGAGTTGGCAAAAGTCCAAGCTGCAGCATTGATGCTAGCTATGTTCTGCTGAGCATCTTCACTGACTTTGGACTTGGCCGTAGTCACAAGAGAACGGAAAAGACAAAAGGAGAGGGAATTTCATTGAAGGAACTTGTACACAAGTATTTCTGGGTGGTGGCACACGAAATACTTCTTCAAAACTCCTTGGCAAATACATGGGTGTGCACTAAGATGGGGAAATGAGACACTGAGGAGAAATCATGCCTCCCGTGGTTTAGCCTTTGCTAAAACCATGATATAATTAAAAAATGGGGTGCTGCCCACAGACACTGTGCTCCTAGTTTTATGGCGTTAGACAGATGCATGAAGAATAAGGCTGTCAGTGGCTCCTAGCCATGAAAGCTATGCCCTGTCTCCGTGGTCAGAGGCAGCATGTTTCTGCATACCTTTTGCAGGAAACCACAGGGTCCTCCTCCCAGGTTTCTCACAGATATCTGGTTGGCAGCGGTGAGAACAGGATGCTGGACTGGATGAGACAGTTGCCTGACCCAGCAGGGTCTTCTATGCACTTACAGAATACATGACCGCAGACTAAGAATCCATTGTAGTCAGATGACTGAAGACTGTGCCTAGACCCACCTAGGGAAGAACGATGCTTCAGTTTTTCATGGTGGGCTTGCTAGGCAGATACATTTTATTTAGCTGGGCCTCTGATTCATACGATGTGTGTCTCCATTGATTTTAACCTGTGTGTGTGTGTGTGTGATTTTATGGATGATTTTAAGAGCTTATTTTTGGGTTTTCCTTTTACTGCTTTTTGTTGTATTTGTTGCATTAGCTGGCTCGAGCACCTTTAATGGAAAGGTGTGATCTAGATAGGTGAGTGAATAGCTCCAGCTTCATGTTTTGGCTGTATGCCAAAATAAGAAAAAAGAACAGAGGCCTACTTTGCACAGAGGCAGAGAAGCTGTATTGCATCAGACTGCAGGTGGAGGCTCACCTGACTGGATGCTCTTCATTACGAAAGCTAAACTTCCTCAATGCTAGAAAGATGAAATAGAGATAGATGTTTCCTTGATTTTTTAAAATGCTTCTTAAGTCACGAGCCAGCCTATTCATTCAAGGTCAAAACCCACATGTTTCTCCCTACAGAAAAGGACTAACTGAGGGGGTGCTCTTGTTCTGCTCTATATGGCTTCTATATGGCTTGGCTCCTAAGCAGGGCAAGACCCTTCCATGTACACAAATATCCCTGCAGAATTCTTCCCAGTTTTCCACCCCCTGCAGCCCTTGTACCTCATCCAACACCGTTTGAAAACGGGTTCTCATTCCTTGGGAGCATCTTTGCTTTGGGTGCTGAGGGTTTTCGTAAGGGATGGCTCTAGGGGAACCCCGTTGCACAAGCGTGGAGTTCAGCTGGCTGCTCTTGGGTGGCCAAGAGATCAGAGGAATGAGAGTAGGTTAATGGGAGTTTCAGCAGTAGGTGTTGTTCAATCCATTCTTAACCTAAAGAGATTTCTCATGAAGGTGTTCTACTACTCCAAAACATGTTTAGCTCAATCTTTGCACATAAAGGTAATCAAGACAAATGTGTTTTCTGTAAGTGGATATCAGGTGGGCTTTTAAAAAAACAACAACTACAATATGCCCTGTACTAAGCTTTTGAAATATAGGCATTTACCCTCTGAATTACAGAAGATCTATTTCAAAGTATCAGTTCTGAATTGGTTAAAATTGGATTACGGAAGGCTTGTGTGGATTGGCAAATCCAATTTGGCCCAAGCTTCTATTAGTCTTACACAATATAAGGCAGGGGTATAAATATATTTTGACTTCGTTGTTGCTTTGTTTAGGGGATTCCTCGTTGATGAGAAGTTCTAAACTGCTCTTGGAGTTCAACACTACACAGACTTGTAGACAGCAAGGAACCGAGCACAAATTACAAAGCAACATTAATTTCTATTGTGGGAAGACTCTGGTCAGTATGGCATTATTGCCAAAAACCTTTCTAGTTTTAAAAATATATGCAAGGACATATTTTCCTCAATTTTTAATGTGTTTTTGAAAGCTAAGTTTTATTATTAAAACATTGAACATGATAACCAATACAAAAGTATAATTGATAAATCACAATAGGAAAATACAAACATGTTGAGAAATGCATTTTTTTATATTTTAAAGACTTAATGTCAATTCATATGCTTTATTTCTTTCAATATGGCATCTGTTACTTTTAATTTATAGATTCTTTCTGGTATAAAGCTACCTGTATATTGTGTTTCCTTGGCTCTTCTGGAGTGCATGGGCTTTGTTTAGAAGGGATACCCAAACCAAATGTTTGTTTTTATCTCTCAGTAACTGTATAGTTAATCAGTTTATGCACACGGGTTGACTGTAAGATGTATTGTATTTTAGTTACACCTGTTTTCTCAGCCAACGTTAACTGACTGCCAGAGCAGCTTAAAATTAAGATCTATAAAAAGTTGGGCTACTGGGGCATGTTTTTCATGTATAATCGGGAAATAAAAGTGCATTTGAGAAGGCATCTGAGAACCCGAATTCTAATTAATTGTCCTGTTATTCCAAGTACCTTAGTTTGTGGTACACTATGTGTATGTACTTTCATATTCCTGGCTTCATTCCATATCTGCCAACTTGCCAACGAAAAGTCATTCAGCAATTAATTACCTCCTAGAGTGTTCTTGTTCTAGCTCTAGGCAATTGGTTTCTGTTACCCGTTTGAACGATTAAGCTTTCTGTTTTTGGTTTAATAATGAGTAACAGCACACTTTGTATTTCGTCAATTTCTTAATCAGGGTTCCCCAGAATTTGTGACTTCAACCAGTTGTGTGCACTACTTTGAATGGAAGACATATGTGGCCTGCAAGAAAGATTTGTTTAAACCAACTGAAGAGGTAATGCAAGTTCTAGGCTGGAGTGGGGAACCTTTTTGGCTCCACATTCCAGGTCCTGATCAGGATCAGTCTCATGGGCCAAAGTTGAAAGGAGGCTGGTGATGCCACCTGTTAAAATCTCTTGCACAGGGTTACTGCTTGGGAACCACATGGGACCCACATCACAAGGAAAGTTGTCAACCTCATGCTCAATGCAACGGCAAGAACGGGGAGAGGGCAGGCGAACACAGGGAGGTGGGCATGGTTGCTCCTCAGCCCTGTTGCTGGTTTCCCTAGTGAGCAAATCATAATGGCAGTAAAGAGCAGCCAGAGAGGGCTCCAGGCTGCAATGGACCCTTCTGGGACAATGGAGCCTTGACTAGCCTAAGGTATACTTCTAAGCATTCTAGCCCCAACCTGGTTCCACTGGTGAGCTATATAACCAGTACCTTGAATTAATGCACAATTCCATTGGCAGCAAGGCACTTACCTAACCGTTTCAGCAAAACTTGATGCAATATCTACATCAGCTATACATGTTGAAGCATGATTCTTCCATAGGCAGGTCTCCAATGGGAGTGTCTGTATTGGGATTCTTTCCTGAAATGTGTGAAATGGTCTCTGAAATGGTGTGATGCTTTCTCTTCTGCATGTCATTAGTGTGATTTAATTTCTAGGTGCCTTGTTACGTATTTGATGGAGACTTGAGGAAACGTGACTTGAACCCACTGATTAAAACTTCTGGAGGATACTTGGTAGAGGACTCGGATGATGACGTGGAGCTCTACATCAACGTCTGTAGAAACATAGGTCTGAACCTTGGCATACATTGTGTGTCTAATATGCCTGCTTTTTGTTTTTCATCTGAGTCACATTTTCCCCTTAGAAACTTGAAGCACACCTTCCTGTAAATAGTCTGATACATATTTTTTAAACAGGTTGAAGCATGCTTAATTTCTTTTTGAAAATTATTTTGCTAGTCAGTACTTTGCAGTATCTGGTGACTCCTTGGGCCACTAAAATATTTTACTAGATGCATCATGATACTGTTTTACACGATCTTGTATTGACTATAATGACCTTCTTTTTTTTTGAGACTTGCTTTTGGGATACATTTTCCAAATGGGCCATTGCCGTGGTTATATAGATGGAATGAGATGCTGCTGCTTTTTTCCCTTAAGGTCAGAATTAAGAACAGAGATTCACCTCAGTTTTTCTGTCCCCACCACCAGGCTTTCACATCTCTAATTGATTAAGAGCCCATTTTCTTTCCTAGAAAGAATACATCTGAACGATCAAACCTCAGATGCATTCAGAATAGTGTATTACCTCAGCCCTTTCAAACATGAACCGAGATACGCCTGAGTAACCTTTTTCCAGCCTCCAGATGTTAGAATCAAAGAATGGTAGAGTTGGGACGGACCATGAGGATTATCTAATCCAACCCCCTGCAATGCAGGAATCTTTTTGCCCCACGTGGGGCTCAAACCATAACCCTAAAATTCAGAGTCTCATGCTGTGCCGACTGATCTTCCCCAAAAAAACAATTTTACAGTGGACTTCCTCAGTTTAAGAGACATAGAAAACAAATTCCCTGTGTTCAAACATTCCTAAATTCTCTGTTGCATTGTTTGCATCATTTTTTTAAGATTTGTTAGGCCTTCCAGAGGAACAGTGGAACACAGGCAGCTGCCTTATATGAAGTCAGACCATTGGTCCACATAGCTCAGTATTGCTGACTTGGGCAGCAGCTCCCCAAGGTTTTGGGTTAGGAGTCTTTTCCAGCCATACCTGGAAGTGCTGGGAATTTGAATCTGGAGCCTTTTGTTATCAAAAAAGATGTTCTGCTACTGAACTACAGTCATTCCCAGATTTCATCTTGTACATGATTGTTATAGGATCTGTAGTTCAAATGTTGTCAGTTTTCCAAGTTACTGTCCCGACATTTCCTCTCTAACACAGTGCTGAAGAAAACAAAGTAAAAGGTCATCTATGTGCTCAGCTTCTGATATTAGTAGATAATAGATCAATCATTAGTAGATGGATCAATACACCTTATTAGAACTGGCTTTGCCCATCTTAAGTTACTCATAAAAGCTTGCGAGTTTTAGGAAACAATGCCAAATAAGGATAATATGTGGAGTTGAGATTATTCCAAACTTTTAACACATCACTGGGGTAATACTAGTTTGTAAAGCTTACCCCTCTTAGGACAGTAAGACGTAACTCAAGAGTTACTAAAAGACTGTTCATATTCTCTGAAGTATCGTTTCTAGAGAGCCATTCAGCCAGGAACTGTTGTTGATATGCATAGTGCGTGCAGGTATTTGGTAAATTTATTTTTCCCCCACTCTGGGTATCTTGAACTGAGTACCTTTTGCCATTCTAGAATGTTTCTGCAACCATAAAGATGTTAAGATAAGTATTGCCTACTCCTCCAGCTTAGTGGGTATTATATGTAAAGATAATCTTTGATTTCTGTAGCTTTGATTTTTCAGTCTGGCCCAGCAGTCTCCTCGTCCCATTTATTCTTATGCACTACATGGTCAAAATTAAGTTTACATTTAAATGGAAGACTTTGCCCTAACATCCTTCTGAAACCTTATTTATGGTCTTATTTCTTACATAAACATTGTATTGACAGGAAAATCCTCTGTTGAGGGCAAGGGTTGTCCAGAGGGAAGTTCAGCTTGCCTGTTGAAGGATGGTCATGCATTTGACCTGGGGCATCCTAAAGAACAACTCAAGCAGCTTGATAAAAACAGGTATGACTTCAGTCTTATGGTATTTTAAACCAGGGTGAGGAAACTGGGTCCCCTACAGTGCTTTTTGACACCCTTAAGTATGGCCAGCAATCAGGAATTATGAGAATTGTAGTCAGCAACGTTTGGAGGGCCACAAGTTCCCCATCTCTGCTTTAAAGGGGCTATCATTTGAATATCAATCTTAGTAAATGATTTCAAAAGTAGTCTACTGTAAAGTACAGTTTACCGTTTAGCACTCAAATTATTTTGTTGCTGTTGGGAATACTGGTGGCTTAAGAGTTCCATTTAATGTATTTTCTTTAATCCGTAATTAATCTAGCCAGTTTTTGTTTCTGGAGCACGGTAAAGCTAACCACTTATAAAAGCATGATCTAGAAACTTTTTAGTATTTAAATTTTATTAGTCTTCTTAGTAATTTTGTGTTCTTCTCTGACTTTCACAAAAGAATTGCTGAAAGCATATTACAAATACAACAGCAGACATCTGTTTGTAAAAATAAATACTGTTACTCATAAAAAAATCAAAAGTTGTTAAAACAAACCTGCATATAATTTAAAAAATGCAAAAAATAAAATAGGAGATCAACCAACAAAGCAACAATGATCCAGCCATTAAAACATATTAAACTGTAAAAAGCACACAAAGAATGGCGCTTGCAATTCAATTCCTTTAGCAGCAGTGGAATCAACTATTTGGATGAAGGGAAATATGCTCATCTGCTGGTGGATTAAAAAGATAAAGGTAATTTCTTGAGACAGGAAATTCCACACATATGCCTCAGAAAGCAATTGCGCAGCAACAGCTGAGCTGGAAAAATGGAGATTCACATAAGGAGGTGGTCCTTCATGCATCTTGGTCCCAAGACATTTTGGGCTTTGTAGGTGACTAGCGGGGAGTGCCCGGCATTGCCAGAAACTTGTACAAAAATGAAAAATATTGTGATTTTTAAATGGATAGTATAATTTGTGAGTTTGGACCCTGCAAGCCAAAAATCGAATGAAATCACACCAAAGTCACCTTTTGGCCCACCATGTTGATTCAAAATGGCTTCCGGCATCCAAACATAAACAAAGATGATTTCCCTCACCTTGGGAACCCTCATGCTGAGTTTTGTGATGATATCTCAAGATACACCCAAATCTAGGGAGAACAGATGAACAAGCCGCTTTCCAAAATACGTAGCCAGTACCTTGAATTGTAGTCTGAAATGGACTGGGAGCCAGTGTAGCTGATAAACTAAAAGTACAGTGGTACCTCGGGTTAAGAACTTAATTAGTTCTGGAGGTCCGTTCTTAACCTGAAACTGTTCTTAACCTGAAGCACCACTTTAGCTAATGGGGCCTCCCGCTGCTGCCACGCCACCGGAGCACGATTTCTGTTCTTATCCTCAAGCAAAGTTCTTAACCTGAGGTACTGTTTATTGGTTAGCGGAGTCTGTAACATGAAGCATATGTAACCTGAAGCGTATGTAACCCGAGGTACCACTGTATAAGGTAGCTGTATTAAATCCCACTCTTGCTGTTTCTGCGTGTCTCACACGGTCTCCTCTCTCAAACTCCCCCCCCCTTGTTTTTCCAGGCTTTCCCTGAGATACGAACGCAAAATTAGCAATGCAAATGAGAGGCCTGACTTCTGTGGTGACCATGATCCAGCAGTGACTGTTACTTTTGTGTGCCCAGAGGGGAGGAAAAAAGAGGTAACTGATACCTGGGGTTTCAAATCCTGTTGCTTGATGACAGAAACTGATGGACAAAATCCTGGGCCTAAAGTTGTTTATTAAGCAGAGGTTGGCTGGCCCTCTGTCACGGACAGTGTAGCAATGGATTTCCTGCATTGGCAGGAGGTTGGGTTCAATTACTTTTGAGCCAGCTTCCAACTCAGTTATTCTATATTTTCATTTAAAACATGGATACAGTGGCCTAAATGAACTAAATGATAGGTTAGCCTGTGAACATACAAACTAGGGAAACTCTGGCTTGTTCTAAGCAAAAGTTAGTTAAAACTAGGATATTATTTATTTGTTCATTGCATTTATCACTCAGCTTTTTCTCCAAGGAGCTCAAGGTGGCCTTCTCTCCCTCCTCATTTAATCCCCACAGTAACCCTGTGTGGTAGGTTAGGCCAAAGATCACCCACAGTCACTCTGCTTCATGGTGGAGAGGGGACCTAAACCCTGATCTCCCAGGTCTTAGTCCAACACAAAGTGGTAGAAGTCTAGAAGCATCATGGGGTGCATTTCAGCAAAGCAGCTTCTCCTTCTCTTTCCTCCTTCCTCCACACAATAAAATTACAAGCTCTGTTGCTTGTCTTGTTGTGGATCTACTCCATACAGCACATCTTGTGTGTGCGAGTCTGTGTGTATGCAAAATATGCCTTTTGAACTTTGTAGGGGGCTATAACTTGGAGCCAACCCAAGGGAGTTTCTTTTCACCTTTCTGGGCACACATCTTTTTCTTTTGTATTAGGTGACAAGTCCCAGACTCACTGCTCAAAGTAACTGCCAGTACGAGATTGAATGGGTTACAGAGTCTGCCTGTCACAGAGACTACCTAGAGAGTAACAACTGTGTCCTGACCAGCAAGCAGCATGGTATCTATGTGAATTTGACACCCCTCAAACAAATTCCAGGTAAGCACCCTCTTTTTTTTTTAAGAGTGAAGCAGTGGCATCAATATAAACCAAGTTAGTAGCTATGGTAGAGGAAGAAGCATTGGTGCTAGTGTGTGGTATAGTCCTGTATAGGGTTACACCGCTTCTAAATTGGTCTGTGTTGAAAGTGTTCCTTATTGTAGGACTGTGCATAGCCTCCCCAACCCAGGGACCACGTGCTCTTCTCCCATGGCTCCCTGCTTGCTCCTCCCATAGTAGCAGCATCACCAGCTTTCTACAGCCCAGGTGTAGCTGGTAGTAGTAGGCCCAGGGAGTTGCTGTGGTAATAGATCCTTGGGAACAGGCTGTAAGGAGGCCAGGGTAGAGAGATGGAATTCTGCAAGGCACCTTTAGAAAATAGTATCCACCAACCTATGGGGTGCTGTTTTGCAAGCTGCTTTCCTGACGGGAAGAGCCTTGCAAAGGAGCACCTGCATCCCAGAGGATTGAGAATGTGCTGGGGAATCAGCAGCCTTCCCACCCCCTTCTCTACCCCTGGTTACGCTGGGTGGCCTGGGACTGTTTCAGCCTGACTTCACTTGTCCCAAGCCCAGATTCCCCTGAATCGGCCTGATGTGGCTGAATCCAGGACACAGCTGTAGTTTGTATAAATAGTTTGCTGCATGGGAAAAGTTAAACGTGGTTTGCCAAATTTTCTGGGAGCAACCACACATTTGGAAATCAAGCCAACATTTTGGTCACCCTACAAATACCCTTTTCCACAGAAGAAAATTGCTCACGCTTACCCCCCGCCCCTGGCTGCCCGCAGCAAAACTCAGACCTAAAAAACAACCCTCCCCCAAAATTTACAACTACCACAACAAAAACAAATAAGAATAAAAGTGGTTAAAAATAAATTTGAAGAGTCAGGGCCTTGGTGGGCACCAAGTATAGCTTTCTGAGAGTGTTGTGGTGCCCACGCACTCCATGTTGGGGACCCCAGAGCTAAACTGTTGAAGAGAAAACTAGGTTGTAAGTCCCTAATACCCAGCTTCTTAGCTCATGGTGGCTGGAGACTGTTTCTTCCCCCTCCACCCAGAGGTGATGCAGTTTTGGGTGGACTGTACCAACATGCCTGCATTAAGATTGCAAAACCTCAGAATTGGATACTGCTCACCAGATGTTGAAACCATGATTAGTGAGCTGCTGGCAGAGCCTCTGTCTAAATCTGACGGTGATGAAGAAGAGAGCTGTAGATTGTGTTGGCATCTGTAGTTGCAATCCTTAACTTGTATAAACCAAATGTGTGGTTTGTGTCACATTGTGGTTGAAAGTTTTTTGGCGTTTTTGCATGGGTTTCTGAAGCAGCCAATGGAAAGAGCTGAACAGCGATGCAGCTGTGAGTTTGTGGGGCATGAGGTGACAACACAAGCAGCTCACTAACAGGGCTGTAAACTGATTACACAAGTTCTGTGGCTGTAAATGTGTATTTCTCTCTGTATAGCCACCTAAATACTTTTACCAAATATGTGCTTCAATCATCACGACCCTCCTTTCTTTAGCGTATGTCACACCTTACGTTGCCAAAGACAGAGAAGAGTATTCCTACTATCTGAATGTATGTGGCAAAGCAGCTGGAGGTTACTGCAGTGATGCCAATGCTTCGGCGTGCCAGGTCAAACATGCAGCTGTTCCTCAGCAGAAAGTGGCAGGAAGGTTTACCCACCAAACACTCAGGTGAGTGCTTAATTAGAAAACAGTCTTTGAGGGTTAGTATTTATTAGGAACTAAAGCACCTGTATGCAGTGTTGGTTCTTGGCAATTCTAGATTCATAGAATCTTAGAGTTGGAAGGGACCCTGAGGATCATCTAGTCCAACCCTCTGCCATACAGGAATATGCACCTGTTCAGGGCTAGAACCCGCAACCTTATTTGGATTGGAATACAAAAGAGGGAGGTATGAGGAAGTCCAGAAAATAAGCAAACTAAAAAAACGGAAATGGAAAAGAGATATTGTTTTTAATTGTTATGTTTTTTTGTCTTTTATTGTTGAATTGTGTTCTTTTTTGTGTGTTCTTGTTACCTTTTTTTTCTTTCTTTTTGAGATATGTATTGTGTATGTTTTTCTTTTCTTTTTTTGTTGTTGTTTAAAACTTTAATAAAAATTATTTTTTTAAAAAAAAAATAGAACCCGCAACCTTGGTGTTATCGCCACTACACTCTAATCAACTAATTCAGAGTTTGTTGTGGAGGACAATCCGGTTGGACTCAGGTTCTACTGTCTAGTTTCTGCTCTTAGTTTTGGAAGAGAAGGCCTTAACAAGACAAAGATCTTTTAGACAGATGTAGAGCTAAAATGGATAACATTCCAAATTAGAAATCTGTTTGCCTCTTTTGAGTTGTGATATCCATCTAATGAACCTTTTTCTGGTTTCCATTGAGTGTGGGCCACTGGTGAGCTCTTTTTCTTCCTTAAATTAGATGAGCTATATTTGAATATTCACCCTTTTGGCTTTTGAAATCAGGTATGCTGATGGAGACCTCATTCTGACATACCCAGGAGGAGATCCTTGCAGCTCTGGATTTGAGCGAATGACTGTCATAAGCTTTGAATGCAATCATACGGCAGGTAATGAACATGCTAGTTATCTATGGATCGCTTTGAGCAATATTCTGTGTCCTCCAATAATACTTGCAGCTGCCCCACCACAGCCCACTACCGCTTGAATGCTAACAGCTCCTTTTGTTCTGAAGTCTAAAAGTTATGCAAGCATTTAAGAAATGTGGGTAGGGAAGAGGATTTCTAATTAATGGAGGATTGGTATATAACTGGGTATTTGTTATGAGAGCAATAGAACGTTCATGTTCAGAGGTAGCATGTTCCTCAGAGTTCAGATATTGGGAGCAAAGCAGCAGATATTTTGCTTTTTTACTCTGCTCGTGAGGTTCTTAGGCGTGCTGTTCTCAGTGGCTAACCAGGTGCCTATGGGAAGCTTGCAGGTAAGACCAGAGTACAATATGCTCTCTCCACGCATGATTTCCCAGCATTTGGTATTCAGACATACTGACAAGAGAGGCTCTTTGAATTATCCAACACCATTCTTGCATTCTTACCCATCAGATGTTATAGTGCACAACCCTTAATTCTTCAGAGAATCTTAAAAATCCATAGATGGTTCTGTACCCAGTACTTTAATGTACACCCTAAGCTTGAGAAGTAAAACTTTTCAAGCTAGAATTACATACTCCCACATTAACCTGCCAAGTATTAGAGCATATCTGCCAACGTTTCCCGTTTTTTAAAGGGAAATTCCCTTATTCCGAATAGGATTCCTCGCAAGAAAAGGGAAAAGTTGACAGCTATGCCTCTGGGTGCCCTCACTCTTTGTGGTGAGACAGTTAGCCAACAGGTTAGTGATGCATCTCCCCACATCAACTAATCCAGCACTAAATTGGGTGTGCCTGGGTTTTTAATAGTTTTTGGACTGGCTTTCAGCTGCTCCGGGTAAAGTGCCAGTGCTGTTGTTTTAATCATAAGTTATAAGGCACTATGAGAATATTTTAATGCTATAATTTGTGTAATTTATATTTTCCTTATCCTAATCTTCCTATATTTTTAATGAACTTCTCAAAGACAATGATGGCAAAGGAAGCCCAGTGTTTACAGGAGAAACAGACTGCTCATACTTCTTCACCTGGGAGACCAAATACGCATGTGTAGCAAAAGAAGATCTTCCTTGTATGGTTACAGACAAAAGGAAACGCTATGACTTGACACGATTGATTCGTCATTCTGGTATGGCAATTAAAAAATAATAATTAAGATATGCGCTACATTTTTAAACTTTTGTTCATTTTGCCTTATCTCAGATGTCCAGGAATGTTTTAAACCTGAAAACAGTAAATATAGGGCTGTTTTAAGTGCTATCTTAAATGGCTTATACTCCTTCCAGGTGGTGACTGTGGGTGGTGGGAATTCTCTTTTTTCTCCTCCATTCCTGAACCCGCCCACCCCAGTTTGCTTAGCAAAGTCCCCCAACTCCCCAGAACAGATTTGGAGTACATGCATTGCTGGGGAGAGGGAGGGGAAGTCCCTCTGTGTGAACAGAAGTCTATACCACTGGCAGGGTAATACCGTAGGATGTTAACCTGTTCGGTCACAGATCGGAGGCTGGTGACTTTCCAAATCAAAGGGAATTTAGAGTTGGAGTTCAGAATTGTGGTATTTCAGCAGAAAATGGCTTTGTATGTTCTGGCTGTTGGAACACAGCGAATGTGTTGGAATTCTTAAGCTATCGGGCAACTAGCAGAGATCTGGAGCTAGAGCACTTATACAATATGCTCCTTGGCAGATTTGTCCTGCCATGAGGTAAACTAACCATATTTTGGGATTGTTGCAATTTTTGACTAAACTTCAAGAATCAGTTTGCATTACAGTAGTAAAAGTCTCGGTTATATCAGTTCCTAGGTTTTTCTGTGGAATTTTTCACTACAACTCCATTTAAACACGCTCTTGGCCAGTGATATTGCCTGTCTTTGCAGGCACCAAAATGGGCTCAGAAGCACTGCAAACCCCCTAACCAGCTTACAAGGAACACTAATGCTTCTTGGACCTTTTTTTCCTGGGTGACTTTCATCCCCTCAGTTATAAGCACATGATTTTTACTTACGCTTTAATGGTTTTACAATACCCTGTGTATAATTTTTGTAGCATTTTATATAAAGCCCAGTTTCAGTAGCTCTATAAATTGTATTATTTCCATTGGCAGTGTTGTGGTGTTTATAGCATTCGTTAGTTGCTTTATACAAAGAGATAAAATTGATTAAAAGCCAAATATAAAATGGGTTACTATTCAAAATTCCTAAAATGCTCATCCAACAATGCAATGAGGAGGACTAGTTCTACCCCACCCCACTAAAAGATGAGCATCACACTAGAGGCTAAATTAACCACCGAAAGACTGAGAAAATAAAAATGACTTAGCTTGGCCCCAGAAACTGTCAAGTTGCCTGGTGTGCTTCCCTGCGGAGAGCCTTCCACAAACAGAATATGGGTTGGACACCATCAGTCAGCATTCCTGATACCAGGTCAAAAGGTCTGTCAGATTTTCACTGTCAGTCTTGCCTGGATTCCTTTTCCAGTTGTCCTGCTTGCAGCTAGCATTAGCAAATTACTGCTAATCGCTGTGTGTGTGTGTGTGTGTGTGTGTGTGTGTGTGTGTGTGTAGAGAGAGAGATTTTAATTGGGATTGCATTCTGGGAACCCTTCCTCCCTGCATGCTTCAGCCCCCTGATGAAAATGCAGGAGGCTGTGCTTGCTACGAAGTAAATAAATTAAAAACCCAATGTGGTTTCTAACTCTATATATTAGAAGTAATATGTGGTTTGACCTGCAGTTGAGTTTCTACATGGCCATTCATTTGTTGGACAGGGGATGGGGAACGATCTGTAATTTTAACACTACACATAATATGGTTTTTAGAGGAATGTTCATCTAAAATGCAATTTCTTAATTTTAGAGTTAGAGCAGAATTGGGAAGCTGTAGACGGTAACCCTGTGGAAACAGAAAAGAAACGTTTTTTCATAAACGTCTGTCACCAAGTACTTCAGAAAGGAGGGGCAGTGAACTGTTCAGAAGAGGCATCTGTTTGCTCAGTTGGTGAGTAACATCCTTGTATGAGCTCCCCACGTTAAAAGAACCACATTCAACAGTTGAATACAATGCTGTATGTGCTATTTATAAAATAGTAATTCCTTCAAAGGACATACATTGGATTGCTCACTAAAACAAGTATCTGTATTTCTTGTTTGGTGTGTGGCTCTTTTTAGGTGAAGACAATAGCACAAAAAACCTAGGGACGTTTATGTCTGCTCCCACAAAAGTTGGAGAGAATATCCAGCTTTACTATTCGGGTGGCGATGAGTGTCGACCAAAAAAGACAATTGAAACAAAGATACTCCTCATATGCAAGCCAGGTGAGTACTCTGGCTTTTATTAAAGCCAAGGTCTGGGGATGCAGTCTCAAGCTGCAAACCTTCATGAAGGCAGTGGTGGTAAGGTCCATAAGTCAGGGACAGGCTACATTTTTCAGCCTGAGGGTCACATTTCTTGCTGGGCAACATTTGGAGGCAGCATGCCAGTGGTGAATGGGGCCAGAGGCAAAAGTGGCCAAAACAATAAATGTAAAATTGACCTTTGTATGGTAGGCTAGTTTCTACACACACACACTCACCACACTCTATCTTCCTGTTCAGACACACGTTCCAGCAGGGCAAAAACACTGAAGGAGGGTATGGGGGAAGACCAGTGAGGGATGTGGGGCTGCGGAGGGGTTAGGGGGAAGAGTCTCAAGGGGCAGGAGGAGGACCTGGAGGGGTACATTTAGCCTTCTGGCCTGAGGCTCCCTGTGCCTGCTATACATGCAGATCTCCCATGGTACCTGCACCTTTTTTAAAATTAGGGAGGGGGTGTAAGGACATGCAAAAATGGCTCTTCTGAGGTAATGCACTTGGCTTGCTTCAGTAACTAATCTATGTATCTGATAAAGTACTGGTCTCTTGAAAAATGAAGTGTGTATTTGGTGGTTCAGTTTAATAATTATCTATATCTTCCCAGGTGACCTGGAAAGTGCTCCTGTTTTGGTTAGTTCTGGGTACGACGGGTGCCTGTATGAGTTCGAATGGCACACTGCTGCTGCCTGTGTCCTGTCTCAAACAAAAGGTGACCAGTGCAGAGTCTCTGACTCTCAAGCAGGTGAGTAACCTGTTGAAAATGGTAAAGCGGGAACCGGGGCATGGGATTTCGGTCTGTGTCACAATTTCCAGCTTCTAGTTCAACTCCCTCTTTTCATCTATCATCACTTGTCTCAAAGCAGTAGGAAAGACTGTTTCCATCTCTTAAAAACAACAACAACAAATCTGAATCCTACAACTTCGGAATTCATTGCCTGTCATGCTCTGCCAGAGGCCTTCTGGAAAGACTTTAATACTGACTTTTCTCTATTGGCTTTCGCCAGAAGTTTTGGTGTGTTTTTTTCATACAAAAAACTTAGTCTGTTTTTGTTGCTGGCCTAGATTTATATTTTGCGATGGGCTGCCTCTATTGCTGGTCTCCCAGAATCTTATTCATGAGTATTTTTGTTCTGTTTCTGTGTTTTTATTGTAAGCTGCCTTGAAAGAGTTAAGTCAAATGTAGCATATAGTTTAAGTAAAACAATCAAATGCTGTTGTATCCTGTGTATTAAACATAATTTATCCTTTAAAAAAGAGTAAATTTTGTTTCCTGGAAGAGAAGGTATATGACAAGTTGCTGGTGCATATCCAGTGACAGAATCTTGAAAATGCAACATTACATTGGTATTTTCTTTTCTTTTTTAAAAATTCTTTCTATTAATTTTCATAAGCAAACAGAAAAACAAAACAACCGTACATAAAAAAAGAGAAAAAAAGAAAACAAAAACAAAAGCAAGAACAAACAACAGAAAACCTAAACGGACCAAAAAAGAAACACACGAATTGACTTCCCTCCATCTCGGTTTTGGATTATATAAGATTGTAATTCCATTCTGCAGTTTTCATTTTATATCATCTATGCATCGCAAGAATTATGTTAAACCTACTGTGATTTTTAGATTTCTAGAATTTGTATTTTCTTAAATCCAACTACACTAGTGCAATGAAAATTGAAAACCTGGTGTTTTGTGTCCTTAAGCATGCATACTGCCACAAGTGTAGTGGGGGTGGGGGGTGTATACTTTGTGAAACTGGGGTGTTAGAATCATTTATGGGCAACTGTTTTAAGGTAGCACATGGAGTCTATTAAATCATGTTTGCCCATCTTACCTCTCAATCTTTAAAACTTTTGTGCTGAACAAATGATTTTCATTCATTTCTGTTTAGGGTTCTCTTTTGACTTATCACCTTTGATGCATCACACTTACACAGCAAACACAAGTGACTATACTTTCTACATCAGTATTTGTGGCAATGTGTCAAACCAGTTGTGTGCGCCACAGTCTGCGGCATGTCAAGTGAAGAAAAAGTAAGTGTTGTTTATGCCTTCTCCTGCTCTATGTGTGTACTGAGGAACACAGTTGGCGCTGTGGTCTAAACCACTGAGCCTCTTGGGCTTGCTGATCAGAAGGTCAGCAATCTGAATCCCCGCAACGGGGTGAGCACCCATTGCTCTGTCCCAGCTCCTGCCAACCTAGCAGTTCAAAAGCACACCAGTGCAAGTAGATAAATAGGTACCGCTGTGGCTGGAAGATAAACAATGTTTCCATGTACTCTGGTGTTCCGTTGCGCCAGAAGCAGTTTAGTCATGCTGGCCACAGGACCCGGAAAGCTGTCTGTGGACAAACGCCGGCTCCCTTAGCCTGAAAGCGAGATGAGCGCCGCACCCCATAGTCGCCTTTGACTGGACTTAACCATCCAGGGGTCCTTTACCTTTACTTAGGAACCCATGCAATAGTGACTAAATTACTGGACCCTGCCCTGGAACCTTAGGGTGAAGGACCAGTAATTAATAATAATAATAATAATAATAATAATAATAATAGTAATTAAGTTGCACACTTTGTTGAATACAGTGAGAGTAACTTCTGAGTACTTATGCCCAAGATTGCACTGCGTTGCTGCAATCCCTCGCCGTTATTGAGTTAGTCCCATTAAATTCAATGGAACTTATTGAGGTCTGATTGAAAATAACTGGTATTGGCAAAAGCCTTGCGTTTAAGAGCATGGAATATTTGATTGATAAGGTTGTAAAAATATCTATATATAAATAGATTAAGTTTCTTGAGTTAAGATAAAGGAAGGAGGGTAAGGATTTGCTGAAAGGAGTTTCTAAAAGGAAATACTAGTGGGGAGGTGTGGGGAAGTCAAAGAACCAAGGAAAGATAAGAAGGTTAAATGAAAGTATAAATTTTTAAATTTTTCTGTTTTTTTCTTTTCTTTTTTGTCTTTCTTTTTTATGGTTATTGTTATTTTTTGTTTTCCTTTTGTTACTGTTATTGTTGTTTTTTGTCTTTGAAACCTTGTATTTTTGTATGTTTTGGAATCTTTGTAAAACCAATAAATATTATATTAAAAAAAAAAAAATCAATGGAACTTACTTATGAAAAAATGTTCTTAGGAGCCTTCTAACTGCTAAGATTCTGCTAGCTTGATGTGGCCTTAAATAGAGTCACATAAGAGGAAGACTGTTGAAAGGAAAGGAAAATATGGAAGTCATCTGGGGTCCAAATGACTTATTTGAGGGCTTGTGCCAATGGGAAGTTTGACTTCTTAATTGGTTTAGCCCCACTTCTGACCTGTCAAAACTGCTTTTTAGCTCACCTGTGTTTCAAAATTCTTGTGCCTTGAAGCTTTGGATGGGGATGCTTCTGTTCAAGGGATGCAAGTATAAAAGCTTTATTGAGCACACAGATTTACTTGATTCGCATTCTGGAACCCGGGTTATCATATTTTAAGTTTGATCAACTGGAGTATAGCTATAGATAATAGTTTACCTTAGAATGTGCATAAGTTAGCACTTCCCTTCAAACGTATAATCTCAATGGTATGCACATCATCTGGGTACTATTTGTATAGACGATAGCATGGCTATCAGTTGTAAATAAGAAATCATGCCTTAAGTTGTACCTGTGTCAGCCAGAACGGATTTAGCCTGTTGTTGATTTTTGCTGGTGGGTTTTATGTTAGGTGGGAAATGGTTCCAAGAACCCAGTCCAATGAACTGCTGTTGCATAGCCAATTGGAGTCTCCAGTACCGTCATGAAGAATGTAGGCAATGGTCCAGTATGCAAACAATAAATTGGCTTTGAGTAGAGAGCACTGGTGCAAATAGCAGCAAGGCATTCCTGCCTTCATACAGTGGGCAAAAGATGAGTCGTAAGGTTGGACTGTCAGACACTGCATGTATCCTTTAGGGCATTATATTAGCTTTTGCAATGCAAACTCATTAGTACTTGGGTATTTGCATCCCTAAAAGAAACCTATATGAAGTTCTGTTAATGTATATTTTTAGTGGTAAGGACACATGGAGTCTGGGGTTGCCCAGTTCTGAGCTCTCCTATTATGATGGAATGATTCAGTTGAACTATCGAAATGGCACACCGTACAACAACGAGAAGCATATGCAACGGTCTACCCATATTACCTTCCTGTGTGATCGTGGTGCAGGCGCAGGTTCACCTGAATATCAAGTGAGTGCCAGTTGTGGATAATTCTTGTGCATCACATCCTTAGTTAAGTCCCCAATAGTTTAACATAATGAGAAGTTAAACCCTCCTACGGGGAGGGGGAATGCCAGTTCAGAGGTATGACACACTGCTTTTTTAGATCTTCCTTTATGGGATGCTAAGTAGCAGCAAGAGGCTTGCTTAATAGCTACAGATAGTTCTTGGAGACTTGCATAATAGATTTTAGCCTTATGGGTACTTGCACAGCTCTGCATTAAAAGTTTTCCAGTAAAGCAGTCATTTCGGTGGTCTTGTGCAGAGGGCTTGCATCCCTGTAGTGAGAAGGAGCTCTATACACAGGGGCAGGTATGGAAAGTGTGTGTTAGAGAACGTTGCCAGCTGATGTTGTACATTTGGATATATCAGCATAGATTTGAGTGGACTTTCTGACAGTAAAAGTTAAGCTTCCATGTGTGACAGCAGAATCATACCACTTTGAAATTAAAAATGGCAGCTTCAGCTTAAAAAGGAGCTGTATTGTTGCTCACCTTTTGCAGTTTTAACTTCTTTGTTTTGTGTATATATGATTATGGTAATCTAGGCAGAAGACAACTTCACTTACAACTTCAGGTGGTATACTCAATATGCCTGCCCAGAAATACCCACAGAATGTGTTGTCACAGATCCTCAAACCATGAAGCAATATGATCTTTCACGGTAAGCAAAACAAAATTTGGAGAATGTAAAATCTGGGTGGAAATGCTTAGCTGGCAGGTTCTTCCTGACCAAAGCACAAAATTTACATTTCATACTTAACATTGTCACTGATAGATCACGTATAGATCAGCAATGCTGCTGCTGTGTTGCAAAATTTCCGAACAAATGGATCATAAAGAAGGAAAGAGGGTGTGGACATATTACTCACAAAGATTGTCTATTTGTAGTTATTGTTATAAAGTAATTGGTATTCCTGAATGTGTGTGTGTGTGTGTGTGTGTGTGTGTATTCTTGCTTTCCTCATTTTGTGTTCTAAAACTGATCAGTATAATTCAGTGAATTTTTAGCATGCTCGTTGCAATGAGATGAATGAATGAAGAAATTCTGCGTTATTGTTAATAACTTGTTAAAAATAAGTTAAAATACAAATTGATGTATCCAAACTCAATATTTTTGTTTTGCACATTTTCCAGTTTATCATTGTCTGCAGACAGGGATAATTGGCAGGCAGTGGACAATTCTGAGCAGGGTCCACGCAAAATATACTACATAAACGTCTGCCGACCTTTGAACCCCATCTCAGGCTGTGACAGGCGGGCATCTGTCTGTGAAATGACATACAGCAAGGTGAGCATTGTATCAGCAGAATTCCTGTTCACTCTTTTATTTGGCCTGCCTTCTGCTCTTCCCTTTTGTATCTAATTTATTCCTGCAGGCAAATCTCCAAGTGTTTAATTAACTTGAGCGCCTCCTAAACTTTAAAAGATTGACTTAGGATGCAGTCGAAGCCCCCATCTGCTGTGCTGGTGAGGGAAGATTGAAGGGGGCAAAGGTCTCCCCTCACCCAGTCCAGGACAGCACGGGGCTCCTGGTTCTGACTGCATAAGTGCAGCTGGGTTGAATTGTAGCCTATTGTCTTCCCACCTGCACATAGCCCATAAACAGGATTGAGCGAGGAGATCCTGAGCCTGCCCTACAGCCTTCACTTGACAGCATTGGATCTGAGTCAGGCCCAATTGCTGTTTCAGTTCCAGGTTTGGGGTAGAAAGGAGCAGGCTTTTGCTTCTGCCCAGACTCCACCCTAGCCAGCATGGGCTGTGGATATAATGGTGGCCATACCGCTCCACCACTCCTGCCACTGCCTAGTTAGATTTTGGATTTCTCTTGTCAGTCCAGCAGGTGCTCTTCATAGCATGACTGCATATGTTCCCGAATTCATCATATACCGTAATTATTTTGCTTCAGAATGATGTTCTTTTTTTCTAATTTCAGAGTGGTTCGCTTGAGGTTTCCATCAGTAATGTGGGGATTGCCAAACAAGAACCTGTGGTTGAAGGCCCTGGCAAAATCCTCCTAAATTATACCGGTGGCTCTTTGTGCATCACGGCGGAGGGTAAGAGTGAGCCTTTCACAAGCCTTGTCCATCTCGTCTGCTCCAAGGCCACTCTCGTAAGTTTCCAGCTAGCTTGCTTCTCCTCTCAGTGTGGGGTCATAATGTTATCTGATTAGACCACCAATATGTAAGAGCACAGAGCATTTGTGGATAAATACCCAAGTCTCCCTTGAATATCCTTTGTTATGAAATGCAGAATGATCTTATTAGTGCCCAATTGCTTAGCCGTTTCAAAATGGCGTAAAAGCTACTCATCTATGCTGGCAATTGAAGCATGATTTTAAAGGCTGTCCAGTGCAACTGATAAAGAGTCGGTTTCATCCCCCCCCCCCCGAGAAATTGCTATCCTTGTTTTAGGCAGTGACTTGCTGATTACCACTTTTTTCTTGGTGTATGTTGGATGGGGGAAAGGATAAATTATTCTTGGGGAAATTTTTAATGCTTTGCAATAAAATGATCACATTTGCTTTACAAGCAAAGAACCTGAAATCCTACCCTCCCAAATTACTGGACCAAAAATTTGCAGCACACTTGGAATGTATCCCTATGGTGCTCTTGAAGCCAGGCTGCTTGTATGCATTCCTTGCCATAACTTTCTGACAACTTGTATTTTCAGAGTAGTAGCCCAAGATTCATTGAGATGAAAGAATGTGTTGCAGTTTTCCTGTGGGAAACGGAAGCTGCTTGTCCAGTCACAACTGCAGCAGGGGATGCTCAGGTGAGTGGCAGAAAACACATGTGGACATTTCTGGGGGTTTTACCCGTGTGCCATATGAATAGGTAAGCAGGCATCTTTACAACCCAGTGCTGCTCATGTCTGCTTGAAGCAAAGATGCATGAGCACCCCAAAGCTTAACCTAAGAACTATTGCATTCTTGTAAGCCCTTGAGTCAAGCACTTGAAAAAGCTCAAAGGTCTTTGTGAGCACCGGCTCAAGTTCTTACAAAAAAGTACCCACCTCCCTTCACCTTGCCATTACCCTCAGCCCACCAGGGAGAAGGCCTTCAACTGGGGAAAGGTGCAGCAGAGGCTGCTTGAGATCTACGATAAGCAAATTTCTGATTGACTCAAAGCCTACTTGCAAAGCGTCTTAACAGGGGCTCTCCCTTCTTCTATTTCTCACAGCATCCTTGGGAGAAATGCAGGATACTAGCTTCTAAGTGTCCCTAAAGAAATGCAGGTTTAATTGGAAGCAAAACTGTTAAACCCAGTTCTTAAGCATCGTTGGGTAGCTTTTATTTGACCTCCCATGGTTGTAGTGAGAAGTGTGAGACATAGAAAGTACAGTCGTACCTTGGTTCTCAAACGCCTTGTTAATGTTTTGGCACCCTAACACTGCAAACCCAGAAGCGAGTGTTCCGGTTTGCGAACGTTTTTTGGAAGCCGAACTTCCGACGCGGCTTCTGTGGCTTCCAGTTGAGTTCAAGAAGCTCCTGCAGCCAATCAGAAGTTGTGCCTTGGTTTTTGAACATTTTCAGAAGTCAGAACGGACTTCCGGAATGGATTCCGTTCAAGAACCAAGGTAAAACTGTACAATTAAATGGAAGGTTAGCTGGGTGTGACTTAACAGGGCGCTGTTTCTGATGATAAAGCTGTAAAAGGAATTGGTATATGTGGGCACCATAATCCTCCTCGAAGTAAGTTCTGATCTTTTGCTTGATACCCATTGGTCTATAAAACTTGAGAAGAGCTTAAAATATGTCTCTGAGGAGCTGTGTCTAACCAGTATGGAAGATGGCCTTCTTGACTTGGAAATCAAAAGGGCTACATGCATTTTGATGGTTCATATCTATCATATCTTATTCTCTCCTCTTGATAAATGGTTTTGTTTTCTACAGAGCTGCACTGTAAAAGATCCCAACAGTGACTTTGTGTTTAACCTGGAACCGTTGGCTTCAGAAAAAAAATACATAGCCATGGGAATTGGGAAGTCCTACATGGTAATGTTTCTTTTCTTTTCTTTTCCAAACACAATACTTCATGTCCTTTGAGTTAATGCCTTTTGTTTTTTGCTGCAAGTTAGTAATTCTATGGCATCTCAGATATTTTATTATATGTTGAATCTCTTAGCTAAACATTTGTGGTCCAGCAGAGGAATGTGCAGTTAACAGTAGCCTGCCAGCTGCTGACTCAATTGGTGGATGTGAAACAGAAGATCTGAAACACATTCGTTTGGTGAAACTGAACAAAACTCTTCAGCTGTCTACCGAAGGAGAACTGTCTCTTAAATACACAGGTAAAGTTGCCTTGCTACCTGTTACAAAGAGCCACTTGCTTCCACCCTCCTTGCAAGGTAGGGGCAGCTGAGAGAGGTCCTTCATGCAACACAAGCACAGGTAGTGCTGTGGCTACTCCATTGGGTTTCCTAAATCAGGGCATGTAGATTTCCAGATGTATGATATCTTTAAGAGGGTAGAGCTAGACCTGAGTCCTCTCACTTCAAGCAATAATTTAGGCAAAGCAGCTAGACATTGGGTGAGCCTGTGTTCAAATCAGCTCTATCATCAATGCCAGGATTCTCATCGAAGATAGTTTCTTAAAGGAGTCAAGATAATGGAGTAAGATCAAAAGCTGCATAAAACCAAGGGTAGCAATTTTACAGCAAATCTTTGACACAGCATATGTGTTCGCTGTCCCACCAGCATCTTCGCATTTCACACAGGGAGATGGAAGGGGCCCACTGAGGCTGAGGGAATAGGCAACATTCCCTTGGGCAATGGAGACCAAGCCGTGTCCAGGCTTCCCGTTTTAGTGATGTGTTTGCAGGAGGGCTCTGACAAGGGCAAAGCAAGCGCACCCAGTCAAATAGGACCCTTGGGCTTACTAAATTGAATACACAGCCTAAAGGCAATGCTTGACATCTTCTTTAGTCTAGGAAAATAGGTTTAGGAGGTGTTAAGTGGGAAGGTTCTCTCTTTGGTTCCTGTCAGCTGGGTTTGTCACAGAGTGAAAACACCCCTTTGTGAATTCAAGCAAAGTGCAGCGACAGCATCGGCCTTCCCGTCAAACTGGTGAATTTTCAGTAGACGCAAAATTCTGAAAAAGGCAGATAGTTGGAGCTCTGACTTTTTTTTTGTCAAATAACTCTTGTGGGTTTACTTTATACTTCTTGGTGTTTTTATTTCTGCTCCTTAGGAATCAATGACACTTTCACTGTGACCTTTATCTGCAATCAATCCTCCTACCCCGGACAACTCAGATTTGTGCATGAAGAGATTAACTCTGCACGTAGAATTTATAATACTTTCTTTGAGTTTCACACGGCCTTAGCCTGCCCACCTTCTCCAGTTGATTGTCAAGTTACTGGTAAGTACATGAATGTAGGGAAATTCATTGGAAAGGTCCCTCGAATCTGCTTCAGTGGTAGAGATGTCCTGCAGGTGGCATGCTTCCTTCCCTCTTCTCTCCAGCAAGTGCTCTGACTTGTTTCCAACATGCTCATAGTTTCCTTTCCCCTTAGGATGCACTTTGGGTGGGTGGGAGACTGTTAAAGAACACAGAGCGTAGAGAAATCTGTATTCCCCCTGCCACATACTACTCCCCCACAAAAGCTGATTTTACCTTTCCCTGGCTTAAAACTGGGCTGCTTTGAAAAGCATTTGCCTTAGAACACCTGAAGTGTTTGACTACCATTAACTCGCTGAAAGTTAAGGCATTCCACTCTAAATGAAATCCGTTGGCTGTTCCAGCCAAAGGTTTTGTTTTTGTGCTTAATAGCATAGTGATTGTGACATTGAGTTGTCTCAATGGTTGCTTTGCCCTAGCACAGCAAACATAAAGAGGCAACCTCTATAAAAAAATGCAGTGAAACTATTTTTCTGATACAAAATGGAGTACCTGACGGGTGTTGATAGGAACCTTCTTCAGGGGCACTTGCCCAAAAGGGGGTTTCCGCCCTACTAAACCAGCATCTCTCTTTAAAGAGTTGGGGGGGGGATCTCTTCTCAGTAAGTGCCCTTGAAGAATGTTTATGGCAACACATGTTGAGCATTCAAGTTTTCAGTATGTTTTGGAGATGTTGAGTATTCTGTTTCTCCTCTCCTTTTTTATCTGCCTTGTGTAAGCTGCCTTCTACCCTCCATTTTGGATTTTATGCTGGCAGAAGCTCTTCCACTCCCACAAGTCAAGGCATTCGGTTCTGGTCAGTCCCCTTCTCTGTGCCTCATTGTGATTTTAGCTGTTGAGCCTGTCTTTGCTTTTTACTTCTTGGTTTTTACATGATCACACAGCATTTTGCTATCTTGGCTGCCTGGCTTGGATTACTGTAATCCTTTAAACTGGAGTCAACTGAATATTGTAGACTTAGCTTAATTAAGCATTTTGTGGTTTCTGGCATTACTATTTTTCAGATTCAGCTGGTAATGAGTATGACCTGAGTGACTTAAGCAGAGCAAGTGAGCCTTGGATTGCCCTGGATACATCAAAAGATGCAAAAGGAAGAACTTTCTTTCTAAGTGTTTGCAAGCGCCTTCCCCCCATACCAGGGTGCCCTGGTAAGCATTAGACTTGGTTTATGGGAACTGAGGGGCTGTCAGTGCAACAGGCTATATCCCACCACCTCAATTCCCCTTCTTCTTCTCTGACTTCCTCACTCCTGGCAGTCTCTGTCTGCTTCAGCTCTTTGGATAGTTTTTCCTGATACTGCGCAGCAGAGCTGTCATAGCCCCTCTGGGTAGCTTCGGTGATACACTTGAATGCTTAGAGAAGCTTGACATTCAAATTATTCAGACATCCACGAGCCAACTCTAATAAAGGCAGTCCTTGCACTTTAACTTGCCACTGAGAGAGGGTTGGTGAAATCCAGGTGAACAGTTTCTGAGCCTTTTGATAGATGGGGAGATAGTCACTGCTACGTGTAGGGTGCTGTGGCATGTTATGGGGAAGCACGCTGGTGTGCAGGATGCATGCAATTTATCTTATTTTCCTGCTCGTGTTGGATTTAACTTTGAATTTATATTTTGCTAGGGAAGAACAGTTGGAAATGACCTTTAGTTTCAGGAATCTTATGTGAAAATGCCAAGCTGGTGAGCTTTATGGCCAGGCACCCTTAAGCTGTTAACAAAAAGGCAGAGATAGAGCTTTTACGGCAACTTATTTTTACTGAAAAGAAATTGATTACAAAGTAATGGTTTTTAATAACTTTGAGGGAAAATATTCCCATTTCAGTAGCTCATTGACTTACACCGGGTTATATCCAGAGTTGACCTTCTTTGAGTAGTACCTGCTTCCATTCACAGAAGGGACTTTGATCCAGTAGAGACTCCCACTACAGTGATTGTGCCTGAAGTACAGGGTTCCTGAACTCTTTGAAACTGTTTTTCAGGGGCTTTAGGGGGAAAGAATCAGTTGCAGAGTCCCTTCTACTGATCTTCATGGGAGCATCCCATGGGGGGAGCTCCACTCACAGGATCCCCAAGTGCAATTGGTGGTCAGCCCAGGCACTGCTGGCTTCAATACTCTTAAAATGAAAACTGCTATGAATTACTTCTGCCCTTCTTTTAAAAGAGATCAATGCAAGTTTTTAGTGGAGTTTAAAAGCACATGTTTAAATGTTCCTTTTTGCTGCAGGTGGTATAATTGGATCTTGTGTGAAATACGCGGACAAAGGTCAGAGTCTTGGCATGATTCACATGCGTCCTCAGGCTGCCGCTGATGGGTCCCTTAGTATCGTGTACTCAAGTGGGGACACGTGCAAAGGTAACAGGCAGTACTCAACGCGGATCATCTTCCAGTGTGATCAAAGTATGGTAAGTTTTTTGGGTCTGTCTATTGATGCCGAATAGTCTGGATGTAAAAAAAACTTGACTTCCTTTAGCAACCTTGCAAGCTTATTGAAGGGCTTGCCTGCATAGCTGCAGTTCCCCCTTCCCATTGTGCCTGTGCAGCTCTGGAGCTGTGTTTACATGCACTGCCAGGGTCCTTCCCCCACTTCCAGCCTGAAAGGACCAGTAGCTCTTCAAGTGAGTGAGTGAGTGAGTGAGTACCACATGCAGAGCTGCCACATAGCTGCATCCTTTGCTGCCCAGATGGTCATTTTGAAGTGATTGCTGCTCATCCTGACAAACAAGGTGTGGCATAGGGACCCTTGTAACTTGCCACTAACATTTGATCATACAGTGGTACCTCGGGTTAAGAACTTAATTCTTTCTGGAGGTCTGTTCTAAACCTGAAACTGTTCTTAACCTGAAGCACCACTTTAGCTAATGGGGCCTCCCGCTGCCGCCACGCCACCGGAGCACGATTTCTGTTCTCATCCTGAAGCAAAGTTCTTAACCTGAAGCACTATTTCTGGGTTAGCAGAGTCTGTAAGCTGAAGCGTATGTAACCTGAGGTACCACTGTGTTCTCTTCTTTCTTTTCCCCCATCTGGAGAGAATTCAAATGCTTAGAACTAGCAACATTATTTTGTTATGCGATAGGAAGCAGCTGAGCTCTCCAGAGTAGCTAATCAAGCTTGCTTCTATTTGCAAAGCATATAGCAGCTTATTTACATAGTGGACTTCAAGGACCCTCATAATATTGACATGGAATGTACATTTACTTGAGAAGCACACCTCAGTATTGCGAATGAGTTGCAGTATTCATTCTTGTGCTCCAGTTTCCTGAGCAAGCAACAACTCTCTCATTTTTTGTGACGTTCTGAACTTTCAAATCGTTATGGTGAATTAACATAGTCCCAGGTAGACCCCTCTGAAAGCTGTAAGTATGTGGGACACATGTACATGTGGTGGCATCATCTGGCTCCTCATATTCCAGCTAAGGCAATTTCTCCTTAAAACATTTCTGTGTAATCCGCTTTGTGTGGTACAACTGAAAAGATTGCATCAATATTGCAGTGCCTTGTGCCAAGTTCAAAAGTCTGCTGTTTCCACATGGAAGCAAGTACTTTCATTTCGTGCCAGCCACCTTGGTATTTTTTCTTAAAATGAAAGGTGGCATATAAATTCTTGTAACAATTAACAACAGCAACAACAACAGCAACAACAACAACAACAGGTTACAACTTTCTACATGGAAATCCCTCTGTGTAGGCAAACAATATGTGATGCTTGAAGTGTGGGCCATGTTGAGTTCTTGCCTAAAGTTGTGCCAGCAGCTTGAAAAAGACCCTTCAGTGGCACTTCAGGCTTAATTATGCAATATACTTTTGTCCAGGCTGATTTTCTGCATAACAGGTATATAAAATAACCCTGAACAGATCAGTGAATAGCAAGTATCTAAGATTCACATGTTTTCTCACCACAAGGAATTTGGATCAGTTTGAGTCCTGGTTACATAACTTAATGGTGGGTGAATTTTATATACTGAATTTATATAAGGAGATAAACAGAACTTCATGTCTAAAGCTGACAACAAACTCCTTTTTACTTAGGGATCACCAGTGTTTCAACATGAAGACGACTGTGAGTTTGTGTTTCTTTGGAGAACAGTAGCAGCTTGTCCTGTGCACAGGGTTGAGGGTAAGTATTTGTAGTTAAATAAAATTATTTAACTAATGTGTCTAAAACTCTTGGCAAAAAAGTAGTACATAATTGGAATGCAAGAAGAAATAAGACAATTCAGATGGCCTTAAATTATCTATCTACTGAGATTCCAGATACATGGCACAGCTGATCTTAACTTGCAAAGCATTTTGAGTAGAAAATAAGAAAATCATATGTAGCTTTTGTTATGGAATGATTCTGCAAAAGTTTGCAAATGGACTCCTTTCTCTTACAAAAAAACTTTCTGAAAATAACTGCAACGTTCTGAAATGAACAGACACACAAATTCATATGCAGAAAATGTTATCTCTGGTCCACCTTTGGACCAAGGCGTTGACCTGGGAATAAGGCTTTGTGTGCATGTGAGTAACATTCCCCTGGGTTTGGTGTTCTTTTAAGGTGAGAACTGTCAAGTAAAAGATCCAAGGTATGGTCATATGTATGATCTGACACCGCTTCGTGGGAAGGATGTGAAAGTGAGCACTGAGGAATATGACTACTACTTCAGAGTCTGTGATGGATTAACAGCGGGGAAGTGCACAGAACCAGGAACAACTGCAGATGTTGTGTCGGCATGTCAAATTAAGAAACGAGACCCCAGCTTTAAAAAAATAGCAGGTAAGATGTCATTCTGGGATGTAGCGGCTTGGATTTACCAGGGGAAGTTTGCCTGGCTTCAGAGGGGAGGATGCATGAAGCATCAAGGTATACTTCCAGAGCAAATGTCCACCTTAAATAGTTTTATTTTAAAATCCACACATTTGTCTAGTATTTCTATCTAGTGGAAGGAATACCTCTTGACGCTCCTGAGATTTCCAGCTAAGTCATCATGTAGCTGTGATGGCTGTTGTAGGCTATTCCCACAGCTAACATTCACCTGTCTTCCGTGGTTAGTATTAGCATTTAACCTTGAAGTACACAGTTGAGAACTAGTAAAATAACCTAGAACCCAGTTGAGTTTGGAGATGGCACCTCCCTCCACATACTTCCACCACAATTTCTGATCAGATGCACCACTGTGGGGTTATGTGCTCAGATTCTGTGTATGAACACATGCACACTCAGGCGCTAGACATGCACGTGTATGCATACTGTAACTAAACACACAGAGTGGGGTGTAAATAAAGTACATGTGTACGTACGCCTTTATTTTTATATGAATACATTTTATTATATAATGTGTTTTGACTTCTATTTATGTTCTTGTTGGGCAGGCTGAAAACAAGTTAGGTATTGTGTATACGCAGAGTGTTGAGTCATGTTGCCTGTAGAGCCCTTCTGGAGATGTCATTGCATTTCTGTAGTGTATTGAGTGGAAACTGGGTTGGATAGTGGGAACACTGGGAAGAAGAGATGGGAAAGGGCCAAGATCATGTCCTAGGTCATGCTCAGGTCAGCATACCCCCCACCCCCCCAATTTCAACAAATCTGCAATCTTAACATCAGTGGGGGTGGAATTGCTATTAAAAAAACAACTAGATACTGAAATGGGATGAGTCTAAGCTTTTCTTTTTAGAGCTGTCATTCCCTAGTGTGCTTTGCAAGCTGACTGTTGACAAAATAAGGCAGCATTGGGGGACCCACTGGGCTGAATTAACTTTAGTCTATATGGCTAATGTTTACAGTACAAAACTCCTATGCCTTCAGTTAGTATACTCTTTATAATTCACTGTTCAGGTTTGAAAACTACAAAGCTGACATACGAAAATGGATTAATCAAAATTAACTACACCAATGGGGAGACATGCCACAAGATATATCAGCGGTCAACAGCCATATTGTTCTATTGTGATCCTGAAAGTAATTCGCAGGTAAGCAGACATGGGTGTTAATCTCAAATGTGATTGTCAAAACCCCTTATGTTACTCTTCCTGCAAAGCCATAAGCTCTAAGCACACATAGCTGTAACCTCATAGAACCTGGGTGGGCAGACATCAGACTTGCAGGATCTGCATGGGCTATTTTTTTTTTATATAATTAACTGGAATCTAGAGATCCACCTTCCAGAGCCTGGTGAAAAAGAATAGTCTGAATAAAAATAGTCTGAACCTAGGAATTTTACTTTGCATGCCAGACTGGAGTGGAGACACAATACTTCTATGCACAAAAAACCCCCACTCTTTATCTCCTCCCTGCCCCGGCCCTGGCAAGCTTTCTTCATTTCAGCTGTATAATTTACAGGAGGAAAAGGAGTCATTTTTGTGCTGGTATTTTTAAACAACTGGGAATCAGGAACTTACTGATCTACTGCGAATCATTGAGACATCTCCCAGATTTACGTTCTGCCCCTGCTGGCTATATGTGCAGTTGGAGATCAGGGTTGCACAGGCGTGCCCAGCCCCTGAGCCCACCTGATGGGCCCTACATGAACACTACATCCACCATGTAGCTTTGTGCATAGAGCTTGATACCTGCAGGTTCATTCCATAATTGCCATTGCCCTTCCCTCTCCACTGACTTTATGTGGCACCAATCATAATTGCACAGATAGGCCCTCATTCTGCTCTCATTCAGCTTATTTATATGCAGCATGTGAACCAGGTAAGTAGGGTGGGCCAAAAGTACTGAAAAACCAAATATCGTTAGGACAGCTAAATATGTTAGTAACAAAATTAGTTTGTTTTTAAAAAAGAAAAGGTAAAACAGCTGAGCAAATAAATAAAGTGTGAAAGCAGCACATGCCAAGGCGATGAGCTTGACTCCATTATTTATGTTAGCCAAAATACTTCAAATTCACCCTTCTGATTAAAATCCATTTGGTCTTGTTTTAAATTTTTGTATGAATAGGACCACAGTGCATTTCCCCAGTATAAGATGTAGATGGTGCACTGGAGCAGAAGCTCCTTTTTGCAGATGGTTACTGTTTTGCATAATCCGTAGTCCAGACCTCGGATGGAGTAGGGTTGTCTGCTTTCAGCCCTACTGGTATTGTCGGCTTCTGTATGTAACGGGTTGTGGGGGGGTTTACCTTTCTTTTCTCAGCCAGTGTTTCTGAAGGAAATGGAGGATTGCACCTATTTGTTTGAGTGGCACACTCCTCTTGCCTGCCCACCTTCCAGGTCTATCGAGTGCTCCTATAAGTAAGTTGACTTCACCTGGCTGTCAAAACAATAAATTTATTTCCTCCCCATCCCTTCTTTAGGGCTTCCTGTCCCGTCTGTGTTAAATGGCGATGCCTAGGCCATTAAAGCAGCTATTCAGTGTGATTTATTTGGAGGGTAGGGGAGAACTCTTGTTCCCTAGCCATCAGCAGAAACAACTAAGAAGTGGGTGGTGGTGAGATGGTGGATGTCGAAAGACCATCTTGTTGTACAGATTCTCAGATACGGAACCCCTAGATACTTGAGAAGCTTTTGTGCGGCTAGAGTAGTTAACAGAAGAATGGCAGTCGTTCTGCTAGATAAGCTATGTGGCAGGACAGGAAAGTTTGCTTGGATTTTGATGGCACTTTTTGGCACTCCTTACACTGTTGATGTGCTTCTCCGCAGGATGTCTTCTGTTAACTTTTTTTGCTGTAAAACGTCCTTTGTTCTGTTGCAGAGACAGTACCGGCAACTCGTATGATCTCTCCTCTCTGACACGGCATAAGGAGAACTGGGAAGCCATTTCAATGACTAACTCTACTCAAAAATACTACATCAACGTCTGTAAATCTTTGGTGCCACATCGAGGAGCGGGTAAGAACTGGAGAGACAGCGCAGGCTGCGTGTGCAGGAGTGGGGCCAAGTAGAGGGATTGAACTGCACAGGGGCAGGGAGGGAAAGAAGGGAGGCCACAGCAATGTTGGGGACCACTTCACCATAGCAAGGCATTTACGCAAACCCATGTGCTGTTAGAAGTGCGTGGCCTTGACTGCCTGCTGGGTAAATGTTAGAAGGCAGAAAGCCACACCCACTGACAATCAAGTTCTTCCCATTGCTGCTACCCAAATATGTGTGTGTGTGTGTGTGTGTGTGGCAGTAGTGTTGGATCCTGTAGCAGTGTGACTGGAGCCCCAAAATCCCTTAGGGAGAGGGGGAAGACCTATCTCCACTTACCTCACAGCTAAGCATCCTGTCTGTTGCCTCAACACCAGGTGAAAAGCATAGCAAAATTTGATGTTGCTTGCAAGATAAGCTGTATATTGGGAACTGGAGTGTTATGAAGAAGGCAGTCCACTGTGCACCCGCTCCGTCTTGTTTCTCATATTGGGCTTCTCCATGTAGAGAGGGCAGGTGAATGCTGTCTTCACTCTTTTATGGTTGCAGCTGTCTTATGAAACCTGCTGTGTCCTATTTAAGGCTAAGTGAAAGCTGTAAACACCCTGTAATCTGATTCTTCTCCTAGCATTCTCTGTTTGTGCAACAGTGTACCAGTTCTGCCTCATTGTCTTAAAAATTACCCTGGAGCAAGGGAGGAATGACCTACATAGCTTCCTTGAAACTGAGAACATTGGTGTCCAAAGAGTTGGATGTGGGAAAAGAGATTAAAAAGCACTATTGTAACCCACTGTGAATCTGAACATAGGTTTTTTACATGGTAAAAGAGTAGTAAATGGAACAGCTCCTACCTGTGATTGTGAACACACTGTCCTTGATTCCTATTGCTCTTTGCAATGTTTTTTCCTAACCCCGGTATTTATGTTTGTATAGTCGTGGAATGTGTTCTATCTTGGGAATAACAGCAAACTAAGACATACTTGGGAATACAGTGGTGCCTCGCAAGACGAAATTAATTCGTTCCGCAAGTTTTGTCGTCTTGCGATTTTTTTCGTCTTGCGAAGCATGGTGTCGGGAAAGTTTTGGAAAAGCTTCAAAAATCACCAAAGTCTTTAAAAACCTCAAAAAAGGCTACCACATCGCGTTCTATGAGTTGCTCCTCGAAGTCAAGTCGCAACTGTATTAACGGTGTTAAGAAAAAGGAAACAAACTTGCAAGACGTTTCTGTCTTGCGAAGCAAGCCCATAGGGAAAATCGTCTTGCGAAGCAACTCAAAAAACAAAAAACCCTTTCATCTAGCGAGTTTTTTGTCTTGCGAGGCATTCGTCTTGCGAGGTACCACTGTAGATCCATTTATTTCAATAGGTCTGCTCTGAATATGACTCGTGTTGCGTTAGGTTCATGTTTCGTCCTTTTGGCTTGGAACACGACAAACACGGAAGTGTATACTTCTGGGTTCGCCATGCATGCATGCACAGAAGCATTCTGCGCACTTCGCACATGCGCAGAAGCGGCACTCTACTTGCGGACTTTTCAGGGTGCGAACGGCACCCCGGAACGGATCAAGTCCGTAACTAGAGGTACCACTGTAACGTTGTATACCTCCCTGTTTAATTGAAGGTTAATATGATAAGGTATTTTTCCCTGGCACACCCCAAACATCTTACTATTAAGATGGCAGGTAATAACCTAAATACTCTAAATTTTATTACTAGACTTGCTGATTCTGAGTATATATAGAAATGACACATAGAGCTAATTATATGTGTTGTTTCTTTGCCCAGGAACTATGCCATCTCAATTTTATGTGGGGAGGTATTTGTCTAAAGTTGACCCAGTGTGCCAAATCCTTGCTGGCACATCAGGAAGTTTGTTGTTGTTGTTGTTAACTAAATTTCTATAATGCCCTTCATCCGAGGATCACAGGGTGGTTTACAATATAAAAACACAAAAATACATAACATAGTAACACCCCCCCACCCCCTTTTAAAGGCCATAGATAGTTTAATTAGCCAAAAGCCTGGGAGAAGAGGAACGTTTTTGCCTGGTGCCCAAAGATATGTAATGAGGGTGCCAGATGAACTTTCCTGGGGAGAGCTTTCCACAAACGGGGAGCCATCGCAGAAAAGGCTTGTTATCATGTTGTTACCCTCCAGACCTCTCATGGAGGAGGCACACAAAGAAGAGCCTCAAATGGTGATCTCAGGGTGGTTCATTTTGGGAGAAGTGGTCCTTGAGTTATTGTGGTCCTGAAAAATAATGTCGAAATAATTTCTGAAAAATAATATAGACTTTGCCCATTCAGAAGCCCCAACTTTCCCCTGAATTAAGTTGAAGTGGTGTAGCCACCTCAGAAGCGTGTGCTTGAATCGACTCTAAAAGTTTTTTGGTAGCGTTTCTTGAATATGTTATTTGTGCCAAAACACCACCACCACCAAGAGAATGTGGGGTAGGCTATCAGGCAATGCTAAACCCTTTATTTTCTCTTCCCCACCCTCTTTTCTGGTGCCAAACATAGATTTCTGTTCACCGGATTCTGCAGCTTGCCTGATGGATGGGTCCAAGTATATAAACTTGGGTGAGGTGTCTGAGGGAATCCAATGGCAAAATGGCATTTTTGTTATTAAATACATCAATGGTGAGAAGTGTCCAGACCAGATCAGGAAGAAGTCTACAATAATCCGCTTCAAGTGTGACGGAAATGCAGTTGTAAGTATGCCTAAGTAGATCGGGTTTTTTATGTCTCCCCCCCCCCCATATGAAGAGCCATTGCATAGGTTCCTGGGGGTAATAATGGACCATGGGATTGGATTGGAATCTTAGATAGCATGCAGATGACAAATTTACCCCCAAATCTGCAGCTGCGGGTAATCAAACACTTGGCAGGACGAGGCAGTAATTGTGCTGCCCTGCGGAACTCGTCGCAGAGTAGTTCCCTGGAAAGGAAACAAACAGTGTGTGGTCCAGATTAATCTTGGGTGGTGATGAGGGTTCTATAACAGAAGCTTAAACTGATGGATGTCCAAGGGGATTTATACTTTTGGGTCTTTGGGCCACAATAACTTTGCTAAGACCTTCTGAAGGGAAGGTAGGCTGCTACCAGGGGTCAACATTCCAGCTGCCTCCCCCCAAAAGGGTAAAGTGTGCTGCAAGAAATATTGTCAGTACCCCAGCGCAGAAGTTTTGCAGATGTTGACTTTTTGATATCCGTTTTTGTCCAGGATTCCAAGCCTGAACTTATAACAGCCATTGAGGATTGTGAATATACTTTTCTATGGTTCACGGCTGCTGCGTGTCCTCTGAAAACCAACGTGCACAACAATTGCACAGTATCCAACCCTCTTACAGGTATGCCTTTGACACACACGTGGGCCTGGTCGGGGTAGCTGTAACCGGAATCAACCTCTAATCGTTCTTCCATGGGAGAGAGCAATAGTGGACTTAGGACTCTCAAATAACCATCTTGGGAGATCCCAGGCTAATCTGAAGGGAGCAGCCTCATACACCCTAGTGATAGGTACTCGTTCTTGCTCATGTCCATTGGTGGAACATAGAAAGCTGCCTTATACTGAGGCAGGCAGGCTGCCCATCCAGCTCAGTATTGTCAACACTGGCTGGCAGCAGCTCTCTAGGGTTTCAGATGGACTTTTCCCAGCCCCACCTGAATATGCTAAGGATTATGCCTGGGATTGAGCCATGTAAAGCAAGAGCCCTTCCCTAACTCCTGAATCTTGCAGGTATATGTCATTCCTGTTTTATCACAGGGAATGCACCCATAAAATGCAAGTGGAAGGTTGCATTGGGGCTACAGTGCAATTGTACAGGGTACAGCTATTGGTTCTGTGGAAGAAAAAACAAGATGCCCAAATATCCACCAATAGGACAGAAGGTTATATGAAACAGAACACACAAATACTTTTGTGAGGGCAAACAACATAAGCTACCAATAATGTCACATTTATTTGTGGATCGTCTGTAATCGAGGGAGAGTGGTTGCTACCTCATTTTATGGGCCGCTTCACACGCAACACTGGGTAAACCTCCCTTTAGTGTGTATGCATGCACACAGCAAGGTGCTGCAACCAATCACATATCTCTGGTGCATGTACCTGTATGGGTCATGTGCCTGTTCGTATTCCTAAGTGTATGTCTAAGTACACAAGAGTGCTGCTTTATCAAAGGCCCATATGGTGCAGCATCCTGGTTGACAGTGCCCAGCTAGGGGCCCACAAGGATACCCAGTAGCAGCATTCACCCAATTCGTGTTTCCCCACAACTGGTATTCTAATCCTAGAGGTAATACATAGTCAGAAGAACAATTTCCTCCATGAACTTCTCTAATCCCCTTTGAAAGCAATCTGAGTTGATGGTCATCTTGTGATTTAAAGCATCACCAAGGTCTACTCCTTGGGTAAAGAAAAATCTCAGTTGCTCTCTGCAGGGAAGCTAAAAAGCTAAATTATCCTCTCCCCCCTCCCTTTTCTTGCAGGCCATCTCTTTGACCTTAATTCTTTAAAGAGGCAGGATGGTTATACTGTCACTGATTACAGGAACCAGAGAATATTGCGACTGAGTGTGTGTGATGAAGCCAGAGGTCCATGTGGCAGTGGAGTTGGTAAGCCTGGACATATCAGCAATGTGTTCAGTGGAGCTCATGGAAGTTCTGTGGAGTTCTCATGAAACTGTCCCTGTACTTATAACCAGGCTAAATCCAACCAGCAATTCTACTACTTTAATTGGAAATAGCTTTTACCCTGTACTGCTCTCCTTCCTGCCTACCCTGTGTACCAGTGCCACCTCTAATGTGACTGGCCGTCCATGCATATGGGTATAAGATTCTTGATCAGATTGCACACTTCATCTGGCATGTCAACTGGGATTTGGGCCTATACAGACTGGGATTTTGCGGGCACACTTGAATGGCTGTTGCCATTGTTGGTAGGATGGAAATGCTGGGTGCATAGAGGAGGAAGTGCAGGATCATGCCCTGCAGCATGTGGGAAGTGGCCCAGTGAATCATCTAATCTCACCTAATTAAAAATGCTAACATTGAATTCTATTATTTTCTTGCACAAACTAGATGTAGGTCACAGTTCTTCCCATTTTATAAATTGGGAACTGAGCTTGAGCGCAAGTGACTGTGTTAAGGCTGCCCAGTGAGTCAACGAACAATTTTAACCCAGTGTTCTAAGAACGAGTGCTTTTCACACCCTCCTTGTTCTGAGCGAAGTCCTCAAAGTTCTCAACTACTTGGTGTAACTAATGTAATCCCTCTCAGTTCTGTTGAAATATAACAGCCCAAGGAGTGGATTGCGCAGCTGCTTAACTCAAGCTTCCTTCCGTCATAACCCACCCATTGCACTTCTAAACTTGTTAATAGGTGTCTGTGTCACTGGTGGCCATCAGCAACCAGTCAGTGCTGGAAGACTGACCAAAGCATTAACTTATGAAGATGGAGTTTTGAAACTTAGCTACAGCGGAGGAGAGTCGTGCCCTGCAAATCCTAAACTGAAGTATACAAGCTATTTCAGCTTTGTGTGCAGGCCTGATGCTGGGCCAGGTAGCCAGCCCTTCCTTGTCTCCTTCGATGAGGCGGCATGTGCCTATTATTTCTCTTGGCATACGGCTTTAGCTTGTGAAGAAGAGAGTCCGGTAAGTGAATTGGCAATTTCATCAAGCTCCTGTTACCTAAAATGTCAAAGTAACAACCATACCTGCAAGCAATATTTTTAAGTTTGAAAAGGCACAGGTTTAAATGCTCCAGTTTCAGATGTTGGTTTTGTGTGTTTTTGAGGAGGCAATACAAAATTCTCAGATCCATAAAATTTGTGGTATCTTGTTCTTTTTTGTTGAAGGGGGTAGCTGGTGGCTTTTTGGTTTTGTTTTGTTTAGGAATAGATGTGTTCTGTTTAGGTAACAGTAGAACAGAGGCAGTATAATTGTGTTGCCAGATGAGAAGTTGAAAGTCCTGCCAAACAATGCAGTTCTTGCCAATAACTCTGGTACAGTGCAGGCATAATTCTACATTTGATTAAGGGAACAGTAGATATCCACAGGATATCTGGAACGGAATTCATATTAAACTTAACCAAATCATTAATGGTCAGTCACAACCCCCCTCCACCCCAGGCATGGAGGGCAGAGCAAATTTGCATGCAAGGGAGTAGGAAAGAGGAGGTGAAGGAGTTCACAGTCCCACAGTGCAGTTCCTTGACACTGGGTAGTATTATGTCAATTCCAGAGCTCAGTGTTGTGAGTAACAGTCAAGAGAAGAAGAATCACAACGGTAGGTCAATAGAGACCTCTTTTTCCATTGAGATTAATATATCACTGTGTGTTGGACAACTTAGCAGTGCTCTCAAAGCATCAGCAACTGCTGTGAAGCAGAAATGTCAAGAAGGGAGAGGCTAATCAAGGCCTTTAGCTGTTATTGCCTTGACCAATAAATAAACTGCAAAGTTGATCTTCTTGTGCCTATGGCTCAGCCCAGGAACATGTGTCATTTCACTGGTATTTGCTTTCAATCAAGTATATCCAGGACCAAGACAGAAGTGACCTCTGCTGGAGAAGTACAAAGAGACTGAAGGGAGATTCAGGGTGGGATGGGATCAGATTGAACACATGATCAAATGAACACATTGGCTTGCAGTGCAGTGGGGGGGGGGAGCACTAAGAAAAGAACAGACCCCGATAAATTAGGTTTCATTTTTGCTTGTTGCCATTTGGGGAATAGTAGCTGCAAGTGCTGATTTGTGGAACTTCCTCCCACTGCAAACAGGTGGAATGCTCAGTTACAAATGGCAGCACAATAATTGACCTCTCTCCTTTGATACATCGGACGGGCTCCTATGAGGCATTTGATGAGACGTTCGATGATTCCTCTGACCTTACTCCAGATTTCTATATAAATATTTGCCGCCCGTTGAATTCCATCAAAGATGTCAACTGCCCACCTGGAGCAGCTGTCTGCATGGTTCCAGTTACTGGTCCTCCTATAGTAAGTTATCCCTATGTACCAAACAATCCTCTTTAGCAAATGCATTAGTGTTTTTGTAATTTATAACCAGTATGTTGGTTTATGGTTAATTGAGGGTCGCCTCTCTTGGGACAAGTCACTGATTCTGTGTGGTGACTATTGTTATAACTGCATGTGGTCTGAACCACTGAGGAAAGAGGGATCTCTTTGTACATTCTTCCTTCTCCCACCCTCACAATCCGGGGTGGGGGTGGGGGCACTGTCCAGAAGTGGCTCCTTACCAAATCATGGTCTGTATCCAAAGTAGTGCATAACTTTTTACTTGTACTCAAGGCTTTGGGGCTATTTTTTGAGCGACAGATCCACACATCTCATGGCAAACCTATTTCAAGACAAAATATGTGTTCCAAAATCAATTTGTGATGTGGTCTGTGGGAGAGTGTGGTGTCTGCTTTCAAAGGAAAAAAATGCCATTAACATTAGGAAAACGGGCAGCATTGAATCGTATTACAGCCCAAACAATGTGATCTTATTTTGTAGAAAGTCTGAAATAAGATGTGGAAATGTTTTTATTTTGCCAGATTGTTTTATAATGATCAACTTTCTGTTGGATGCTGTCCTAAGGCTGCAGTTGAAATTCTGGCAGGGCCTAACAGAGTGGTGGGTCCACAGCCCTGCTTCAACCAGGGTAGAAGGTTGGTGGGGGCAAGCAATTCTAGTGGGACCTCGGGAAGCTCAGTGCCTTCCTCTCCCACAGAGCCACCCTCTTGGGGCTTTGCATGGCTGCTGCTAGTGGAGCGCCTTCTGGTGGCACTTCCTCCTGCTTGCCTGTTCAGTGAGCAGAATGGGGAACTTTGTGCCTAAGGAGCAATGCTGGCATCACTCTGCAGGCTGTAGCCTGCAGAGACTGGCAGGGCCGGGTGCAGGGATACCTGCTCAACTCAAATCCCCCCCCCCAACCCAGCCTGACACAAAGGAGCTTTGGATTCTAGGGCCATGTGCAGAAGCCTCAGAGAGTTGTGCTAGTTCTGTTGCCTTTTTGCAGTACCAAAATGCAGACTTCTTGGTCTTAACTGTCTTTCTAAAGGTGCTTATGCTCCTTGCTTTTCCATCTTTGACACTGGAGGAAGGCAACAGACCAAAGACAGTAAGATGGGACAACCATGAGTAATACATTAAATTAGCCACCTGGCCTCTCATATAAAGAGGGACACAGCTGTTCTGTATGTCATGGGGGATGAGGTGGTGGAATTCTGGGCTGTTTCCCTTCAGGCTGCAGATAGGGGAAGTGCGTTGTTGAATGGCCCACTGTTAGCTGAAAGCTCCATTTACTTAATAAATTGGTACATCTGTAAGAATGTTTAAATTAACTTCTCTGTGTTACTAGTTTTTTCAGTGTGAGGCTGCCTTCAAAAATCTAGTACCCTGCCTTTAGTCTACCATCACTGTAAAACCCAAGAACACCTCCGCCTTGTTCCACATTACTTGTGAAGCTGCTCTTGCAGTTTCCAGTGTTCATTGCCATTCCCCATGTGAAATGGAATCCTCTCTAGGTTTTTTGTGCATCTTGTCTTGGTGCTCGCTGGCACTACTGGAAAATCATGCCAGTGCTTTGTGTGAAAGTGTCACAACCAAGTTAATTTGTTGTGTTTTCTCATTTAGGATATTGGCCGTATTACTTCGCCTCCCAAGCTCAACCCTGCAACACATGAAGTTTACATTGCTTTTAACAGTAGCACTCCTTGTCTGGAAGATAAAAGTCTCAAGTATTCTTCTCTCATTGTGTTCCATTGCAGCAGAGGGACAGATCTGGTAATGGTCATCTTATTTTGCGTACTGCCAAGCCTGAATCAAGGGTGGTGGTGGGGAAGAGAAGAATCTTTGGGAGGAAAGGACAAAAGTGAATTGAGTGAAGGATGATTAAATCTGTTCCAAATGCTAATTTGCAAAGTGCCACAAGAGCCTGTAGTGCATCTGCTGCAGAGATTTTCAAAGTGCATTACACTCATGTCCCACAGAAACTCAGTACTAAAATCTTCCTTGACATGAGGCGGGAAATACTTATTTTGCCTCTGACCATCTTTGACCCTCAACTCACCCAAATAATACTTCTGATGAACTCTCAACCATAGAAGATGTTAGTTATTTCTAAACTCTATAACTAGGTCACCATTGCAGATTTTGAATGTAGACTTGAATTCTGAAAACAGGAAGCTTATATAAGATGTTGCTCTTCCAAAATCCAGGTGTCCAAAGCTTTTTGTGGTCCAATTTTTTGTTGAGCAATGGGCAATAGGAAGGGCATGAAAGTTTAGGGTGGGGGTTAAGGAATGGAGTAGCTGCTACTGGAGAAGAGCAGGGAGATGTGCAAGGCATTGCCAGTTTTCTTGGGGTGTGGAAGGTATTGAGTATTTGCTAGATTTTCTTCACAAGATCTTGAATGGAAAGTTGGGATCCTTAGAATCTCTGTGTGTGTGTGTGTTGCTTAGCAGGTTCCATGCGTGCATATGAAGTACATACAGTCAGAATACCTGACCTTTAATGTCTTTTTTACATCTCTGTGTACGTTTGAAAATGTTGCAAGCCTTGGCAGATGTGTGCTGTTAGCTTCAAAGGCTGTTCCTGCTTTTTTAAAATGTCTTGATGATTCTAATGTGAATTTAATGAGGGATGCTGACAGCAAATTACGCAGGCAGCAGGAACACTGTGTCCATAATGTTCTATCAAGCCCCACATCACAGAGGTAAATTCTTCTGCTTAATGGGTCTAAGTCTGAGCATAAGTGCATGGCATGTTTCCACTTTAAAATAGATAGAAAATCAAACAGTTTAAAAAGCGATTCTCCGTATAGATAGCACAAACCTTGGGGGAGAAAGGGCATTTGTATTCTGCCTCATTGGCACAAGAGTTTCTGCAGGATGAGATTTCTAGTGCTACTCAGTTACCCTGTGAACCTTAATCACATGGGGGAGAGTTGATGTTATCCACTCACTCCTGCAGAGTCCATCACTGATGTCTCCCATATCACCTCTGGCTTCTTGCACTACCAGAGTACATGGGAAGCATCTGTTTGGGTTACATAAGAATGGGCCTCGGAAGTCAGAGCCATTGTCTAAAACACCATAAGGGGGTAGTGGTGGAGAGGAATAATGGTGGCAGATCAGCTTTTTATTCGCTACCTACAACCTTACCCAGTACTTGTCCAGATGAAGAAATGAATATATACCTTATAACAGACTGAATGCAATGGGATTAATTTCACTGGCAGCGTTTGCACATCATAGTGGCTTACCGTGAACACACAGCTGTCTCATCACAGGCTTAGTGTTGCACCCGAACCATGGTTTGTTTTGATCCGACGAATCACAGTGCTAACCCAAAGTTTGCTCTTGAGTATCAGATTCCTAAATAAGAAGGTTGCAGTAAGCCAAGCCTAAACAATTTTTCTGTTTTCTCTTGTTTGTGTTTTGGTGACAGGGAAAGCCAAAAATGATAGGGCAGTCCACCTGCGAATACATATTCGAATGGAGCACTCCAGTTGTTTGCCCTGATAAAGTGGACGTCTCGGGCTGCTCGGTGGCTGATGAGCAGCTGCACTACACTTTCAACCTATCCAGACTTTCTGCAAAGCCTTACCAGGTGATGTGCTGCAAACTTTAGGTGCTGTGGCCAGTGAGGGAGCTGGATGCTTTGAACTGGAACCTTGTTTCTATCATGGTGGGGGGGAAGGGGTTGGTTCAAGCTTTGTGCTAAGCGATGGATTGTAGCTCAGCGGCAGGGCATGTGTTTTACATGTGTCAGGTCCCAGGTTCAATCCTCAGCATCTCCAGCTCAGTTGGTATGGCATCATATGCCGGCTTTGGTTATTCCCCTTCCCCAAAAGTATCCAGTCAGGCTGCTGCAAACTCCACTGCATTTGTCACTTGATTTGCCCCCATCTCCTTTGGGGAGGGGGTATAACTTGCATCTATTTGGTTCTGAAGGCTTTTGAAAGTTCAAGCGATGGTGTTTTGTGGGGTGTTTCCCTAGGTGATCTCACAGTGTGGACTAATAATACAATTCTTCCAGAATGGAAACTCTGGTTGGAATATTCAGGGGTTTTTTTCAGGGGAAGACCCAAAGCTTTTTGTAAACAATGGTTACATGGAACAATAGGGTTGTGTGGGGGAGACTGACAAGTTAGTATTTGAGTGGTTCCAGTAGTATTTATTTTTGAAGCATGCCTCTGTTGGTGGGGGACCCATGTGGGAGAGGGCTGTTGCGTCCATGTCCTGCTTTTTGGGTTCCCAAAGCCCTCTGGTTCACCAGCATGAGTTCGGGCTGCTTGGCTAGGTGGACCTGTTGTTCTGATTCTGCAGGGCTCTTATGCTCTTGAAGTTTTACTGCTTGTTGAAATTGAGACCACCATCTGTTTGCAAGCAGCAGCCAAAGTAAATATTTCCCATGGCAGCCTTCACGGTGCTCCTTCTTGTTTTCTCTCTTAAGCAACTAGACAAACCAAGATGACAGTAACACTGTGCTCTGTTTCTGCTCCCAGTCTTCTGGACGTCAGCATATTGGAGACATGTTTAACATTTTCATTTACTCTTACTTGCACTTTAACAATGGTGTTTGCCCATACAGATCTCTGCTGGGTCCAAGAATTACCACCTAGGGGTGTGTTCTGGTGCTGCTGGTGTGCCCCAAGGAAAGTGCAAAGATGCAGCAGTGTGCCTGGTCTCAGGCAACAGTGCCGTCTCGTTTGGCAACAGAAATGAAAGGAAAATGGACTACCGGCATCAAGATGAAGCTGTCATTTTGCAGTATACGGGTGGTGATGAGTGCCCTCCAGGTAAGGCCTTCTAAAGCTAGCAGGAGTCTTTACTTTTGAGAAGGCTTTTAAGCCCACACCCATGTGGTAGTTAGGCTTGACCAGCTTCTAAGCCAAAGAGTAGCTCAAAGCAACATTATTTCCGTAGCTCATTCATCCTCGCCGCAGCCCTCTGCAAGAAGGAGGTTCTCATTTTTGAGTGAGAGGTAACTTAGCCGAGGCTAAGCAGACTATAGTAGCCCTGGGTACTTTCCCATGGGAAATTTTGAAATGGAGCTTCTGCAAAGCGCAAAGTTGTGACCCTCCTAGGACAGCTTCCTGTTTCTTGTCTGATTTGTATCAATGCCAAGACAAGGAAGGTGGGCAAAACCCACCAGATCTGCATATCTTTCTAAGGCTGAAACTCTATTTGTGCCTGCTTGTTGTAGACTTGAACCTCCTATTTCTGGCAAATTCAAAATCGTGTATAATAATAATAATAATAATAATAATAATAATTTATTATTTATACCCCGCCCATCCGGCTATGTTTCCCCAGCCACTCTGGGCGGCTCCCAACAGAATATTAAAAATGCGATAAAACATCAAACATTAAAAGCTTCCCTAAACAGGGCTGCCTTCAGATGTCTTCTCAAAGTCAGATAGTTGTTTATTTCCTTGACATCTAATGAGAGGGCGTTCCACAGGGCGGCTGCCACTACCGAGAAGGCCCTCTGCCTGGTTCCCTGTAACTTGGCTTCTTGCAGTGAGGGAACCGCCAGAAGGCCCTTGGAGCTGGACCTCAGTGTCTGGGCTGAACAATGAGTGGTGATCGTTCCTTCCTCCATATGTGTGTATTAAACACGCACAGTTTATATTGGGAAAAATAATAATTGAAAGGAATTAGCATGACAGCTGTGAAATAATTGCAGTTTTGTCACAGTTAACAGCAGTCTCCCCCATGAAGTTATCAGTCACGATTGCATAACTAGTCATTGTGGATCAATGGGTTACCTGGCAAAGTTAATACCTGGGAGCAGATCCATTGAAATGAATGGACTTGTGTTCATCTTGCCATTCAGTGTCAGTGGGTCTACTCTGAGTATAACTAATATGGGATGCAAGCCATTGCCTTCAATTGCTAGTGGCTGTGGCTACCCAGTGTGCTTGTCTGCAGGAATTGCCTGCTCATGAAAGGTGCAGCCTGTGGCTCTCTCTGCGTGTGTTGATATTTCCTTTCACTTGCAGTGACTGATCTGGACGAGCTTTGTGTCTTCCCTTTCCAATACAATGGTAAAACATACGACACATGTGTTCAGGAGGGACGAGAGCGGCCATGGTGTGCCACTACAAATAACTTTGAAAGAGACAAAAAATGGGGTTTCTGTGTCAACGGTAAGCAAGCATTGGAAAAATGCTCATGCAGTTTGGGGCAGGTTCAGATGGAACAAGTTGGTAGCTAGGGGTAGAGCAGCAACCACAGAAAAGAAAAGCAACAAACACTGGCCTGCAGCCTGCACAGTACTTCTGCACACAACCAGATGTTTTGCTCTGAGTTAGGGTGAATGCTGATAGTGAATATTTCTGTTAACCCATGGCACTCTCCCAATCGACACCAGGAGTCATTTGCATAGAGCATTAGATTAGCCTGTTGATGAATGACCAACTTGATTTTGAGTTGGAAAAGATATGCAGTGCTCATGCAATTTGCCAGTGTGCAAGACAAGATGCGCAGTAAAGGTTGTCATAGAACAGGTCATCAAAGTTAGCACCTTTGTGCAGTGTCAGGGATGGACAGTAACAAATAGTGTGTGTTCCTCCCCGTAATCATTTGTTTCAGGATGTACTGAAACATATTTTGGAAATTTTATTCATCTATTTATTTCTATTAAATTTCTATCCCACCTTTCTTTCAAGGAGCTCAAGGTGACAAAAAGTTCTCCCCTCCCCTCCTCCTCTTATCCTGTCAATAACTCTATGTGGTAGAGGTTAGGCTTAGAGATGGGGACTGGCCCAAGGTCACAGTTTCATGGCTGAGGGGTATTTGAACCCTGGCCTGTCCGGGTACTAGTCTAGCACTCTTACAACTACACCACACTGGTGCTCAAATTTTAATATGAGACTGTAATCCAAAGCTTGCACGTTAACACCGTCAAAATCAGAAGGATTTACCTTGGAGAAGATGCATTTAGGATGAGAATATTGAAGTGAAATATACAATTTTTCTTTCAGAAAGATATCATGTAGATCAAACAAAATTCACGATGCTGCTTTTGTGTTTCCCTCTCTGGTATCGCTAATGGTCTTGCACAACAGTTGTCCTAGATTTCTTAATTCCACCACCCTCTTGCAGAGAGTCTGTGTTCAGCACTCAACCATTAATTTAACCCAGTTTACCTCCATTCTTACAGACCTGTAAATCACCTGTAATGAGTTTTATTTCCAGGTGTCTAGGCAGGAAAGCTGTTGGCAGTGGGGAGAATTAGTCTCCTCTCCAGCCACTAAGGTGCTACAAATGATTCCTCTTTGTGAACTAACAACTTTTGTAGGCTTACTTAGGGTTGCCATGTTTTAGTTTTGGCCAAAGTTGTCAAGCTTTTTAAAGTTTTTTTTTGCAAAACCTGGAATATAATGGTGCCAGCTGTGCCCCCTGTGCTTGCAAATGTTTCTCAAATACTACATGGTTGCAGCCCGTGTACTGTGGTGGGACGGTGGTCAGAATTTGGGTGTGGATTTACAGTTGCTTATGATGGTGAAACCTTTGCTTGTGTCTTGCAGGAAATGGCCGCCGGGAATCAACTATTATTTTCAAGTGTGATGACAACGCTGATGATGGGAGCCCTCAACTACTGAGTGAGACAAATGGCTGTGCAGTGACATTTGAATGGAAGACGCAAGTTGTGTGTCCACCCAGGAAAATGGAGTGCAAGTTTATTCAGAAGCACAAAACTTATGATTTGAGAGTGCTTTCCTCCCTCACAGGATCTTGGATCTTTGCTGACAAGACCAGCTCGTGAGTCTGTTTTACAGTTCTAATGGAAACCATATTCCCAGTACATTTTTATTTGAAGGATAGGACAGCCACCTTACAAATGTTGGTGTTAACTTTTGAAGACAAGAGGCTGCCAGTGTCACACAGAAACAGTTGGGACTGTGCTTAACTGGTTTTGCACTCTTGTGTCTTTTGATCTCATTTCTTTGAGAATGCATGAGGAGTTCGTATCTCAAGGTAACAATGGGGGAGGTATACCAGTAGAAAAGAGGTGCACATTAGCCAGAAATGGTGTTGCTACTTGGCAGTGCCCAGTGCCACTGGAATACTGGGCTTACTATGATTCCAGAAGTTGCCAAACAGGAAAAGGTTCAGGACAGAACTATTGAGACTTATAGAAGACTTAAAAGGTAACTAGTACGAGCGGAATGGAAAGGCTTGGTCCACATAACGTAGAAGAAGAGATGAAGACATGAGATGGCGGTAGTCCCCAAATGATTAAAAGAGAAATGGAGAACACTGTTGTGACACGCAATACCAAAATGATGGAAGATACTAGCAAATAGACAAATTACCGTATTTTTCCATGTATAAGACTAGATTTTTTTCCTTTAAAAATAATGTCAAAAATTAGGGGGCGTCTTATACTCTGGGCCACCCCACCCCCATTTTCTTAAATCTGAGTCCCCCAAAATAGGGGGCATCTTATACATGGGGGCATCTTATAGACGAAAAAATACGGTAATTCAGTTTACACAATTTATGCAGGATGCCACATTCAGTTTTTCTTGGTGCATAATTTAAATGTTTTAGCCTAAAGTACACATAGCTATGGTAAATATGCAGTCATATACTAGGCTGATCTATTACTTGTTTTATTTTCCTCCTCTGTTTAAAGTTACTACATGAATCTCTGTCAAAGAGTCCACGAAGGACCCACAGGTTGCCCAGAACGAGCAAGTGTTTGCCGGAGAAGTCAGAACGGGGCTGTACAGGTTCTGGGATTAGTGCATACTCAGAAACTAAATGTAACAGGTATGTACCTAAATACAGTGCATGGTTGTTTTTTTAAAAAGGGGGCAACTGAAGTAAATATTTTAATGGAAAATGTGTCTATTTTCATTTATTACTCTAAACAGCTGAAATCTATATTATATTTAGTTTTCTATTTCTTCTCATCAGGGTCGTTTAAGCTAGACTTTTTATTGAGGCATAGACAAATCTTAACATTTAATACCCAACATTCATTGGTGTAATCCAGCTCCTGTATAAATTACTAGATAGTCTGCTGTAAAGCCTCAACAGGCTGTGGATTCTGTCTGCTGTTCAGTACACTGCCCTGTGCAGAAGTGCCATTAATACTTGGTAAAACCTTCCCCAAAGGACAAATACTCCTTCAACAATTGGTCCTTACCTTTTATGAAAGAGCTGCACTTAATCTTTGAAAACTAAATTCACAAACATTCTGATATATTTTGGGCCATTTGACCTAGCTGTAAAATCTTGAGCTCTTCTGTTACAAGAACCAATAATTACATTGAAGGAAATGTCACTAATGCAAGGTCAAAATGGGGTGGGGGTGGGTGGCTGGCATGATTTTAAAATGTTGGTTCGTTTTTGCTTGCAAAGCATTGCTTGTGTTTTTGTGTTGGTTCAAAAAAGCATTGTATTTTGCCTTTTAATTTACAAGAACGTGATGTTTCTGTTTCAGACGATAGAATCCTTGTCAGTTACTCCAACGGCCACGAGTGTCCACAGAGGAACAAAAAAGCAACCACCGTGATAGAACTGAAATGTGGAAAAACAGTTGGCATGCCAAGGTTTAATAGGTAAAGTGTAAAGAGTAACTGGCTGCTGTAGTGTAGTTGAGGGCCTCTTGAATGTTACTGTGATTAATGGGTACACCTCAGATATGTTGGTAGTACCTGCAGTGTTCCTTGAATTGACAGTGAGGGGAGAGAGAATTGCCACCTTTTTCCACCACACATTCATAAGATTGGGATCCAAGGCTACTTGGCACTGTGACCACATCCTCACTGTTATTCTGCTTTGACAGGCATGGCTTATCCCCAGAGAATCCTCAGAAATGTAGTTTGCTAAAGACGCAGAGAGCTGTTAGGCGACCCCTATTCCTCTCACAGACCTGCAGTTCCCAGTGTGGCTTATCAGTCGTTCTTCCCTAGGAGCTCTGGGGACTGTCTCCTAACAGCTCTCAGCACCCTTGGCAAAATCCAGTTCCCAGGATTTTGGGGGCGGAAGCCGTGAATGTTAAAGTGGCCTTGCTAAAGGACTTGCAACTGGGTGGAGTTTTTGACCTTGGTATCTTCAGGGTGACCAGTAGCCTTAGCTGCGAGTTTTGCCACAAAACAGCATAAACGGAATAATATTTGTGCTCTTGGCATGAATAGAAATAGAATTTGGTTGACCTGTAACAAGCGGAGGAAGGAAGAAATGAAGCAGTATTTAGATACATAAATCCTGCAATGTTTGAATTACAGCATATTGTCATTTAATCAGCTTGTTCTGCATCACGTCCCCTTTTCCTTTGTTCAAACACAACAGGCATGAGTCCCACAGGCATGAGTTGAAGTAAAAATGTAACTAAGTAACAATGCCAGCTTTATGTTGGCTCAAGAGTCTTCTCTGGGCCTTGATATGTGGCACATTCTGTGTCTCTACATGGATTAGCGGGTGGTTCCTCTCCAAGTGTCGGTTTTTCTCCATTGAGTTCAGCCCTCTCCCACGCATCTTCCTTGGCAAGGCCTCTCTCTCACAAGCACACTCTTCTCTGCCAGGGCTAAGAAACAGAGACAGTTCTTGTTTACTTTTCCTGAGTCATTTTCTTCTTATTGAGGGTCCTGACATGAGCTAAAACTTGCCCCTTGGGCTCAGTAGACAGTTATTGCCTCAGGTTGTCTGTTAGCAACTTGGTGGGGATGGAATTTTAATTGTATAAGCAACACCACCAACCACTAGGGGGTGCTGTTCCATGTCATTAGTGCTTACCTAAGGCTCCATGTTTTCCTTGTTCTGTCTTGTCTGTCACATGGTCTTGGAAATGTTCCTATAAAGAGCAGTTCTTTGTTGGAGACTTCTGCTGCCAGTTTTACTGCCAGATCTCTAATAAAGCCTTCAGGCAAGAGGGAGATTTATGCACTCCTGGTGTCTTTGAGCTTTCCTGTATATCTTTACAAACTTCTTTCTGCAGTGCTGAGTGTCAAAAGCATTGTTCTTACAAGAATCTTGGGATACTATTATGCAATTTGGCCCCGCTGAATAGCTGAGGACTGTAGAATGCATGCAAAAATATGACATGCCGCTTATATTTCCAGATCCTCTTCAAAGCCTCCCTTTGCAAAGTTATTTCTCTTTTCTATCCCAGTTCTTTCTCTTGTTTCGTTTCTAAAAGACCGCATATATGCGGCTGCATTCACTCCCAGTCTTGATGCTGGTAATCCTCTTTTTGTTCCTTCCTGGTCAAGTGTAATTTTATTCAACTCCGTGGTGTTGATGGTCTTAAAATGTGTGTGTTCTGTGTTTCAAACTGGAAGATGTTTCTATGGGACACTGGCACTAGACTGAGATGGAGAAGTTTTGTTCTTTTGTTGATAACCAGGTTTTTCTGGAAGAGTGTATGATATCCATGCAGGGATTGTGGTAGGGAGGAACGGTGTCATATGTTGCTGTCTACTGAGGAGTTATTACCAAGTGAGCAGCTGCTGGAGGACAATGGTTCTTGTGTGGATAGCTTAATTCCTGGGTCTCTTGGGGGGCTGCTTACCTGTTTCCCCTTCACTTACATTATCAAAACCAATTCCGTGTTACAAAAATCACAGACCTTAGGCTGCTAAGAAGGGCCAGTTTAACTGGTGATTTTCTAGGGGAAAATTAGAGCACACCAGTGCTTATTAAGATAATCACAGTCTCAGAGCTAGAGCCTTGTTAGCCTGAATGATAATCTGATGCTGATCAAAATGGTCTCACTGTCCATCAGAGCAATTAAATCAAGTTTAGAGCTTAGAGCAGGTATTTCCAACTGTTCCACAACTTGCTCGTGGGCCACAAATTACTCTCTTAGATATTCTGCTGTAGAATAGGTGGATACACCTGGTGTGATTTCCAAGTTTAGATGTATTCATAGAAACGTGCTAAAGGGGGCACAGTTTTATCAGCTTGAAATGAAACACTTGAATATAGACAGTCACAGATATGCAGCAAATAAGTCTTAGCTGTTCCCTCTCCATCACACGGCCTCTACCATTGTGTCATTTATGCTTATTGCTGGTAAACCTTTTCCTTGCTTCTCTGTATTTCCTGTTAGGATTGATGAAGAAAATTGTGCCTACTACATCACATGGGAAACTCGGGCTGCTTGCGCTGTGAAACCCCAGGAAGTAACAATGAAGAATGGCACAATCATAAATCCAGTGACAGGGAAGAATTTCAGTCTGGGCAATATATATTACAAGTAAGTATACTCTCCTGGTGTAAAAGAAGTGGTAGAAAAGGCAGGGGTACAAAAATTCCAGCCACTCAGTCGCTGCTTCAGACGTGCTTGGAGGTGACCAAATAAGATTAGTGCATATTGTAGAGTAGTATCAAGTAACAACACAAGATAACACAATATACTTGAAAGAATAGCCTACTTGGAAGAGTCATGATAAGTTGGAGATGTGCTGTGCTGGTCTCCTTGTTAAATGGAACTGAACTTGAAATATGAACTTGGATTAACAATCAAGTGAGAATAGGTGCTTAAGGTGACTAATGCATACTGAATATTTTGTTTGTTTGTTTGTTAACTCTGATTATATTTGTTCCCTGTGTCTTTTAAAAACCATGAATCTACTCTGTTTCAGATTATACAATGCTTCCGGTGATATAAGAGCAAATGGTGACACCTACATTTATGAAATTCAGCTTTCTGCCATCACTGATTCAAAGCACCATCAATGCTCTGGAGCCAACATATGTCAAGTTAAAACATCAGATACCCATTTTAGGAAAATTGGATCTTCTAACAAGGCTAAATATCATGTTCAGGGCAAGTACCTATTGCTTCTAATGTTAACTTATTGGGTTACAGCAAACATGCTTAGTGATATGTCTTGGAAATGCAACATCTGTTGAGAAAGCATAGATCAAACATTAGTTTAGCTCAAGGAACTCCCTTATTTTTTTCCCCTAATCCAAATAGCTGCAACAAATCTAACACTGTTCTCTCTTTAAGAGGTCTTGAATATGAATAGGTAAATTGTAATTTCTTAGAAACTTTGAATCTTTCCTCTCTCTTTTTTGTAGATGGTGATTTGGATGTCGTGTTCTCCTCAGAGTCCCAATGTGGCAGAGACAAAACAAAATTTGCATCTTCAACCATTTTCTTCCACTGCAGCCAGCAGGCCAAGGAAGGCATCCCCCGATTCCTTCATGAGTCATCAGATTGCCAGTACTTGTTTACCTGGTACACTTCGGCAGTCTGTCCATTGGTGTAAGTGAGAACACTGAAACCTGTCACTTCTTTCCCTATGGGATAACAGAGAGGGGTTGTACATTACTAAAAGCCATGTTGGAATCTTGAGTAACACCTAATAACCACACAGAGTGGCAGCCATAGTAATTCTGCAGTCATAGTTATGTGGGTTAGATAGCACCTACCTTTTTTTAAGGGGTGTCGTGATTGGCAAATGGATCTCACATAAGGACAAATCTCTGAGTCTCCCTAGTGTGTGTATATTAAAAAAAGATTTAGAATCCACTGATTAAACTGCTTATTCTGGATGTCTCTAGCTTTTCCTTATATAACAGCTTATTTTTTTAAATTGAAGAAGAGTTTTTAACACAATACTAATGAAATCTAAAACAATAAAAGACTGAAACTCAATAAAGTAATAAAATAAAACTAGTAAGCCTTGAAGTTCTCTAAAAATCACAGGCAGAATCCTGAATTGGGTTTGGAAGCAAAAAGAACACTTGTGTAAGAAGATAACCTTTTGAATGCAGGCCCCTCCCTCTCAATACTCTTTCTTTTTATTGCCTGCAGAAGCTCCGAGCCAACAAACAACGAAACATTTGTAGAAGAAATTTATAAAGGCCTTTCAGGAAGAAGCCAAGCGGTTGGTGCCATACTGAGTTTGCTCCTTGTGGTCCTTACAGCATGCCTAGTTATCCTGTTACTTCATAAAAAGGAAAGACGGTAAGGAGGAGGGATGGAATGGGGTTCCAGTTCTGCAATAACTTCCTGGTCCTCACCCTCATGCAATTTTTTGTGAGTGCCATGCATTCAGAACAATGGATTCAGTCTTTGCAAATCCAACCAGGGGCTATGTTGATCACTTCTAGTCCATTGGCAGCACACAACCAGCAACAGCAGCACCAAGCTGCAGGTTTGATCCTCAGGGACAGCTGCATATTCCTGCATTGCAGGTGGTTGGACTAGATGATCCTCAGGCTTCCTTCCAACTCTGATTCTATGATCTCCGCTTTGGGATACTTCAACTCTCCTTAGGGAATCTTGTGTCCAGAAGCATCCATGGTTACATGCTTCATTGCTGAAACTCCTAAGCACTAGTACAATGGTCATTCTCCCATTCCTGCCTTCATGCTTTCTACTGTGACCAATCCACTCCCTCCCTCCCCCCTTCATCAAGTCGCCTTCCTCTATTCCCCAAGTTGCTCCTCAAAATTGACTTTTTCAGCAGACCACCAGGCTTCTCTTCCTCTTACCTGCTAACATCCTGTTAAATCCTTCAACAAATGAAGAGGGATGGTGTACAGGGGAAGTATGCAAGGGGAAGTATGGAAAGGTTAGTGGGTGCTCTTGCTCTGAGCAAGCGCCTTCTAGTGCACCCTTCCACATAAAATATTGCATAGGGAACCTATGGCCCTCCAGATGTTGCTGGACCTGTTGGCCTTGCTGGCTGGGTTTGATCCAAGTCCAAAAATGGCTGGAAGGCCACAGATTCCCCATCCCTTCTGTAGAAGCTGAGGTAGGGCTAAACCATCAGTTAATAATAGAGGTGAATGAAGTAGTGAATTTGTAAGTGGCATTTTACTCAAAGTATGTAACGCTAATGTTTGCTATTTTGTAGAGAAACCATGAAGCAAAAGATAGCCAACTGCTGTCGGAGAACATCTAACGTTTCCTATAAGTATACAAAGGTAATTGTTTCTCTGTGTGACTCAGAGGGTTTGCTCCATTTGACTATGAACTGTATGCATGGTTGCAAACTCTGCTTAAAATCATACTTGTTTCCATGTAATCAGGGGCTACTTGTGATATAATATAAAGTAGATTTACTTAGCAATTGAAGTCCTATAGAATCTCTTAAAAAACCCAATCCTGATTATTCATAACTTTGTTGTTGAGAGTCAGGGTTAACCCCTCCTGTCCTATTCCAGTTTTTGAAGACTCCTATGAAAGAATTTCCAGGCTTCATATCTGATTGATGTGGGGAATACTCAGAACATTGGGCTTTCTAATATAGCTGTGTTAAGGGATTTAAGCCAAAACTCTGAGAATTGAACTTATTTTTCAAGGTCAGTGCTGAAGCTTGGGAGCAAGAAAAAAGCATATTGATACAGTGAATAGATCCAGCTCCTTTTGGTGTACATAGATTTCCTAAATGATTTCCCATTCCCAATATGAACTTCAGGGGACATAGTTAATAGAAATCCATACGGGGCCTGGGGTGGAGGTGAGGGTGCACTTTGTGGCCAAGAAATAACACCAGGTTAAGTTTGTAGTAATTCCTTTGAAATTGTTGAATAGGAATTGTTTCAGCTATACTTTTATATGTATGTAAGAAGAAATTTGCAGATTGGAAAAGTAAAATGAAATTCACTGGTACCTCTAGATACAAACGGGATCCGTTCCGGAGCCCCGTTCGCATCTAGAGGTAAACGTAACTAGCAATGGCACGTCTGCGCACGCACGCGTTGCTTTTCAGCGCTTCTCCACATGACGTCATTTTGAGCGTCTGCGCATGCGCAAGCGGCGAAACCTGGAAGTAACGCGCTCTGTTACTTCCGGGTTGCCGCGGAGCGCAACTCAAACGCGCTCAACTCGAAGTGTATTCAACCCGAGGTATGACTGTAGTTGGTCATAAGATGATGCCTTGGTCAGTCAGATCTATGGTCCATATAGCCCAGTATTATCTACTTGACGGGGAGCAGGGTCTCAGACCAGAGGCCTTTCCCATCACTTGCTCCTAAAATCCCCCCCCCCCCCGTTATTGCTTGATTTTTATAAACTGGTGCCAGGTTGAATTCTCCATGGTTCTTTGCCACTGAGCTTGTGATCCATTTCCAAGATGAGGTTTATCTTGGGATCCATAGAATGGTTGCGCAAAGACTTTAAAATTCTGTTTGTTAACTGCACCCTCTTGAACATGACAGATAAGCACTGAAGAACTGAACGAGAACGAAATGGAATGGCTCATGGAGGAGGTAGCTGCACCCAACCAGAAGTCAGGAAACGAAGGGCACGAAAACGGCCACATCACCAGCAAAGTAGTTAAGTCGGATGCTCTCACTTCTCTTCATGTGGATGATATGGACAGCGAGGATGAAGTCCTCACAATACCAGAAGTGAAGATCCATTCAGCGAGGGGTGTCCAGTCTAGTAGGCTTCCTCATGACAAGACCCTTAACCTCCCAAGCAGCGATAAGCCTGGCCTGCTCAATGGCAACAAGAATAGCAAAGGCAGCACCGCTTTTGGCCAACGGAAGCTACAGAACTCAGTGAAGACAGCTTCCTTTCATGATGACAGCGATGAGGACCTGTTGAACGTTTAACCTTCATTGTGCCTAATCAAAATTCCATGTGTGTGTGTACATATATAAATATATAAAGGTGGGACAAACAAAATACTTCCAACCAAATACGAAGACTTTAGCTGCAGATGCCTTTTGCAAGGGAGTGTTTCAAAGGGAAGGTGGGAGGAGGAAAGAAGGGTCAATCCTAGTTGTTTACAATGGTCTGTTTAGTGATTACTGGATTTCTAGCATCCACCGGAATGAATTGTGGCAATTCTTCTCCTCAGCCAGGATTTGCACTCTCCCCGCTCTGTAGATTGTAGAGGCTTCATAATGCTTCCAAAAGGTAGGCTCAGATCTGAACGAAGTCCCCTCACCTTCAAGACGAGACTTGCATTTTAACACTCTTATTTTTATTTATTGTTCTCGGTACTCAGGTTCATGAAAATAATAATAATAAGCAACTTGCTCTTCCTGCAGGCCAGGGTGTTTGTGTTACAGATTCACCCCATCACATGAAATGGAGATGAGGGGTCCTCTGTATGTTTGCTGGGTTGTTTTGATGTACATTTTGGAGCTGGTCTGTTTAAACTTGCCTGTACATTTGATTTCCCGTATCCTAACTTAAAATGCGTTATGATTTGAAAAGTGTTTTTACTGGAAGGTACAAATCTTCATAGCTTTAGCCTTGAACAGTGGCTGTTCGTTGCATGTTGAGTCTCTTTTTGGGGGGTGGGGTTAGCCAATCACATTAAGTCATTCATCAGTATTTACAAAACATTTGGTGAAATCACCCAGACCTCTCCTTTAGCTTTGCTGTTTCTTTCAAAGAGCAGTAAGGAAGGCAGATGTTCACTGTTATAACTGCTCCTAATGTTGTCGTGATGAGAAGAACACTGTAGCTCTTTTGAAATGCGATCCTGCTTCAGGGGCTGTAGAAGGCAGGGGGAACCCTGTCCTTTTTGGGAAATGGCCCTTCTGGAAGAGTCTCCTAACCCTACCATATGGAACTAATTTATTCCAAGCCAAGCTATGGAATTTCTAGAACATCAGCTTCACTGCCCTGGGAGATGTGTGCCTGCTCAAAGCCACAGGCCAACAGAAGCCTTAATTGCACAGACACAAACTTGAATTTTGGCGGACACTGTGTGTGGACACTGAGAGGCAACAAATGTTTTTTGGGTAATATCACTGAACATCCAGGTCAGTTTTGCCTGCTGGAGCCACTGAAATTAAAGTGTTGTTGGCAACATTGAACGAAGATCTCCCTATAGCCATTGACATCTACTCTGTTTCTGACGGATCTCACGGGCAAAGAGCAAGTTTCTATGGACAATGCACCAGTATTTAACACTGGCTAGAAGCTCTTCCTTGTTTATACCTTTTCCTATTTACACTGGTTTGCTTAAGGTTGGCTTCCACTTAGGAATCTGATTTAATGTAACAAAAAGTGTTCAAATGATTTCAATAAAAGCTAAATTATGTTTCCCAGGAATCTATATAATTTTTCATAATTTTAAATAACCTTGTAATGGGTCTCAGAACAGAGATGGAGATGTAGAGAACTTTTTTGTACAATTCTGAGTACACGTTCTAAAGATCTGCCAGACTACTACTGCAGAAGCAGAAAGAATTGTCAAAATCATTAGGAAGAGGGACAGTCCACTTCATTACTTTGAGTGGGCTTGGTTCAAGTATTTGACCAGCTGGCCAGCCATGGGAGGCTGACTTCTAAGCACTGGAAACTGCAAGGGGCCTCTGGATCCCCACTGCACAGTAGAAGTTCCCTTGGTTTTCTCTTTGATGGGATGTATGTTTCCTATTTCTGAGTTAGAAAATTTCAGTTCTGCTTCACAAAGCATTGGCCAGAATGCTTAGCTCAAGTTAACTTAAAGCCAAGGGTAGTCTGAACATCACTACTGGATGTCTCAGAGTGAACAAAATGGCCTAAAATTGGTGAGCTGGAATGACATTTCAGAAGACTATTGGGTGCTGGTATGTTGTTGTTTTCTCAAAAGGAAAGTGCTATATGGTAGAACAACTTTCAGAACTGTACTTTATCCCACATGAACTTGCCCATCAGCCAAACTCTCTTGGAGGCCCTTCTCTGAGCACTCTGCCTTTTCTGGTTGGCAGGTGGCAACCGGATGTCTGCTTGCTCTGGTGGCCCCCAAGTAACAACACTCCATCACTTGTTTGCCTGTTCCTGTTGTTTAGACACCTGGAGAAGGCCATCCTATTCTATTATGTTTCACTCTCACCTTTTTTCCAAGGAACTCCCCCTTTTAACAGACCTTGTTTGATAGATAAGGCAAGAGCGATGATCACTGGCTCAAGGTTACCCAGTGATCTTTCTGGCCAAGTGGGAACTAACCACTACACACACTACCTTAGGCTTTAATCCAGATATGATTTGCCTTTTGTGGTATTTGTTCTTCCTTTTTAAAATGCTTTCATGTCTCTCCAAGCTGCTCTTCTAGACGTCTTTCTACTTTTTCTTGGTCCACAAATCTGAAGACTACCCAGATGATTGGCAGTCTCTACTAGTCAAGAAGCTTTACAAAAGAGCATAACCATTTTTTTAGTTTCTGTTTCTCTCTCCACTGTGCCCTAAATCTCTCTCTTTTTTTTGGTCTTCTCTGTTATGTACCCTTGCACACGTGTTTACCATGTGTAAAGTGAACTTCATTGAAATGCGCATCACAGTGTCAGTTCAGAGTTGCATACCTGTACAACAAGCATGATGATGATTCCAAGCAGTCACAGGCATTTATCCCTAATACGCAAGTGGTTTAATAGGGTAATAACATAAAAAGTTAGTGCAAGCAAGGGAGTGGTACAGAACTGGACTCAAATTACACTGCTTTATCAGTGCACAACATGGCTTCTGTGGTTACCAGCTCTGAATTGCTGACATGTTAGCAATGTATAGATTCAGCTGGCCCCTTCTGTGCCAGGCCTTGACCAGTACAGTCAAACTAATTGGCCCAGGGCTATCTGTATTCCTGAAAAACGATGGTAGTAATGGAACATAGGATCAATGAAGTTTGTATGAACTGCACACACTCAAAAAGCACACTGATAACAGAACACAAGCCAAGATAGCAACATACAAGATTCTAACAGATGCTCTGTGGGATAGGAATGCTTTTACTCACAAAACAAACAATCAGCCAACCAGAATATATTCCATTCTTTTTGTCACTACTGCTTCACTGCCCAGATGTTTCAAATGACCTTTTCCTGGCCAAGAATGACCAGGTTAACTTTCCTTCAATCTCTATGTTTTCACAAAATTCCACTCCTTCTTGGGAATATGAACACGGCACTTTATTAGGTCAACTAAAACAAAAAAAAAGTACTCCTCTAATATCCATTATGGAGGAAAGCGAAATACTTTTACTTCTGCCATGAAAGCCTGTGGACTATTTTTCCAGACTTAAAATCTACCTGAGATGGGAAGATAGGCCAAAGGGGGCCGGGATGCAGCAATTTTTAGATTCTCAGAAAGAGGGTTTTGGGTACTTGGAGCTTCATTTTGTGTTGTGCAACTCACAACACAAATTACAACTTGAAACGGGCAGCACCTCAAAAACAGGTTTTGGGGTTTTTTAAAAGCAAAAACTGATGTAAAGTGAGACTTGAGTTTTATGAACACCACTAATATATACAAACACAAAATCTAAAAACATAGGAAGCAGCTGCCCTAGCAGATTAGACCAGATACTTAGGAGAAGCCCTCATCCTGATATGGTCGCCTCCCTGCCCCCCATTAGTACACAATTATCCTTGAAGATTTAACGTAAGACGTGCAAAGTGATACATTTCCAGTGCTATTGCAGAAAAGTAACCTAGCAGAGTGTGGCTGTACAAGGAGCATCAAACAAAGAAAACAAGTGATGAGGTAGCAAACGGGCTTTAAGAAAGCCAAATAGACTTCATGACACCAAGATAATAACATGCTGTGTAGATGGGTCTCCAGCAACACAGGCCAAACCAACTGAGCGATACATTAACTAGCTCTGAGCCTTTTTCTGCTTCAGTACTCCTGTTATTCACTGGACTTCAGTTTACATAGAACACCTTCACATTCTTAGGTTACCCATTTAAAAAAAGAAAGACCTGGAATATAACATTCTTGGGACGAGGCCACTGATCTTCCACGAATGCTGTGGCCTTGAAGATGACGTGAATTGTCTTCATAGAGATCTATTGCCCTTCTGTTGCATGGGCATTGCAAGTAGAAAACCTGTCTTCTGTGGTAATTGTCCCTATCAGTTCTGTGATTCTCTGCATCATATAAATAAAGAGAACACAAGTTGGGGGTATGCAGGCCAAAGTAGACAGGATCTGGTTCCATGAATTTGTCTAAGCCTCCTAAAGCTAGTCTTGCTATACTAGTTGCCATGAAGGCCGTTTGTGCATTTACGCTCCATGAATTTAATGTATGTCCAGAGGAAGGGAGGGACTGGCTATTCCCAGAATGGTTTGACAAATCAATCCCTCTTCCTAAGGAATGCTGAAAATTTTAACTCTGTGAAGGGAGTAGGAGTCTTCTAAAAACACTACATTTCCCAGGAATCGGGTTGAGGGTGGGGAATGACCCATGATGATTTACAGTGGTATCATAGTGCTTTTAATGAATGGTGTGAATGTGGCCTGGGCTTACTAGAGGCATATTTAGCCATTGTCTCCTGCCCAGGATGCTCTTCAATGCACCTCGTAACTTTCCATCAAAGAAGTGAATAGCTGCTTTCTCCCATGGGAAGGAATGGTAAAGTTCAGTATCTGGGGATAATGCTGGAGAGGGGGCAAAACCCAACAGTGAGAGGCCCACCTTCTAATGGCAGGGGCCCCTTGTGGACTGGAGTATCCTGAGGTGCGTTGCATCCACAGGACTCCCTACACCCACCTACAATGCTTTTGCGAGGGTATTATCAACAACAGGGTGAAGTGGGGTAGCATCTGAGGGACTGCAGGAAGCACACAATCTCTCTCTGTAAAAGCAGCTCCAATGTCCAAGGCTGGACAGATTTATCAGCCAGGGGTTTGTTTACCTCTGTCAAAAGGCTTTGTCACAAGTCAATGTTGTCTTTTGCGCTGGTGACCTTCCACCTTTTATTTGCTTGTCTGCGACTAAATATGGCTAGCGACTTCACTTGAAGCAAAGTTGAGAAAAGGGGACCGCTGGATTTCTTGAAAGCAACCCATCTTTGTTGTGCTTCCCACTGCTTTTAACACTGAAGAATGCTAGCCTTCAAGTTTAGTTACCCTCCTCCCCCCATGAAGCTTATATAAAAGTTGACACAGATGGCTTAATAATTTATAAACTAATACTTTGACTTGGGGGTCAGACGTCCTGTTGTTTAAGCATATTTCTGCTCGGCACAATTAGGAACAGTGTTGTGAATGACAGGCTTTGTACAAAATGCCAAACTTCGATGACATTCTAGAGCACATTGGAGAATTTGACCTGTTCCAGAAAAGAGCCTTTTTTCTCATTTGCTTCGTCTCTGTTGCCTTTGCCCCGATCTATGTGGGAGTCGTTTTCCTTGGCTTCATACCTGAGCACCGTTGCCTGAATCCTGGAGCTGCCGAGTTAAGCAGCAGATGTGGCTGGAGCCCTGAACAGGAGGTGAATTACACAGTTCCAAATGGAGAGACTTTCACCCGTCAATGCATGAGATACGATGTGGACTGGAATGCAACTGAGCTGAGCTGCACAGAACCGTTGGAAGCCTTTTCCAGTAATAAGAACTTCTCTCTTACAACCTGCCTAGATGGCTGGGTCTATGATCCTTCAATATGGTCCATTGTGAGCGAGGTAAGGTCATGCTGCTGCCTTTCCCGTGCTCTCCCTTGGTCTATTAGTACAGTCATTCACAAGCTGATGACCTCCAGATGTTTTGGGCTACCACTCCCATCAAACCCAGCCAACGTGGCCAGTAGTGGGGGATGATAGGAGCTGTAGTCCAAAACATCTCAACGTCACCAGGGTGGGGTAGGATGCTCTGGTGAATAGGTGAAAACTGGGAAGAGGAGGGTGATGATGTGGGGTATCACTGTGGTATGTACAGGTGGGCTTCAGGAAATACCAAGAACATTCCACATAGAGGAAAAGCAGTCATTTTACAACAGGTTAGGTTGCATTAATGCTGCCAGCCCTCATGTCAGATTCTGTGCTTCACTTGGAAGCTGAGTAGACACTGAAATCAATAGCATTCACTTTTGTTTCCTGAAAAATCCAGTGATGGCCATCCTCTGTTGTTGTTGTTTTTTAATTTAGAAATGTCAGCTTCAGGCAAATCATACAGCTTGATTTACAGTTCGCATAAATGAGGCTGGCCTTCACCAGCCTGGTGTCCTCCTGATGTTTTGGACCCCATTCTCAACCAGGACAGCCATGCCAGCTGGGGAAGATGTAGTGCAAAATAACTTGAGGGCACAACATGAGTTTTAACTACATTGTGCAAAAATGTGGAACTGCTCAAAGCTAGCAAGGTTGTTAGCAAGATGAAGGTAGATTGAGTAGTGATTGTGACAAGAACAGGCATTTCTGGTGGGCTGTAAATCTCACTAGGTGGCGTTGCCGCATTTCCACATGTAATGTCAAAGAAACAAATGAAAAATCTGTGATTTCCAATGTCTTAACTCCGTCACCAAAACTGAATGCCTCTGTATATTTATGTGTCAATGAATTGTTAGCATCAGAAACGTATACCTAGAAAGCTCTTATCTGGAGGTTCAAAAGCTTTTACACTACTTATGAACCACTTCCTTAATTTTTTTAAAAAGGTCACCCCTTGTGCGGACTGTGCCATTATATAATTTATTTGCTAGGTGGCACTGGACTTGACCACATCTGAGTGTGGTTAGGAGTTTCCTGTTGCTGTTCTGTATTTGTTTAACAGAGGGAATAATGCTCTTGTAGCATTATCATGGCTGGTGTGTCTTTTTAACATGTTGTAACAGCTCAGGCCTCCAGGTCAGAATTCACAAGGTCATTGGTGCAGTCATGCATTCAACATTGGATCAATTAAGAAAACTGATATCCCCATAACAGCTTTTCTCCTGACAGAGATATGTGGAAAAAGGTCCAACATGTGACCCACTGTAATGTTGCCACTGTTTCAGTAAGCCACAATATAGGCATGTTAGACTAGGCAGAACTACATGCCTCTTAAAAGCCTGGATTCTGATGATCCACATCTGATAATTTTGAGTGAAAGCAGGCATGTGACCACACTCAGGATTTCATCTGCTGGAAAGGTGTTCCACAAAGCTGAGGTTCAGATCCCACAAAAGCTAAAAGTGAGCAAGACCTGTGAAATAAGAAAGGTAAAGAGAAACAAGACAACTGGCATGTAGTGGTCCTAAGGAAGGAAGAGCAAAGAGAAGCAATTTTTCAGGTTTTCACTATGACCTAGGAGACCAAGGTAACTGGGTCCAGGAAGTGGCTGGCAGAATCTAAGTGGCTTCTTTATATGGAGGGGGTTTGTTGGTGCTCATAGGACAGATTTTATTCATTCTGAGTTTTGAGCTTTTCTCACTACCCAATAAGGTTCAGGCCTTGCTTGACTCTTATCCAATCCAACTCTGGGTTCCTTAAAAAGGTAAAGGGACCCCTGACCATTAGGTCCAGTCGTGGCCAACTCAGGGGTTGCGGCGCTCATCTCGCTTTAATGGCCGAGGGAGCCGGCGTACAGCTTCTGGGTCATGTGGCCAGCATGACTAAAGCCGCTTCTGGCGAACCAAAGCAGCGCATGGAAACGCCGTTTATCTTCCCGCCAGAGCGGTACCTATTTATCTACTTGCACTTTGACGTGCTTTCGAACTGCTAGGTTGGCAGGAGCTGGGACTGAGCAACGGGAGCTCACCCCGTCGCGGGGATTCGAACTGCCGACCTTCTGATCGGCAAGTTCTAGGCTCTGTGGTTTAACCCACAGTGCCACCCGCGTTCCTTGGGTTCCTTGGATGTGTCTAAATACAGTTCCAAAATAGAACACACTTTTCTTTTGGGGAGACACTGGCTTGTGCTTCCCACAAGGATCCTGACTATCTTGTAAAGGAAAACTACAAAGGTGGCTGAGAAGTGGATACCAGGGAGAGGATGCAAAGGTAAGGTGTCTAGCTCAGAAAAAGAAATCCTGTTCCACTGGCACCCATGTGGTTGGAGCAAACATGGAATTAAGTCTTTAATGGCAGTGGACTATGGGGATATCGTAGCTTCCTCTGCCATCTGGTCATTCCTACCTTCCAGCACTTAGAACTGATTTGTAATTTTATTCCTAATTGTGTCCCCACAGTTTAATTTAGTATGTGAAGACTCCTGGAAGTTAGATGCATTTCAGTCATCTGTAAATGCTGGATATTTTCTTGGATCCATATGTGTTGGCTACATAGCAGACAGGTAGGTGCAGAATGATTAGGTGAAATTCAGGTCAGTTTTGCTGATACTATGCATGGATGGCAGAAAGTCATTAAGTAATAATTAGGAAATGTTTGCTAATTTAATATTATATGCCACTGTGTTACTGAATGTTTCTCAGTTTCCTGTTTGGTGTAAGCTTCTCAGGATTTTGTAGTTTATTAGATCTGACACATACGGACTCCTTTGGGTACAGAATAATATTCCTATTAAGGCTTTTTGCAAAATCAAACCTCCATATGATAACTTTGAGATTATTATTTAAAAGTCAGGCTACAGGGCATGAATTAGGTTTCAGCATGCACAGTTTTAAGAAAAAGAAGCAAGATATTTTATCACTATTCCTAATAATACCCAGCATAGCAGGTACTGTTCTATTACTGAAGAGGATTTTTTTCCCATAGCAAAATTGATACCTTCTCTCCTTTTCCCATCCACTGCCCAGGCACTGTTAAGTATACCGAATTGCCATAGGACAGATGGGGAATCAGTGGAATTGTTTAATATTATTTTAGTATGGTTGAATGAAACAATGGGCCGGGTCCTTCGCCTCCTTCTCCTTCCAGTATTCCTCTCTTAGCTCACTGCTTCCTCCTGCCACCAAGATGGAGAGTCTCATTCAGCATTATGTGAGCCTAAATTCCTCAGAAAATTATTTTCTGAGGGAAACTGTTGAAGACCATCACCCGCCCTCAAGAATATTTGGCAAACTCCCTCCCCTCATTTTACCACCTACAAATAGCAAGAACATAACAAGCTGCCTTACTCCAAGTCAGACCTTTGGTCCTTCTAGCTCAGTATTGTCTACAAACTGTCTGGCCGTGACTCTTGAGGGTTTCAGGCAGGGGACGCTCCCAGCCCTGCTTAGAGATGCTAGGGCCTGAACCTGGAACCTTCCGTATGCAAGGTAGACGCATTCCCACAGCACAAATGATTTTGAGAGGCCATTTTCACAGAGCCCAATTACAAAGTCTTTCCACTTATCTTGTTTTGTTCTGCTTGTATGATATATTTTAATATTTTATATGTTTTAAACAGCTGCCAGGAGTGTGCATACACTAGAATGTAGGGGTAAAGGTAAAGGGACCCCTGACCATTAAGTCCAGTCATGGACAACTCTAGGGTTGTGGCGCTTATCTCGCTTTACTGGCTGAGGGAGCTGTCATACAGCTTCCGAGTCATGTGGCCAGCATGACTAAGTCAGAAATGGGCTAAAATAAATGGTCTGGAGTTAGGGGTGAGCAGTGAGATTGCCAAGTTTGTTGATCATACTAAAGTGTTCAGAATTGGGTTTTTTAAACAACAACAACAACAACAACAACAACGGAGATTGCAAAGAGCTTCAAAAGGACTTCTCCACACTGAGGGAACAGGTAGTAAGGTGGCAGTAAGATGTAAACAGGTGTAAAGTGATTCATGTCATGGCAAAAAAATATCTTAAGATTGTAGTGGATAGCTAGATGAATATGGGTTGATGCGCGGCAGCTGTAAAAAATGCAAATTCCATGCTAGGAATGTGGGAAGGAAATCCCCTGCCGATATCATAATGCTATTATACAAATCTACGGTGCTAGCAAATTTGGAATACTGTGTTACCTCACATCAAAAAAGGGTGAGCAAAATGATCAAGGAAATGGAGCAAGTCCCCTATGAGGAAAGGTTGCGGCATTTGTGTGACATGATAGACATTTATGAAATTATGCATGCCATGGAGAAAGTGGACAGAATACTAGAACTCCTGGACATCCAGTGAAGCTGAATGTTGGAAGATTTAGAACAGATAAAAGAAAGTACATCTTCACACAGTGCATAGTTCAGCTATGGAACTCAAATCCACATGAGGTACTACTGGCCACCGACCCGGGTGGCTTTGGACAAATAAATGGAGGAGAAGGCTATTTAAGGCTTCTGACCATGATAACTGTGCTCTTCCTCCATAGTTGGAGGCAGTAAAGCTCCTGAAAACTATTTGTTGGAAACCACAAGAGTGCAGAGTGTTCTTGTGCTTGGGTCTTGCCTGAGGGGGCCCAGTGTGGGAATAGGATGCTGGAATAGATGGCTCATGGCTTGACCCAGCTGACTCATCTTATATTCCAATGTTCTTAATTCATTAATGAAAGCATGCTTTTGCATGTGTTTTTGAAAAAAAAAATCCTTCTGTATCTTTTCTGTCACTTACCCTCAATTCAGGTTCGGACGTAAAACAAGTCTCTTAATTAACACCCTGGTCAATTCCATCGCAGGAGTTCTTGTGGCCTTGGCACCAAGCTACTTATGGTTGGTGATATTTCGCTTCATCCAAGGACTAATCAGCAAGGCCAGCTGGACAGCAGGCTACATTCTAAGTAAGTGTGACACCCTCATTGATGTAACTTCCTGCGGATGAAATAATCTGCCCAGTCACTAGATCAAAGCAGATGCTGTTGGACTGCAGCTCCATTGGTCATGCTGGTTGGGGTCATGCTGGGAAAAACATTCAGAGAGCCACAGGTTCTAAATCTGTGTGCATACACACTCACTCTCTTTGTCCTGGGCACAAAGGAGCTTCTGTATATTGAGTTTGCACAATGTGCAATAAGGGTCCTTGTGTATGAAACACAATCAATAATAAGATCCACAAAAATGAAAATATACTTGCATTATTGTTCATTATCCTGTTTGTATGTGTTTGTTCTTCAAAGTACATTGTTAATAATACATTCTACGGCCTTTTAAATCTGTTTGTGGGGGGGCTATTGGTTTGTTTTTGTTTTATTATGTATTTTGTGTTCTCGTTTTGTATTTTTATATTGTGAACCAGCCTGTGATCTTTGGATGAAGGGCAGTACAGTGGTACCTCAGGTTAAGTACTTAATTCGTTCTGGAGGTCTGTTCTTAACCTGAAACTGTTCTTAACCTGAAGCACCACTTTAGCTAATGGGGCCTCCCGCTGCCGTTGCACTGCCGCCCCACAATTTCTGTTCTCATTCTGAAGCAAAGTTCTTAACCTGAGGTAATATTTCTGGGTTAGGGGAGTCTGTAACCTGAAGTGTATGTAACCTGAAGCGTATGTAACCCGAGGTACCACTGTATACATATTTTAGTAGTAGTAGTAGTAGTAGTAGTAGTAGTAATGAGCAGAATGTAAGACCACTGGTCCATCTAGCTCAGTATTTTCTACGGGAATAAAGCTAGATTTCAGTTCAGAACTGTCTTTGTGAGATCAACTCATTTATTTTCCAGTCACAGAAATTGTTGGTCCAAGCTACAGGAGGGTTGTGGCTATTCTTTACCAAACAGCATTTGCTTTCGGCCTCCTCATCCTTGATGCTGTGGCTTATGTGATTCCGCATTGGAGATGGCTGCAACTTGCCATTACTCTGCCGTGTTTCCTTCTTTTGTTCTACTACTGGTAAGGTGCTGTTTGCTTACGTTCTGTCTTCTGATTCAGTGCCAGTACTTGCCATCTCTATAAAACCAGTTTTCAACGTCCTAGGAGGAATTTAGGTATGCAGGGACCACATTTCAGCCATACCTCCCTCCCCCTGTCCCTGCTAAGCACATGAGTTCATACTATCCATACATTCATTCATGGGCATATCTTGCATGGATGAGTGCGCAGTTGCCTGGTGCTGATCATGCACTGCCGCAAAATAGCTTCTTTTGCATTCTATTATGGTGCATTGTTGGAGCCTGGCAATGTGTATTGACACAAAAAGGACGAGCATCAAGGAGCAGTGAGGACTTTCATGGCTGAATTTCCTTTCATCTTGATTTTACCATGAGTCTTCCTGCAACAGCCTCATAAGGCTGCTTTTCTGGAATCCTGCTTTTGTTTGCAGGTGCCTGCCGGAATCTCCTAGGTGGCTGATCTCTCAAGGACAGAATGGCAGAGCTATGGAAATCATGAGTGATATTGCTAAAAAGAATGGGAAAGTCATGCCTGCCGGTTTTGAGGTGAATTTTATGCATACAAAGTAGTAGCTTCCTTAGTATGCTGTTGTAACTATATGCTCCCTGGGAGGGCATCCTATGAGCCATTCACAGGAGCCAACTCCTAGGGGCCAAGGGGTCTTTGCCCCTTCAAAATTTGAGAGGTCTGCCCCCCCAGTTGATGGGCATTGCCATTCAAATGGGGTGTGCACACCACATCATGTGATCAATTATGTGGGGCGGGGCTTACCTACCCCACCATATTTTATTCAAGTTGGCATCCCTGGAGCCGTTGATTAGGTCAAATCTATCCCTGTAATATTGGAGGCGGAATTCCAACATTGGGGAGGGAAATAGATTGCCACAGTTTACCGCTCCAGCAGAACCAGCTCCTCTCATGCCCTGGCCAAAGCAACACACAAACTCTGACCTAGTAAGGAGAATAAGAGGCCATTCCAGGGGCATTCTGGGAAGCAATTTGTATCTGGGATCTCCCTGTTAAAACTGTAAAATGTCCCTGGTCCTTTACCCTTGGTTAATATTGCAACAGTTATCTTATAGAGTATAAACCTTGAAGAAGAAAAAGAAGAAAAAGAACAGAAAGAAAACCGGGGGCCTTCATTGTTGGATCTTGTGAGGACAACACAGATGAGAAAATACACTTTTATTTTGATGTATAACTGGTAAGAGACCCTTAACTTCATTATTAATTTCCTTGCTTGTGTAATACAAAACGCACATTCTTACTGAGGATCATTTTATTCATGACCTTTGTGTTTAAGGTTAAACATGCAGCAGGGTATAGCAATAAGCCTGAGGTCCACATGTCGTTCATCAGCACACATGGGAACTTGGAATACAACCTGGATTCATGCAGTTAGGCCTTGCTTGCACAATCTGCCCATCTCTTTCTCGTAGTTAGTGAGGCCTACTTGTGTAGTCATTTTTACTTGAGTGTCCCAATTCATAGGCAGGATGGAAGGGGAAAGGGTGCCCAGGCCAGAGGCTTCCTCCCACAGCCTACCAATCTTCACACTGAACTATCCCATGTCAGGAGAAGTGATCTATTCCATTCCAAGCATGTCATGCACTCATCACATCTCAAATCTCACCTCCCATCAGCCCGGTCTTTTGGATTTGTCAAAGTATACCCACTGATCCTGAGACAAGGGAGAAAGGGAGTTGATAATAATCTAGAGCTAGAGCTAGTCAAAAGAGCCTAGAGGACTAACAGAAAGCAAAGTATCTTTACAGTATTTGTCCAATCCCAGTTTGCTTTTCCGATGTTTGTCCCCAGTAGAAAGAAGGGAGAAGGATGAGAATGGGAAGAAGGGAAGAAAGATAAATTAATAGATAAAGCCTCACTATGTGTATCAACTTCAAAGGTTAACAATACAGTTTGAGACCAAAATATCCTATATTGAGTGATAGTTCCTGGATATCTGTCTCAAATTTCTCAAAGGAACATGTCTCCTTTCAGACGAACTCATTGTTTCACATTTAACGTGGTGGTTCTTTCTTTCCTAGGTTCACAAGCGCCATCATGTACCAGGGACTCATCATACACCTGGGGATTTCTGGAGACAATGTTTACCTGGATTTTTTCTACTCGTCTCTAGTTGAATTTCCAGCAGCCCTCATACTCATACTCACGACAGAACGCATGGGCCGCCGCTATCCCTGGGCTACCGCAAACCTGGTGGCAGGAGCGGCTTGCCTTGTTGCAGCTTTCACCCCAGAAGGCAAGTTGGTCATCTCCATTCATCCATTTCCCTGCCGGGTGAGAGAGGGGAGCCTTATTTAGTTCTGCCTGTCTGCTTCTCCTCTGTTGTGGGATATGTCTGCCCCTTCCAAGAAATCACTGAAGATTCCATATGTAAGGTGGTAATAACGCTCAGTCAATATGGCCAACAGAAGCTGTTGCACCATGTCATTCAAGAAGTAACTAGGTATTCCTTCTAATATTGTACTACAAAGGATGCGGCAGTGAAAATTCGGGTTGCACTGCACATTCCCCACAGTCTTGCACAAGATGTTGAGCACCACTTGACTTTTGCACAGCAATCATTTGTGAATTAGTTTATTGTTAAAAAACTGCACTCAGGACAGTATGCAACACCACGCAGGATATTGGAGTGCATTCCATATTTATAATCCAATTTCTCCCATCCTCACTTGTACAGTGGTACCTCGGGTTACATACGCTTCAGGTTACATACGCTTCAGCTTACAGACTCCGCTAACCCTCAAATAGTACCTCGGGTTAAGAACTTTGCTTCAGGATGAGAACCGAAATCGTGCTCTGGCGGCACGGCGGCAGCAGGAGGCCCCATTAGCTAAAGTGGTGCTTCAGGTTAAGAACAGTTTCAGGTTAAGAACAGATCTCCGGAATGAATTAAGTACTTAACCCGAGGTACCACTGTACAAAGATAATTTAAACAAACTTTCAGAGGAGGATTGCAGAATCATAAATGTAGAGAAGAAAACTTTAAATAAAGAAACCATAGGCTCCCCACCATCTTTTGCACTGAATGAAGTATTATCTCAAATTCAAACCTTAAAGTCCTTGCAGTTGGTTTGTTCCACAGTTTGTGATTTCATCTCTTCTAGTGCGTGCCTGTACTTTAGTCCAATTGAGCTCTAATGAACAGGAGAACCTCTGCTTCTTAATGGCAGCGTTGGAGGGTTTTTGCCAGGCAAAGTGATTTTGCACTCAGTGCCTCCCCTGCCCCCTCATTCCATGCCAGAGTGAGAGCCAGGTACCAAGATGGACTGTGAGTGAAGCTTGTTCCCCTTGTCCCTGGGGGGAATTTGCAATGATGATTTACCCTCAACCACCCTTGTTTTTCCTTTGCCTAAGATCTCCTGCTGTCGTGGGGGCTGCCTCCATTAAGGCAGAGTGGAACCGCAAGCCCCAGATATTGGAGTGCAGGTCAGATGGTGTGCTGCTGTTGCTAGTGCACAGTCCATGAGGCTTCACCACCAGCAAAGCACTACAAGAACTTGAAGAGCTGGTTGATAAGATACAGTCATGCGCACATTGCAATGGTGTCTTGATGGCTGGAAATTGCTCTCCAGCTTTTGGAATGAGACAGCCATCAGAGAGTCGAGGCATCAGAGAAACAGTTAAGAGCACTTTGCAGATAGAATGAGGTGCTGGAGCTGTGAGCTGACTGGATATGTATTTGATGTCTACTGAAACAGTCTATTTCCTTCCACTAGACTGTGTTTGAATATTTGTATATAAAGCCAGTATCAGAAGGACAACGTACGTCTTTAGTGTGCTCTCATCCATATCTGGAATACTGCAGTCACAAGCAGTGTCCAGGCAGCCCATGTCAGCAGTGTCATTTGCTGATTTTCCTCAGAAATAGCTTAAAGCGTCCAACTTCTTTGTGAACAACTTTGGGCAAAGAGCTCAACAACCATATATTAGCTCTTCTCACTGCTAAGAAATCAGAAATTTATCTACCACCAGTTCTCTGGGAAATGATAATCTGTTATGTCATCAGTATTATTTGCCTTCCTTCAATGAGCCTTTAGAAAATTATATATTAATCTTTCCTTTCCAGATATGCACTGGCTAAAGGTTATTACATCTTGCTTCGGCAGATTAGGAGTCACGATGGCATTTGAAATGGTTTGTTTTGTCAATACTGAATTGTACCCCACATTTCTCAGGTAGGTCTTTTGATGACCAAAGGAAAGGTGCCTTCTGAAATTGATTTATATAGATTAATGCACATTTACATTATCACAGATTTACAGGTATAAGACTCTCCTGTGCACTCTCACTGAAAAGAAACTGAAATCTGTACTGCTATTCCTTGAGGGGTTTTTACATGTTACATTCAACAAGTGTATAATCTGTGTACCAGTCCGCACAATAGTTGAGCTATACAAATCAACACAAATATACTCTTTTACTTTCATGTGTGTAGAAAGGCAGCTTATACCAGTGTTCACATAATGTGTGAACATATTTCTGGATTTTTTGCTTCAAGGGGAATTTGGGAACACCCAACACCCCAGCATGGTGGTCTTAATAAATAAGACCTCTTAGAATTAAAGGTTTGGCGATGAGCTGGATTTTCTTGTAACCAAGCAGTAACTATGGAAATATTTACCTTCCTATCTGCTCCAAAAAATGGTTGGAATGTAGGCATCTCTTTCTCTTCTGTAAGGAAAACCACAGTTGATAAGGATAAAGTTTTATGTTGGCTTTGAGGTCTGAATTCCTACACACACAAACTTATAATATAATGTGTGTTTTTTCTTTTGTATCAGAAACCTCGGTGTGATGGTCTGTTCATCCATGTGTGACTTCGGTGGAATAATTTCCCCATTTATTGTCTATAGACTATCAGAAATCTGGTCCGAGCTACCTCTTGTAGTTTTTAGTAAGTAATCCTCTATTTTGAGTTGCTTGAGTATGTTGTTCTTTTAATGAAAAATCAAAATATCTCTATTCTACTTTTCTACTTTAAAATCTTCCTAGGAGACTTTCCACAAATAGGGGGCCACCTCTGCAAAGACCCAGCCACCTAACCTTTTGAAGACAATGCAAAGGAGAGGATGTCTGAAGCAAATCTTAAAAAATTGTGAAAGAAATATGCTAGTTATAAGTTGTTTAGCCTGTAAAGGTCAAAACGAACACATTGAATTGTGCCTAGAAACAGACTGATTAGTAACAAACTTCTGTTAACATGGATGAAATATGTTCAGACAGGCACATTTCAATAACAAATCTAGCTGTCGTGTTTAGAACCAGCTGAAATTTCTGAGTAGCTTTTACAGCTCCCATATTAAAAACATTGCAGTACTGTACGTTGATATTGCAATAGCATTTATGACTAGAGCATGGGTAGGCAAACTAAGACCTGGAGACCGGATCCGGCCCAATCGCCTTCTAAATCTGGCCCACAGACAGTGTGTTTTTAAATGAGTAGAATGTGCCCTTTTATTTAAAATGCACCTCTGGATTATTTGTAGGGCATGCCTGGTGTTTTTACATGTAGAATGTGTGCTTTTATTTAAAATGCATCTCTAGGTTATTTGTGGGGCATAGGAATTCGTTCTTATTTATTTTTCAAAATATAGTCCGGCTCCCCACAAGGTCTGAGGGACAGTGGACTGGCCCCCTGCTGAAAAAGTTTGCTGACCCCTGGACTAGAGCAAGGCGGTCTCAGAACACCAGGGACCACAATTGACACATTAGCCTAAGTTGGTGGGAAAACTCTGGCCCAGTGGACATTAGCAGAGCGTCCAGTTTAAAGGCCATAAAGAAACTGCACTCCTAAGCTGCAAACCTATTCTTTAAGGAGGACCACACCTCCAGTTAAAGTACAGTATGCTGAATACCAACTACCAAGGATATTGAGTCACCAAACAAGTCTCTCTCTCTTACCTGTATTGCACTCCAGTTTGCTTTTTTCTCATCCTGTCTATTATTAAGTTTTGTTCAGCACTTCCTTGTCCTGTTTGTGAGTTCTTGATTTCCCCAATCTTCCTAAGCATGTTTACTTGGAAGTGAGTTGTGCTAAATTTAAGGGGGTGGTCTGCATATTGAACTACCTTCATGATTTACAGTGAGCTGGTTTTTAAAATGTGCATTGCCGTATGTTGGGTCTTAACTGCCTCTTATGTGTTTCATTGCCAGCTGCAGTTGGTTTGATTGCTGCCGGATCAGTGCTATTTCTGCCTGAGACCAAAGGGAGAACTTTGCCTGAGACCATCGAGGATGTAGAAAACTTTCATCGGCACCGTGCTAAGCAGCTCAATTAATGACAAGCAAATGGAAAGTATTATTTGAAAAGCAGTGTTCTTTCAGCTATAGTTTGTAAAAGGCTCTGAGAATTAACCAGCTTGTCTAGGAAATAAAGCTGTGAGGACTTTAACTGACTATAATATAAAGGTCATTATACTAAAAAAATAAATATATATATTTTTGTCCTGTGTGTGCATCTGTTAAATGGATGAGTAAAGGTAGCATATAGTGCACATTTTTAAAAAATAGTTCTTAGAAATGACCCTAATTCAAATTATGTTGTGATGAAACAGTCTGATTGGCCATCTGGCCATCTATCTTCAAACTTGGCTGAATATCTATTGTTCTGAGGGCATTCTTTTTGCAGGGTGATGGGCCATTAAGAGAACAAAGGAACAGCCATGAGTCACTAAGAAAACAAAGGAGAGGGGCTCTGTGTGAGATGGCAAATGGGTGGGGTTTCCCCAACTTGCATATAGTGAGGACAAAAGCCAGAGTTTAGAGTTGAAAATGTATGCAATGCCTGGCGTGCTCTGGTCCATGGGGTCACGAAGAGTTGGACACGACTAAACGACTAAACAACAACAACAATGCGACCCAGAAGTAAAGTTACAGGTTGGAAACCAGAGAGGCAGAGTACAATGTTTGATTTCTGCTTGAATCCAAGGCTGTGGCTATAGGAGAAGCAGGACCTTATTGGAGTGTTAATTGTGTGAGCCCCTCCATCATAGGCTCAGGTTGTATATATGTGTAAAGAAACCATATATCATAAAGAAACCAGTCTCCACAGTGGCTCATTCCCAAAGGAAACATGAATCTTGGATGAGTGTCTAGAACACCTGGAATTTCACACTGAGAAATTGGCATGAGCTGAGAAAACAGCTTACATCATTAGATAACTGAAATGGATGGACAAGATGGGGACAAGGAGGGGTTTGTGCACTCACATGAGCACATGAGATGAGGCACACAGAACGCTACATTAAGAACTGACCAAAATTAAGAACTTTGAGAATTTTCTTTGTCTTTCATTCCTGATTTAAGTATTTGCCTAACTCCATAGTGAGGCTTAAAATACATTTAAATTGGGCCAGATTGCACCCAAAGTCTGTAGGTGAAGTGAACTAGATAGCCAGAATCAGAACATTTTTTATGGGGATAATTGTTGCACAGTATTGGTCCTTCTAAATATTGAATGCAGTGCAAAATGATGTAAATGACTTCCCTTTTCTTTAGAAACTATCTATTTCCTGATGCAATGAATTATTCCCATTCATTTTTGTTTCCCAAACCACATACAGAATTTCATCATGTAGGGTTTGAGTCTATCCTTTGCTAGTATTGTTCTGGCTGTAAACTCTGTGAAAACAACGCCAAACTCTAAAGCAAGTTTCGTTCTCATAAACTGGTTTCCACATCTCTTGTTACTCATTCAACCCTTTGAATACAAACTGTCAAACTTTGCCATAATGGACTTTGACAAGTCTTCTATTTATTTATCTTTTGTAGTCCTCCAAAGCCTGGTCCAATGTTTACTCCAAAGAAAGTCAAGTTCATTTATTGGGATTTACCTTCCACTAGTCCTATCTAGGAAAAGAACGTGGGTGGAGGATTTGTGTGGCTGCGCTCTTACTTCATTATTAGCATAGCCCAGCCCAGTGTGGTGCAATCAAGGGAAGACCTAGGGCTTCTCCACACTTTAACTGGACCTGTAGTTTGGTCAGACTGTGTACAGTTTAAGTCCCCTGGGAAAGGGTACCTATAGCCCTCCAGATGTTGCTGGACTATGACCACTATCACCCTTGATTATTGGCCATGCTGGCTTGGGCTGATGGGATTTGGAGTCCAACAACCTTTGGAAGATTAGTTTCCCATCCCTGATCGATAAACTTCCTCCAGTCTCACAGAGTGTCAAAAACACACTGTAGTTGTGAATAAGCAGCAAAGAATCAGAGGATAAAGAAAGTTCAAAAAATTACGACAGCCTGTGTGCATGTGTTTGCTCTCTTGCTCCATTTTTCTTTAATGCCAAATCAAGCGAAAATCATGCAGAAAATGGCTCTTCTTAATTAGTTGCTGCATCTGAGGTTTGAACATGGAGATAAATAATTTTTTCTTTTGGCCTTCCTTGCCTGTGGAAACAAAGCCGGAAGAGTAACATGAATAGGAAAAGAGAATCAGAAATTTAGTCTTCCATGATTTTGGGGTCCAAATTACACTAAATACATCTCTTCAAGCTGCATGAATCTTTATTAAATGTAAATAGCAGCTGATGGGACTTTCCATCAGGCATGCGAATGCTGGAATGAGGGAGAGTTTGAACCTGCTGTGATCACAAAAGCCACCCCTCCAAAGCTGTGATTTGCAGCAAGTTTGAAGTTTCCTTTGGCTCCAATAAAGACTTCCCTCCTGGTGTGAACAGCAGCTTTTGGAGGGGTGCTTTTTCATTAGTGCTGCGGTTAGAGGTAAAGAGTTAACCTTCCCCTCCTCAATCTTGGAAGTCACAAACCTCATTGCAGCTGGTGGGCCTTAACTTAACATCATTGCCTCCTCCTGGCACGCCAGCTAGTGAGGGCAGTATTACAGCAATCTGTGAAATGCATCTGTGAGCTGCCTTCCATTTTAAATCCCTCCAATGGATGTTAATAGGTCTTTGTAGGACACTTGTCCCCTGGGGCCTGCCCAAGGGTGCTGGGTGTTGCTACCAGCTCTATTAGCTGCCCTCACTTGCTGGATCATCACCTTGTTGTGGTGAGTGGGCTTGCACATTCCTATGGCCCTTATGAGTGAAGCCGTCAGGAATCTCGTACTCCTAGCAGGGTCACTTTAAAAATTTAAAGGGTCAATTAAAAAAAATGTAGTATAACCACCAACAATTGGGAAACAATAGCCTGCGAGCGCTCCAGTTGGAGAACAGCCTTTACCAAAGGTGTCATGGGCTTTGAAGACACTCAAACTCAGAATGAAAGGGAGAAACGTGCTAAGAGGAAGGCACATTTGGCAAACCCTCACCGTGATCAACTCCCACCTGGAAACCTATGTCCCCACTGTGGAAGGACACGTGGATCCAGAATTGGCCTCCACAGTCACTTACGGACTCATTGATAAAACTGTGTTTATGGAAGACAATCTTACTCAGCTACAAGTGATCGCCAAAAATTAACTGCCGTACCTATATTCAAAACCTTAGGAAGAAGCAGACATATGCCATATGATTGGCAGGAACAATGAAGCTTCCATATTGGCCAGTCTGGTATAAATATTAGGAGCCTAATTTTCTGCCTTTGTCTGACCAACAGGACATTATCACCCACATTATCATGCATTTCAGGCTCCAGCTGTGACCACCCCCCAGCCCTGATTTCATTTGCCCCTGTAATGGGAAATCACACTCTCCAAATCTAAATTTAGTTTTTGCTCGTTGCTCCTCTCTAACAATTCCTCCTGCTGGCCATATGTCGTTCCTACCCACCTTCTTCAGGCAAGCAACATGAATGTGTGAAAAGGGCAGTGGGGTTCCGAGTATGAGCTCCACTTCCAACTACTGAGCCCACACAGAAGACCTTCACAGGCTGAGTATGAAGGCCTGGAGTGGGCTTCTTACCACTCTCTGCTGAATGCAGTTAGATTGAGACCTCTGCCTTATCAGCATTCTAAGCACCTTCCTTCAAAGTCATTTAGGAATTCAGTTCAGACCTCATCACACCTGGCTCAACACAGGAAGATCAAGGCATCTCACCCCGTGTGGAACACATGCCCCCCAGGCACTCCCCTTTCCTCCTGGCACTGCTGAATGCCCAGCTAGAGCTCTCATTCACTAAGAATGCCTTTCTCTATAAGATATGTTATACAGGACCATACCTGTGCATATTTTCGGCATCTTCAATAGTCTCAGGTAAAGCTTTTCCTTTGGTTTCAGGTAAGAGCAGAACCAAGCCACCGTCAATGAGACCAATCACAGCTTCAGACACACGGCACAAACAAAAGATCAGTTGAGACAGACCATCCTATGTGAAACGATACTAAGGCACTATAGCAATTTTTAAGTCGTGCCAATAAGATACTGCTGAACTGTATTAAAGGAAATGGCAGCATGTAGATGCAAGTTCTCTTCCTCTCCCCCACCTGCAGCCTATTTTATGAGTGATCTCATTTTTCTCCAGAATCCTCCTTAGATAGGAGAATCAGCTGCAGTTCCTAGGAATTCACCACAGTGAGAATATAGATCAAATGTATCACTTACATTTCAGAGTATCTCTGCATATTCACATCCTTTTTTAAATGTCCAGAGGTGATTTCCTCTGAATTTCCTCTGAATGTACCATATCTGGGCATTTGAAAAAGGATGTGAGTATGCAGATAATGTGTTCTAGAACTGAAGTCACTGTTTCTGAGGAGTAGCTTTCTGTCACTGAGAGAATATTTTCAGAATTCTAAGACTGACAGCTCCTATATTTGAACTCTTTCAAGTCCTGCTTAGGTGTTTGGTACCCGCAGATATCTATTGTGTGAAGCTGCCAGGAGGAATACATGGAATAAGACTCATCCCTTCAACAATGACTCTTGATTGGCTCAGTGTGAAGGGGGTTGATTGGGCAGTTTCCAACACCTGCCCTACAGATGTTGAAGCAGCTCCCTCCAGACTGAGCTGATCCCAAGTCAGTTGGGGACACTGCTGGTGCATGTGCTGTTGCCATGTATGCAGAAACAAATGCCTGGACAAGGTTATTCTTGGAGATGCTTAGGCAGGTAGCAGGGCTGTTATACTGCCAGATTTCAAAAGGGTAGGGCAGCTTTGCTCTGCACCATTCCCTGGCTATTCCTACTGGTTCTGTCGTTTGCAACCCTGCCTTTATGCTCCTCTGTAACCCTAATCTCCTTTCTCTTTGCCATTCTAAAACTATCCCTGATTTGCAATGGAGAATAACATTACACAATAATTTGATAAAAACAAATTGTTTAGCAGAATAGCATGATGTAGATTGTTTTTGACAGCAGGAGTTAGGGTTTGTTTTTTTTGGGAGAGGACTATAGAAACGTAGCTGTAATGTCTTGCCAAGAAACCTCTGAGGTAAAGGAAGAAATCTAAGCCTAGCTGTCAGAAAAGCAAACATACGTTCAAGTAGTATACAGGAGTTGGGTCACCAAGATCCTTTGGATATTTTGTTCAATTATAGGAGCTGTCTGCAGGTTTACTGTCAGCTTCTATCTGGTCCTCTTCACCATTAGGTATACCTACCTTAGCTAGGGATATTTGAGTATGAATTTGGAGAATAATGTGGAAAGAGCATGGAACAGACTTATGACTGAATGCATTCAAAAGTGGTATGGATGAGAGCTTGATCTGCCTATGGCTCCCTACAGATGCAGATCCTTCCCCATAATGCCTCAGAGGCAGGACCTGTGGTCCTCCAGATATTGCTGAACCACAACTACCAGCATCCTTGATCATTGACCAAGCTGGCATTGCAAAATTAAGAGAACTGTGTATTTCAATGGATGGCTGCATTGGTTTGCATATTGTTTCAGAAAGTGAAAATTAGCTAGGTTCACATTTAAATTTGATTTCTCTCCTATCCCTAACTGGGGCAGCTGAGAATTGCAGTTCAGTGACATCTGGAGAACCACAGCTCCCTGTTCAAGAATGAATAATCTACCCGCATTCAACATAAAAGAAGTAGTTCATATTCTTACCAAAGACAACAAGTGGAAGTTCATGCCAGACATCTGCCAGCCTATAGACGATGAATGGAGTTATGATCCCACCGATATCACACATTGAAGAGCAGACAAGAACACCAAGATTCCTGTAAAAATACGGTAAATGTGGAAGCCATTATTTATATCTCTGCAGAATCTAATATCACCCCCTTTGCCCAGTTACCGTAATGCCCCAGAGATCCAGCCACTTGTGGAAATAAATGGAAAATAGAAATTAAAGCAGGTCAAACACTCTCATTAAAAGCTATTAATGTTGGAATTCTGCCTGGGTCAGAGGAATGTGCCACACGTAGGCACCGGCAGATATTCCTGTCGACCTCCCCGCGTCGCCACTCCGCTGACACGCAGGCGAGGGCCGCCGATTCTTCTCACATGTATGAGAGGAACACACCGTTCTTCCTCTCTCCCCTTTGGTGTCCCCAGGGAGGGAAAGAAGCAGACAGAAAACTATTTACATCATTTATTTCTGCCTCTTACATCAGTACAGAGAATCATGTCTGCACTCAACAACAGCAAGAAGAAACTCCTCCCAAGTACATCCAGTACGGGTCATATGACACACACACACTGAGCTAACATCCGGTGCTCAGTACAGAATGGACTGCCCCTTTGTTCCCATGGCAACAGTCACAAACATCCTGTCTGGCTTTCCAGCCACAAGCAGCTGGCTGAGCTGCTAGAGCCTTTGCTTGCTGCAGCATTGGTGCTTTATGGTAACATACTCCCCTAAAGTATCAATGTGTGCCGCGAGCAAAGCGTCATCCAGAGAAGAAAACAAACAGTTGTTATATTTATAACATTCCCCTGTTGTTTCAGTTCCACCCTTGGAACTACCCGCCACTGGTTTAACCAATGTACCTCTCTGGTTGTCTGGCTTCCAAGGAATGAGTGCTTCTGCATTACCTTGGCTAGCTACCCTCTGTTGTGTCTTTGTCTCTGACGTAGACACTGCTTCAACCTGCTTTGAGTTGTTAACAATAGCAACACATGCAACAGCTAAGTTAGCAAACTCTTTTGAGTACCTCTTTGGTGGTACACCCTTTGTAACTCTCTCAGACCTGCGTATGAGGTTCTGATCTTCTGTGCTCACTGGTTCAACCTTTGGACTCTGTTGAGAACCAGTAGCAATCAGTGGTTCTTCCTTCACCTGTGAAGGTCTATCCATTGTGTGAGATTTCCTCTCAATGACTGTGACAACTGAGCTGTCTGAGCTATCGCTGTCATCATCAGTACTACTGAACTCAATAAGATCAAACTCATCATCATCATCATCAGAATCGTTTCCTGTGGGAAATGTCTGTACTATCCGCTCTTGCTTTGGAGCACTCTCTAGGAACTTTGTGAGAATCACCTGACCAGATTCAGACAAAATTACTCTGTAGAGACCTTTTTCATAACCCACAAAAATGCCTCTGGCATTCTTTACACCACCTGGAGCTTCTGTTCTCACATGAGACCCGAAAACCTTAAAATAGGCAACAGAAGGTTTTCTATTGAACAGCTTCTCAAAAGGAGAACATCCCAACTCTGTTGAGACCTTTCTCAACCACACATGAAGATAGGACGCTAGCGATTCGGCCCAATATTCATGTGGCAAATGTGAACTCAGCAATTGCGCATTCATCCCCTTTTGCAATTCTTTGTTCACTCTCACACAGACCCCCTGTTCCACGCTTCTTGCGAGACTGCAACTTTGTGGTCTATCCCTTTTCCATCCAGGAACTTCTGAAACTTCTGCAACAGAAAAATTTGCTTCTCATCTGTGAAAAGACAATCAATGTTAGCATCATGCATACTTTTAACCTTGTCACAAAACTCCTGAAACTTTTCTAAAGTTTCTTGCGGTTTCTCCATCATATAAACCCAAGAATAATTAGTGAAACAATCCACACACAAAAGGTAAAATCGTGCACCGCCTCTAGATGGTTCTAGAGGACCAATCACATCAGCATACACCCGCTGAAATGCTCTGTCGACCTTCTTGGTCTTAGTCACCTTCCTGGTGCTCACACTGGTCACGCCTGCAAGAGAGATTTCGTTAGAAACAGCAGAATTACATTTCATGTAATCACTTTGATCAAAAGTCAACAAATACAGTCCATCTTTCTCTTTGGCAGTAAGAAACAGTTCTCCATCTTTGTAGATCTTGCAGCTTTTAGCATCATAGGACAGTTTCAGTCCTTTCTTTGCAATCTGCGACACGCTCAGCAGATTAAATCTCAGTTCTGGAACCAGGTAAACATCACTTATAGTCAAGTTCAGACTCTCAAGATACACAGTCCCAATTCCAGTTGCTTCCAACTCCTGACCGTTGGCCTGTTTCACAGTGAAGCTTTGCTTCTTCAACGTCGAAAACAGTCCTCTGTGCGGGCACATGTGAACCGTTGCGCCCGTGTCAATTATGAACGAGTTCCCAACATCTGGCGTGGTTCCTTTCGCCATCATAGCCTTTGCAGGTTTCACCTGGCACTTGGTACGGCTTTTGCCTGACGCCTGAGGCTTCGTAGAGCTGCTCTTTGCTCCTCTTGACTGGCGCGGCTTCTTACAGTTTCGCTGTAGATGCCCAGTCTGTCCACAATTGTAGCATCGGACAGCACTCAATGCTACACCATGCTCTCCAGTAGCATCAGCAGTGGGGAATTAGAACTCTGTTCTTCCCTCCCCCTGTCTTTTTCTTCCAGTGCAGCAAGTCTGTCGTGTTCATTCAGGACCACAGCACAAACTCTCTCCGCGGTCAGCTGCGCGGCCGGTAGGGAACCAAGCTGACTGGCAACAACCTTGTAGGTGCGGCTAAGGCTGTTTATCATCATGAAGCAAAACACTTCCTCCTGAAGACGGAAATTGCGTTCCACCATCTGTTGACGCAGAAACTTCATTTCTGTCAGGTGCGCTTGAACATCTCCATCAGGCGCAAGTCTCAGATTGGTCAATTTCTCAAAATACAGCAACGCTGAAGAACCAGCATCTCTCTGATGCGTTGTACGCAGCGTGTCCCATACCTCTTTCGCATTTTCTAAATGCTGAACATGCACCAACTGATCATCTGAGACACACAGAATTATAGCAGTCCTGGCCCTTACATTCTGTGACTCCCAACCTCTGGTTGGTGCTGCAGGGATGGGGTTTTCAATTACATCAAAAAGCCTCTGATTCTGCAGCAGGGCCTTCATCTTTACAGACCAAGATGAATAATTGTCATTGGTCAAGGGAGGTGGGCAAGGCAAACCTCCCCCTTTCTTGGCATCCAACTTGAAGCCAAGCCTCCAGCTCACAATGACATACAAACTGTAAAATCCAACAGTTGTTTTTTATCCTTTCTCACGCAGCAAACTGCAAGTTGTTTACGCTCTTTGCACCTGGCAGCTAAACTCAGGCTGCTATTGAAAAGTCCCTTCCAAGAGCTCGTAAACCTTGTAGCCAAAACATTCTCTGGTTTTGTTTCGCTTTCCCAGGCTTACACTCAGAGTCCAGCCCCTTTGCCAGTAACTTTCCAGGACCGTTACCTAGCAACAATGCATTTCAATAAGACATCTTATCTACCACAAAAATTTGTGGAATGCAGGCTTCAGCCTTCAAGCTGCAGGCCTCTTCCTCCGGAGCTTTTGTTTTCTTTGAAACGCAGCTCCGTGAACCAGGGAATTAATCTTCCTGCGTTCACACTTTTAGCCCGAAATGCAGCATACCTTGAGCTCCGTTGCTCTGGAAAACACCTCTTCTTTCCACCAGCTGTCTGTGGAGCCTCTGGCTTCTTTCAGACGCTTCTATTCCTCCTTAGGAGCAGTGGAGGACAATCCACCAGCCTCTCATGCAGATGTCCGATGAATCGCAACCATCCTCTGCTACCACTGTTGGAATTCTGCCTGGGTCAGAGGAATGTGCCACAGCGTAGGCACCGGCAGATATTCCTGTCGACCTCCCCGCGTCTCCCAACCTCTGCTGATAAGCAGGCGAGGTCCGGCGATTCTTCTCAGATGTATGAGAGGAACACACCGTTCTTCCTCTCTCCCCTTTGGTGTCCCCAGGGGGGGGAAGAAGCAGACAGAAAACTATTTACATCATTTATTTCTGCCTCTTACATCAGTACAGAGAATCATGTCTGCACTCAACAACAGCAAGAAGAAACTCCTCCCAAGTACATCCAGTACGGGTCATATGACACACACACACTGAGCTAACATCCGGTGCTCAGTACAGAATGGACTGCCCCTTTGTTCCCATGGCAACAGTCACAAACATCCTGTCTGGCTTTCCAGCCACAAGCAGCTGGCTGAGCTGCTAGAGCCTTTGCTTGCTGCAGCATTGGTGCTTTATGGTAACAATTAAATTCACATTCCCTGCTAGCTCCTACTTCTTTATCATGTTCTCTTGAGGATTTATTTCTGTTTGTACTTTTTTTTTTTACTTCATAACTGCAAGACAGGCACCTTGAGCATTTTTAAAAGAAAGATTGTCTACAAATGTGTTCATTAATAAATAAACTTTCACATTTTTTTCGCCAGTTTATGAAAAGCAACAGTTAATATCATTGCACCCACAGCCTAACCAGAGAGCTCTACATTTGACTGTCAACTGGTCCTTTTGACAAAGGGACACCAGCCCATCCTATAGTATCAGAAGAAGGCTCACTCACCTGAGGAAAGTTGGGTATAGTTCTGCATTGACCAAGCAAATCATTTCATAGCACATTGTAATGCCCATCCTGCCTATGCAAGCGGCAGTCATTTTAAGCCAATAGAGATCTGAAAGGACATTGCACACACTGTTAAGAAGTTGAAAACTTTTGCAGCTTCTTAGGTTTTCTCTACAAAATTGGTATTAAAAGTTACACGTTCTTAGAAATTGTATTTCATGGGGCAAATACTGCACACAATACTGTGTGTTTGTGGCACCTGGTATTTGTCAGGAAGTAATGAATCAACATTCACATGTACACAAACACACAGAGAAAATGAATTACACACAATACACACAATACCCTGCAGCAGGGTGAAGTCATACTTGATATAGATAGCTTAGGGATAGAGATCCTGCAACCCTCCAGATATTGTTGGATTCATTCCTCGCTGAGTTGTAGTCCAGCAACCAGGGTCAACCCACCCATGAGGCAAGGTGAAGCAACCGCCTCAGGCGGCAGAATCCACAGGAGAAGCAGATCTGACTTTCAAGGAATACATTGTCCATTGGTGGTGGTGCTGCCACAGTGGCAGCAATAGCAGTGGTGAGCATCTTAGAGGCCAGATCTGCTGCCTCCTCAGCAGCCCCCACCCAATGCCACCTCTACAGCAGCCTCTTGGCAAATAGGAGAAACTGCTGGTCTCCTCCTACCCTTGTTTCCAATGTGAATCTCTATCCCCTCCCCCATTCCCAATGTAGATATCTGCCCCCTTCTTTTTCCTGATTTAGCTCTTCACTCACCCCTTCTTCCCTGGTGGGGGAGTGACGCCATTTTGGAGTTCACCTCAGGTGCCAAAATGTCTTGGTTTGGCCTTGCCAGCAAAATTTGAAGGGTCACAGGTTCCTTGCCCTTGGGGCATCGATTCTGAGCGCACATACACATTCGGATGACGGGGTTTTGCTGCTAGATTCGGTTACACTCAGGATGGGAAAGAAGGAGCTCAACCCTTCCCCTGCCAGTCATTTTCCTTTCAGAACCCCCACCCCTCTCAAGCTGATATTCTCCCTGCAGGTCCAAGTTCCTGTATATTTTGCCCTATATGGAGAAAGCCAGAAAAAAGAGAGAATGTATAGGTCCATTTCAGCTCCCAACTTGCTCACCTTCAGGCACTAGGGCTGTAAGGAGACAGGCGGCTCCTGCTGCCAGATTTGCTGCAGCCCAGGGATGGCGGCGGCCAATGCGGTCTACTGTAAGTATGAGTATGAAGGCGGCTGGAAATTCAACAAGAGCAGAGTAAAAAAAGTCCAGGTAAATGTTGCCGCCACCAATTCCCATGTGCATGATGAGGCCCTGGTACAGCACAGAGCTTGTGAACCTAGACGAAAAACAGAAGCCAGGTGAAGCCAGGCTCTTTCCTGGGCTGGGGTTGTTTTTGTGTGTGCAGAAAGCCTACTCATAGTTCTAGCCAAATATGTAAAGGTAAAGGTAAAGGGACCCCTGACCATTAGGTCCACTCGTGGCCGACTCTGGGGTTGCGGCGCTCATCTCGCTTTATTGGCTGAGGGAGCCAGCGTACAGGTCATGTGGCCAGCATGACTAAGCCGCTTCTGGCGAACCAGAGCAGCACACGGAAACGCCGTTTACCTTCCCGCCAGAACGGTACCTATTTATCTACTTACACTTTGATGTGCTTTCAAACTGCTAGGTTGGCAAGAGCAGGGACCGAGCAACGGGAGCTCACCCTGTCGTGGGGATTCGAACCGCCGACCTTCTGATCGGCAAGCCCTAGGCTCTGTGGTTTAACCCACAGCGTCACCTGCGTCCCTTAGCCAAATATGTAGGGCAGCTTAAAATTAAATATGGGGCCTAATCGGAGCTATGTAGGCAGCCCTGAGGAGGACTGGCAGAGTGGAAAGTGCTTGTGGACCAACCAATGATGCTCACTACAGAAGGGGAATTAAAGAGTTCCATCGAGTCCTTTAGGGCTCTCCACTGTGAGTTGCATGTGGACAGGTGGGGAGAGGGAAGAGGATTATGCCCTAGAAATTTAATGATTTGGAGCAATTGCTTTAATAGAAAGTTTTGCTAGGACTTTCCTTACCAAGAGTACATCAAGATGAGGGTGTGTTTCCTTATCTGTGGTGTTCTCACCAGGTCCAGAAATAAAGGGATTGGTTTGTCACCCATTTCTTCCTCAGACTGAAGATCCTAGAAGGGCAAACAAGCAATGTTTGTATCATTGGGGCATTAAGGGGGGTGCAGGAAAATGGATCATAGACTTGTAGGGTTGGAAGGGATTCTGAGGGTCATTTGGGCAAAGCAGGAAGGAATCTAAACAAAAAGAATGGAGCTTGAAAGTTTCCAGTCATAGCTGCAGGGATTCTTATAAAACCTCAATGGGTGAAGGAGCTTTACAAAAAACACACGTGCAGCTTGATTTTAGATATAACCGTCAAACCACAGTGGGCTAGGAGGACAATTATTCTACAGGAAGTTCTAATTCCCTGACTTATCAGGGAGCCATGTTTGCAGCCCTATGCGGATTCAGGGTGGGAGGCGACCAGTGTCTTTATTCTCTTCTGTGGCCCAATGGCACTTCACATCCTTTGGGCAGCCATGTGGGAGGGTGGGGTGGAACCAGCCATGGGGGAGCCAATGATTGGACCTGTGAGTTTTTGTCTACCTCGTAACACCTTGTGATGGTGGGAGAGGTATTGGGCTGAATCTGTAGGAAGCAGGGACAGGGGAGGGTCACTCTGCTCCATGCCATCAAGAGATCCCCTTTATGAGTCTTGGAGGGTGGCGTGTCCTGTCCAGAAGCCCAGTTAGGGGTTGACAGCCCATAGCACTCCCTACCAGTGGCTCAGTGCCTTCCCAGCACCAGCCAACCCCATCTGTTGGCTGACAGCATATCAACCAGCACTCAGCCTAGTTGATTAACAGATCCATGCCCATGCCTTTTCTCCCATAATCAATAAAGTTGTGGCCTATTTTACTCCAATATCTGGCTCCACTGATCATCCCTCCCAGCTTCATTGCATGTGGGACCAGAATTGGTTTTGAAGTTTAAAAACGCTTCCATGTTTGCCGTATTCTGGCTTGCCCAAATGGCCTCTGTTTGGATTTCTAACCCGTATACAAACTGTGCATCAGCGTGCCTTATGTAACTTTGAAGGCAAAATGGCTCGGGTTACCTGCATAGAGGGAGGCAGCTTCTTCCGGTTTCCCTTGGCAATGCGTTTAATAATTTTCAGGGCTTTGTCATTTTCCCGTTGGGCTATCAGCCACCTTGGAGACTCTGGAAGGCACCTAGAACAGCAAGAAATGGGGCATTCCTAGATGGTAGCAAAATGCATGACGCTGTAAAAACATTACTAGTAAAGAAAAAAGGGATAAGGCCATATGGAAGTTGGCCTGAGTTGCATGAGACATTTGAAGTGAGGACTGTCACCTCCATGCCAAATATCCTACACTGTGAGTTCTCTTTTACATGGTAAAATGCTGGATACCAGTCCCAGTCCCAGTCCCAGTGGCCAGTCAGATCAGGCACTGGTCAAGGGCCCAGGGGCTCAAAAGCATCCCTCGCACTAACCCTACCCAGCTGAGTCAACATGCTCCAATGTACCATCCTCCTTGCTTGGCTTGGCGATGAGCATGAAGCAGTGGCTCTCTTGAATGGAAGAAGAGGAAGAAAAATACCGTGTTGGGAGCTGATGTGTTTATATGTTGGGTGTCCATGTTGAGGAGTGGGGGCTCTCTGGCAGCACCATGCCAAAGGCCTCCTGGAATTAGACACCAGCCCTGTTGGGTACCTTCCAATACATCTAGCTAAGCTTCTGTGCTGGTATTATACAGATGCCTTGACTTTTTTGGCTGTAATGGAAATCTTGCTTACCAGTAATACAGCAAGAAGAAGAAGTTTGGCAAGGTAACTGCCAGTTGTAGCCATCTCCAGTGAGGAATTGCATAAGCGACAGCAGTAAGCACAAGGAGTCCAACAGTAAAGGCTACCTGGTAAACAATGCCGACGGTTCTTCTGTAGCTCAGGCCAACAAATTCTGTGACTTTTTAAGGGTGGAGAAACTTCATTAACATAAGCAAATGGGTGCGGGAAATGATCTGAAGACAGCTCACACTAGATCTTCCATCTATTAAGCCACCTTGAACTTCATATATTTCAAATCTTAGTAGATTCCCACATCCCATCCCACCTTCCCACTGACCAGCCAAGGAAACTGTGGATCGACAACTCCCATCATCCTCAACCAACACAGCTGTTGTTGAAAGCCACTGTCATGTCTAGCCCTGACCTGGTACCAGATAGGGAGTCCTCAAAGGATGAACCAGACCCCCCCCCCCACAGTGTGAAGACCTTAAGGTGCAGGCAGGGTCCATGGGAACCAGAGCTGAGAGATGCGTGTCCCTTTAAATTTTCTCCATGAGGAGATCTTCCAAAAAACTATTAGAGGTGGCAGTGGACCCACCACCACCCAGTCCTTGAGAATGCCTGTGCCAAAAGCTCTGGGTCCAAGCCAAAAAGTAATAACATAGCATGCATCTACAGACCCAGGGTGTCATGCAGCTTTTTTCTGAGTAAGGGCCCTCCTCATGAGTAAGCAATCCCTGAACTACTAGAAGCTGTAGTGAGGGTGTGGTCTAGGAGGCTGTCAGGAACTGACAAGACAACAGAGAAGAGGAAGAGGAGGAACAGGATCCTGGCAAGAGGTGTAGCCAGGACTGGGACACACTGGGATAAGCTAGGAATGGGAAAGAAGAGGTTGGTGTAGAAAATACTCATGGAGTAACAGAGTAACAGAGGATGACGAGGGGATGGGGGTTGGTGCACAGGAACCAGAGCTGCAGGGCCCATCACCAGAGCCAGAGGGGCCCCTGTCTCCATGAACACAGCAGGCTCTGAGCCATAGGGAGCAGCAGATGGGGTGCTCCAGGAGGCTGAGGCAGGCAAGGGCCCACAGCCCAGCTCCCTAGCTGGCCCGGTGAGGCTTGCTAGTTCTGGGAGGTTTGTGGTTCCTCAGCTGGAATACGATTGGAATAGGTGAGGATCACATGTTTCTTCAGGCCCAGATGCTGCAATCAACATGTAAAGTACAAAAGGGAGCTGATGTGAAGTGTCTTCTCAACCGCCCATGTTGTCAAACCTCAGCTGGGATGCAGGACCCTGAACACAGGGATTGACCCTGATGCCAGGTAGGCCAGGGGCTCAGGCCAGAGTATATAAGGACTCCCTCTTGAGTCTTCTAGTTGCTGGGGGTTTTGTTTTTGTTTTGATGAGGCTGGGTTGTGTGCCCTGCTGTATTCTACCTTGCCTCATCTTCTTGCGATGCTCTCCTTTTCTCTGGATCATGGTTTGGGCTTAGGCTGATTCTCTGTACTTCTGATTTGTCTGGATTATGTTGCACCTATCACCCTGTCCTTGTTGCTGACAGAGAGAGCACCCACAGGAGCATGACAGCTGCTTGTAGATCTTTCAAAGCTAAGCTTCTACAGAGTGATTGGGAGCAGCGCTATTTTTCTAGAAAAGAGGTGCCAGAACTCATCACAAACACCTCCCTTGTTCTCTTAGAACGGCAATTCTAAGAATTGAGTTCCCGTGGGTTCTGGATGGAAGAAAGCCTTGACTGGAAGTATATTTCTATTTAGAAAACAAAAGCATCTCATCGTTTGTTGATATCTTAGGACCCAAGACAACCCTGAGAGACGGATAATATTCTAAGGTTTCAACCTTATCAGTTCCATCAAATCACTGGAAATCCCTGTTGTTCCTAGGAAAAAAGTGAATGAGCATGAGATCTCTGGATTGCAGGCAGGAGGGAGTCTTTTCCAGCCCTATGTGGAGTTGCCAAGGTTGAACCTGGGACCTTCTGCATGCAAAGTGGATGGTCTACCACTGAGGTATGAACCTTCTTCAAGTTTAATCCCTATTAGATTAATTCCCAGAAGAGACGACTGTAAGGAGCCTTACTCAGGATGTAGCCTGTTAGCCAACCCCCTTTGCTGACCAATCCTTGTATCAAGCGGAAAACCACGGTCCACGTGTAGCTAGGTGCAAAAGCCATGAGAACACCAGAAATGGAATTTATTAAGATGGTGATTAACAGGCACCGTTTACGCCCAAACCTGTGGAGAAAAATGACGCTTGTCAATATTATACATATAAAGAGGGGAGAGGGACATGTGGAACTGCTTCACACTGCACCAGACTGCTGGTCCATGTAACTCTGAATTGTCTATTCTGATTCTGAGCAGCTCTCTAGGGCTGCAGACAAGGATCTCTCCTAGCTCACATGGTGATTGAAGCTGGGGCCTTCTGCATGCAAAGAATATGTTCTGCTGTGGAGCTATAAAAATAAGCTAAATTACTACTGGACAAAACTAAAAAATAATTTATTTTGTTCATCAAATTTACCTTTTATTTTAGGATTGAATAGATTATAGAATCATAGAGTTGGAAGGGACCACGAGGATTATCTAGTCCAACCCCCTGCAATGCAGGAATCTTTTGCCCAATGTGGGGCTCGAACCCACAGACCTCAGATTAAGAGCCTCATGCTCTACCACCTGAGCTATCACTATAAACAATGCTTATGAAGCAGCTTTCCCACATCTTCACCAATTAACAATATTAACAAGTATGATTTTCTATAAAATCTGCAGCCCTGGTACCTCTTGGGATCAGAGTGCCACATAATTAACTTGTCTTGAAACTGCCGAGTTTGCCTGTATTCTCTCTCCCCATTGAATTTAACAGGACTTGCTTCTAAACAGAAGAGTTAGGCTTGTGCTGTAAACCAGCTGTTAATGGTGTGTACATACAAGAGTTCAAGTTTCTTGGGCCATCACCAGACAAAATGAAGGGAGCTAATTCTCATATGCAGCTGAGGCCAGTAATCGGTTCAGATATTTTAGCCAGCTCATTGAAGTTCAGTTAAAAACAATATTTTTCCAGCAAAGCTATGCTGCGTTCTTATATAGCCTGTGGCTATACAACAATAAATACTCCAATTGTATATATAAAATTTGACCTACCTGTCTGCCATGTATCCAATGCTTATGGAACCAACAAAAAACCCCACATTCACACATGATTGAAACAAGTCCAGTTTCCAGGCATCTTCACACACCAGGTTGAACTAAAAGAAAACACATCCAGGTCAGAGACAATGCAAAAATAAAATAAAATCCCATGCCTTGAGTGAGATTTCAAGATAACTGTAATTCCAAATCATTTGAAGAGCATCTCTCGGGACTATTTCATTCTAAAGCGTATGGCCATTTCAACTACCACCCTCCAACATCCCCATATACAAGCAGTATCTTAAGCAGAGTGGCTTTTTTGAGTAGGAGTTATGCTTGCTTATTTTAAAACATTTCCATGCCACCTTTATATCATTGTCAGTATGCAAGGCAGTGAACAAGCATCAAATGAAAGAACACCTTTAAAAATAACAATTAAAAATCAGATACGCAAACCATTAACAGACAAAGAGAAGCAAAAAGCTTTCAAAAAATAGACTGGAGAACTTGGTTCCTAGTGAAATCAATGTCCTGACTAATTTTTCACATTGAGTTCAATGGGACCTAAGTGCAGCTAGCTTAAGCTTGGAACAAGCATAATGTTAATAGCAATGTTGAAATCAACCCTGAAAACAATTGCCATGGATGAGGGGCTTAAGTACTATTCACAGCAAGTAATATTAAATTGCCCACCAAATGAACAGGGCAGACTTTGCTTAGTGTCTATTTGGTAAATACCAACGGTGCCTTGGGGGAACTGCCTTGCGGGAAAGAGTTTCACAGTTGGGAAGCATGTATAGAGGGGGATAATAGCTCAGCAGCAGAGCACATGCTTCTGCGTTCAGAAAGTTCCAGCTTCGATCCTTGCCATTTCCAGGTAGGGCTGAGAGAGATTTCTGCTTGAGACTATGAAGATTAGCTGCCAGTCCGAGCAGACAAGGCTGACTCGGTAGAAGAAGATTCCTGTGTTCCAGAAGCCCTTCTTTCTAGCAGCTATTGAAGGACATCCAAGGACTCTCTAAGCTGCCCAGCAGACTCATACAGATCCTTTCAGGGTTCAGCTGTTAATGTTGGTATTGCCTTCTAGAAAACAGCTGCTTACTTCTTACCTCAGTCACGATGGATGATCCTGGGAAATCATAAAGCCAGCCATCTTGGCATGCAGTGAGAGGAATATTGCTTCTGTTCCTGTAAGTAGTGGAAAAATCTAGTGGATTTATGCAGCTCAGCTCAGTTGCGTTCCAGTCGACATCATATCTCTTGCACTGGCTAGTGAAAGCATCCCCATGGGTCTCACCCTTTGGAAGGGTGTAATTCAGCTCTTCCTCAAGACTCCAGTCACAACGGTTTCTTAACTGGGCAACTCCAGGACTCCGGCAGTGGTGCTCTGGTATAAAACCCAGGAAAACAATACCAACATAGATGGGTGTGAAGGCAGCAGAGAGCAGACACAGCACAAAAAAGGCCCTTTTCTGGTACAAGTCAAACTCTCCAATGTGCTCTAAAATGTCATCTAAGGTTGGCATTCTTGCATTTGAGGCACCTCATTGAAAGTAACAATCTCATGTGTGCCTCTCAGCATTTTGTTGGCAGCAAAGCTGTTTAAAATAACAGCATGTAATCAGGCCAAAAGTCACAGGAAAGCAGCTATTTCGCTTTGTAAATTGACAAACCATGCATTACAGTCTAACGGGCTATTTCACACCAAAGCTGAATTCTCTTTATGATGTCTCACACATTCTGCTGGCCGGTTGACTGATTATTCCATGTTATCCAGCCTGGGAACATTATGTTCATTAAGAAAACTGCATCTCTATTGATCAGCTTTTAGAGGCCATGAAAGCTAAACTATAATATTGTAATATAACCAATACTTATTCAAGCCAACCAAAATTCAGTGTTATTTTTCATTATCACTTCTATATGCGGTAGCCACTATTTTAGTCAGCAGGTATTGTCTCATTTAGCCATCAAGTCTATAGCACCCAAACCTTGTGTTGGGAACTAACTGGGGGGTACCAGTTAATCCTGAAGTCCCACATGCATGTAGAGCTACAAGAATAACAAAATGGCTGACTGCCTGAATTCAAAAAATGTGCAAGGCTTGACTCACTCTTTAGCCAAAACAGCCCCCAGCAGAGCTTAAAACCCAGTGTATGCAAAATGTGGGAAATATAAGTTATTATACAGTGGTACCTCTGGTTACGAACTTAATTCGTTCTGGAGGTCCGTTCTTAACATGAAACTGTTCTTAACCGGAGGTACCACTTTAGCTAATGGGGCCTCCTGCTGCCGCTGTGCTGCCGCTGTGCTGCCGTTGCACGATTTCTGTTCTTATCCTGAAGCAAAGTTCTTAACCCGAGGTACTATTTCTGGGTTAGCGGAGTCTATAACCTGAAGCGTCTGTAACCTGAATCATCTGTAACCTGAGGTGCCACTGTATTTCTAATGAAAATAGGAAGCTTCTTCCAACCATCAAACCTGATACCATCAAAGTGGTATCACCCCTTTTGGGTCTTGGGTTATATTCAGATGTGGATTTTGTTGTGTTAGTTTTTCCTGGTTACAATGCTCATGGTTTTGTCTAGATTTCTGATGTTCCTTTTATGCTACAGTACCTGTTGAGGCCAAGAGGGGGGCCTTGTCATGTGGGTAGTCCATGATCTCCATATACACTGCCCAGGCTTGCTCCCAGGGGAAGTCACTTCAGTGATACTAATGCCGTGGTTTAACTTCACCCCTGGAGGCTGATGGGATGGAAGGAAAATAATAGTCATAAACAGATAAATATCCTGTTGTGTTACTAACACCAATGTGAATCTTGAATTCCATAGTCATGATTCAACAAGGTCCAATAGGACCTTTTTTATATATATAAGGCAAATGATCCCAAACCTTTGAAGTGGGATTGAACTAAGAATAATATGTAGAAGATGTAAAACAAACACAGATATAAAATACCAGATAGCCTTGCTAACGGCACTACAGCTTGTATTTCACCTGGCAATTTAAAAATGCTAAGTTGTATTTAGAAAAGTTTAAAAACTGAAGAAGGACCTCTCTTCTTCCTTTTATAAAACAAATAAATAAAGATCTCCCAACATGAAGAAATGCTTCCTTGGGGCCACTTCTACTGCTGTATAATCAGTAACCTAGCGGTTTATAAAATGGCATAATCTCACACTTGTGGCAAAGTATGTCACCACACACGCAAAGTTCACATAAGGACTTTTGGACTCTGAACTTCTGGCACTACAACAGGTCAGTGGAAACTGCACACAGTATATCTGTGGATGAGCTGCTTCATTTCAGATTGTGAGCGGAGATTCAGATGTTTTACTGTATAAAATAAGCCCTGCACACACAAATGAGCAAATGTGGCTTTGATGCTGGATAACCAAGAGATATTTGTGATCTTTACCGTGAGACATCTCAGTGAGCCCAAAAAAATGTTTTCAAGCTCAAAACTGTCTTGAGACCTGCGGGTATAGGGTGGTATATAAATTCAATTAACAACAACAACAACAACTGCTTGGAACCTGGATAATGGAAATAGTGCCTTTTTCCAGATCCGTAGGGATGGGGGAGAAATTTGATTCAGTTCACACTGAAAGGTGAATTGACCTAATTTGCACTTTCTGAAACAATATGTGAATGGAAACACAGTCATTCTTCAAAATTCACACACCTCTGAATTCCACAACACACTTTTCCAGCGAAGTAATGAGCACAAAAATGCAAATATTATGGCAAAGTGTGCATAAAAATGAATATATTTGGGGAAATAGTGTCTAGACTGCATACTCAGGTGCAAGATGCTTGTGGCCCAGTGAGGGTCCAACCAGAACTAAGAAGCAGGGGATTGGTATTGGGTTGAACTAGGCCACAACTTTTATTGATTACAGTTGTAAGTATGTTTGGTCAAGGCACTGGGTATGTGTGTGGTATCAAGTACACTGCCTGCTGATTGATAAGTAGGGGGGAGGGTTGACCCTGTTGACCCTCACAGGGGGGTTGTCCTCTGACATGTACCAGGTGCTATGATCCCACCAGGGCCACCATTGGGAATGGTGCTATAGCCCATTGGTCCCTGTGTGGACTCCCATATAGAAACACCCCTTCCTGGACTCCTTTAATGGGGTACCTGATCAGCTAAGGATCCAATCCAACATCTTATCCATCAAAGTTGTGACGTTTGCTATAAGGTAGGCAAAAACCTGCAGACCAGCCAATTTGTCTGACAATTGTTATTGTAGGCCTACAAGTGGTTAAAGCTGTTGTTGTTTTTACCAAGTAGTAGTTTAGTTCCTTCCGGAAGTGCATCTCTGACTCTTTTTTACGACAGTAGCAGACAGCTACAGGCAGCACAGTGGAACCTTGGAGATGCAGAGCTGTAATCCATGAAGCCAGACCAGCAGTGGGGAAGAATAAGAGATAAGATGTGAATGTGAGGGATGAAGACTTCACGAGAGAGCTAGCAGTAGAGACAACATAAGCAGTTGAGATGGCAGGGATCTGGAGCAGGAAGGAAGACTAGCAGCAGATATAGAGACAGGAGCCCAGAGCCAAGATCTCATAGGAGTCAGGAATGTGGAGACCAGAGGCTGCGCCAGAGAGCAGTAGCCAAGATACAAAATGCTCAATGGTAGAAAGCACAACAGCCTCACTGACAGAATAGAATGCTGGCTGGGACTGATGGGAGTCAGAGTCCGACAATATCTGGAGGGCTGCAGGTTCCACATCCCTGTTACAACTGATTGACTTTGCAGTCTTTCCACTGAATGTAGCCTATGCTAGCTAGAATCACTGCACACCCATCGGCCCGAAAAATGAGAGTCCACAAGCCTAGACAGATACAACATATAACAATGGTATGTCCTGGGTTACTTTGAAATAGCAGAGAATTTTCTTCTCAGATAATTAAATCTGATTTTAACACAGAATCGCCAGTGAAGACTTATGAACTTCACCAGGAGACACATCTACCGGCAAGGAAACTGGAAGGAAAAAAGAGTGTGCAGGTGTGCTTTCAAAGATTAAGCAGTATCCATCTTTTCTTAGTTTGAGCAATAATCTGCAAAGAGACTTCTGTACTGTGAGTAGGTGCCTGATTACTATTTCTGAAGGCTCACTTGAATAGCTTGCTGAGATTGTTCCATCAAGAAATTTAGCCTTCAGACATAGGTCTCTGTGGGTGGTATCCAACTATCTCATTCCACCAGTGCAATGATTTTTGCTTGCACAATAAAACACCCCCACTCACATCTCCCCGTGAGACCTCCTCCCCTCCCCATATCTGTTCCAGAGTGTTGGAGGAAATCCCCATAACAGATTTAGAGGACATGCAGTGGGTGGAGAGGGAAGTTTCATTGCACAAGTGAGCATTCTTGCGCCTCTGGTACGAGATATTTGGATACCACCCAAAATTTGTTGGAAAGAAGCAAGTTTCAAACTATGTGATAAGTAACTTAGCAAATGGAAACATCATATAAAACCCTCTGTTGTCAACCTTGTCTCATCTAATTTATTACCATCAGGGATGACCTAGGTTCAATTCAGATTTCACTGTGCCTGAACATGACCAAATCCTACCAGTTCTATCATTTTGGGGGCAGGAGATTATCGCTCTTTAGTGTTTCATTTTTAATAAACACAGTTCAAGAGTGACAGATCTAAACACCCCCACCCCCAAATGTAAAAAATAAAACTTGACCTGCCTTTGAAGACATTTTGAACTTCCTTTTCATTAGTAAATCTTGTTTTGATCTAATTATTAAAGTCTGTACTAGTAGGCCCTTAAAACCCATCCCGGGAGCTTTTTCTTTTCTTTTTAAAAGGGAATCAATTATGTGAAATTTTGTTTGTATTCACACAGTTCCTCTTTACAATTATGTTTAGCACAGTATGCAGCTCTTTACCAGCCATCCATCTAGTTTGATTCCCACTGAAGTCATAGCTACCGGTTGGTCTCTTGAGCAACATGTTATGCAAACCCATCTGTGAACTTCTGGGGGACTTTTGTCCTTTCAGCTAAGAGTTTTGCGCAAGCTTGCCAAGAAGACTTGTTTGCAGCTACCTGAATCCAATTAGAATGTTCCCTTCCCCAGTTAGCTTAATTGGAAAGCTAACATCAAGCCAAATCCTTCTTTTCAAAACTTGGTTTGCAGTGAAAAGGTATGTAGTTAGAGGGATGAGAAAGAAAAGATTTTCAATGCCACCTTTGAACATTTGCCTATACTTGGGTTTTTTGGGTGTTTGTTTGCAGCTTAATAATGTTGTCTCTCATTTTCAGTGACTTGGGAAGTGTTTTTACCATCCATCATTTGCCTTCTAGAATGTACCACTGTTCTGCTCTCAGCAAGAAATGGTGAGAAACTACAGCTTTTGCAGACAAATCAACACCCTTGCCCTGCAGCCACAAACACTTTCATTTCTAAGATTATACCATCTTGCGGTGCCACACAAGCACATGTAAAAACTAGCCATATATTTAAATGATACATACTTCCTTGGCTCTGAGTTTCCT